CAAAAAATGAACATTGGGCCCATGTTTTATATATATTTATTTTGCTGAGGACTCTTATTGTAGAGGGAGGGGCTAGGAGCTGCCCCAGAGTGTCTGTGAGCAGCAAGACAAGAGCTGAGTAGCAAACAAGCTGTTCAAAAAAGAAAATAATTCACTTAACTAAACTTAAACTCAACTAAACCTAACTAAACTTAAAAATTAAAAAAAAAGTGAAAATTATTATACATGAACATCTATTCAAGATCATAATTCAATGTTTTAAAAATTAATTTAATGCTTTAAAGCGCTAGGAGCATTTTGGGAATTAATGTCAATGTTAAGACATGTAAGCATCAATATGGTATACATGTCCAGTACTATTAAATTTGTCAAATAAACCAAGCAACACATATATATAGAGAGAGAGAGACCCTGTCTCCTGCAGGTTGCCATTTTTGTTACAGCATCAAATCGTTGCTCTTTCTCTTCTCCACTGAGTGAGGAAAAGCCAGCTAAATATCTATTTTAACTCAAATATATTAATCATCCTTTCCAGGTTTAGTTAGAATGTAAAAATGAACCAAGAAAAAAACTATTGTCCTTTTTCAGCAGAACTGTGCAATAATGGTGACCAACTAGTAAAGGGATTTTACCAATTCCCATGTGTTTTTATAATAAACAAAACATTTCCGTTTAGTTGGACATGTGCGCTATGTTAAAGGGGATTTTATGCATAATTAAATCACTACAATAAAAACAAAGTCATTTACAGTTTCATGCAAAGTGTAGTGTGTTAACTGTAGGGAAACTTACTGACTCAGATTTCTTTATAGTGGTGGAGGAACCACGTCTACAACTCAAATAGAGCCATTTTATTTACTATCCAAAATCACCAGTCAACATACACATGTGAAGTTTTCTTTAGGGACTATCTTGCCTTATAACACACTACATGATCTCTCTGCCTTGACTGGATTTTGTAAGGTAGGTTTTAGGCCAAAACCTTCGCAAAATTACTCAGACATCAACCATTTCAAAGTAACAACTCTGTGAAGGAGCTTTCAGAGGCATTAACCTCTTCAGACGTCTGGTTCCTATCACCACCACTGTGAGCAACTCATTCAGTAAGTTTCTATGGAACTGAACATTTCACATCAAACCACTCTGAATATATGTAGTAAAATTCATGGTACCACACTGAGGTGAGTTTTTCTTTCAGTAGCAGTTTCTTTCAGAGCAACAGTTGGTAATTTTGTTAAACGATAAATGTTAAACTCTCAGGGCAAGTCTGGACATGCCTTCAGTGGAGGCAAGAAACATTTAGTAAATGGTTTCTCTAGTAACCCGGTCAGGCAAACCTTTTGTCCACAGTCAACACGTGTAACACGCACCCTACCAACAGCAACAACACGGCCAACTCGGACATAAATGAAGGCTCTCGGTGGCGGGTTTACTTCGTATCTAAGGAGTCACTGAGCCTTTTTGTTTCTTCTCTTCGTCTAAACTAGCCCAACAATAGCGAGCCCAACGGTGCCCGAGTGACAGTTACCTTGCACTTTACGACCTTGAGTCACCCCGACACAGGTAAGATGGTCATTCACGTCAGAGAAATCATTAACCATTAGCTTTACTCTGGACTTGAGTCGCAGACATTTATGGGACGATAAGTTAAAACCCGCTTATTAAACTTTATTTTCAAAGAATTAAGTATAATACCAATATCTCCTTGTAGAAAAGGTGGGTAGAGTTGTCTAACTCAAAGGGGAATTCCACGGATTTTTCAAAATTTCTGCACAGTTTTACAATAGTTTTGTGATACGGCTTTGGACTAAAACCTATTTCAGTAGATTTATTTTAACCTATTTATGGCGGAGAGATATATAAAGGGTGTTCTAAGACAAAATAGTCCCCAAAGAAAACGTATTTTTCTTTTTTTTTTTAGATTTATGACTATTTTGCCGTCATCAACATTACAAACAAAAGCTCAGAAGGCACGTGAAGGTTCACCAGTGGTTTTGACAGAAAATAAAATGGTTATATTTGTGTTGTAGACATTGTGACCCCTGGTTCCTGATATATCACCACCACTGTAAAGAAATCTGTTTGTAAGTTTCTCTACAGATGAACCATTCGGTTCACGTCAAACCATTCGGAATGACTTTGTTTACATCACAACCACTGAATTATGCAGACATTTTAAAAAAACGGTGGAATTCCCCTTTAAGCATAAATATAAACAATGATTCCAGTAGAATGAAAAAGTAGCTACCAAAGCTAACTTGAGGTAAAAATCAGGTCTCTGTATGTCCCTGGGTTCCCTGTAGAACTACAGCAGAACTCCTTGATAAATCCAGCCTCTACTGGGAAGTTTACTAGGCTATGTTCTTCTCTTTTTTGGGGATTTTCTAGGTCTGAAATAAAATGCTAAAGCTAAAGAGGTGCGAGCAACAGCGAAGTCGAGGCTGAAGTTGGCTTCCTTTCGCCAGCTTTTTGTTGGAAGTCTCCATTCCACCTTTGGTGTGTTATTTACTGAATGTAATGTTTATTTTCCATACGGGAATAATCAGAAAATAACAATCCATTCAAATTTTAGTACATGATACTGCGTACGCTTAGTTACTGCTCTCTACTATGTGATGGTTGCTTAATTAAAAGGGATGGTATTTTTTAAGTATATTCTTAAAGTAAACTAAGAGTTTATCATTACAAAACGCAATATAAACCACTTTGAAGAATGTTCTTTTTTACGTTAATTATTTACGTTGTTGGGCTGTACGCATGCGCGAAATATCAACGTTATATTATGACAAATGCCATCTTTTTTTAGAGAAATAAATCTGTTTTATTCGTCAGTTGTTATTCTTTATAATCTGCATATCCAAAATCGTTACAGATGGATATAAACAGCATTTTGGAATTAAACTCTTCAAACCCCAACGCTAGAATTAATTCATTCCTTCAGTGGCGGTAAAGAAATGCCTACAAACGACATAGTGCGAAATGTCATCATGTAGCCCGCGACGCAAGTTTACCACCCGTTTTCGGTCCCGCCTCTTGCGATAAGTTTGGCTAGCGGTTCATAGTTACAAGCGATTGGCTGGCCGTTTCCGAGCGTGAACTATTAGCCAATCACAGTGCAGGATTCCACCACCAGCCAATCATCGCGCAGGACGGGCGGGACGTGTCGGAATACGGGCGTGAAAAAACATCAACAAACTGCCGTAACGATTAGCTCGCTGATGGCGCCCCTGTTCCCGCCTCTGACTGCTGGCGCCTCGCAGGGCGCTGAATTTGAACGACCAGCGGCGGCTCCCGGTTATAAAAGCCCTCGAGTTTGTGTGGTTAAGTACAAACGGGCTGTAGAGGCTCACTGCACACTGGGCTTCAAGTTTGTGAAGTAAAATCCGAGTGACTGCGACGGCGAAGAAGAAAGTCTTCAGCCGGACTATGTAGTTCTGGACGGCTTTCCCTTCATGTGAGTACTGAGTTGATGAGTAGACATGTCCCAGCTTAACCCTTTTCCTTTATGGACATAACTTTGGGAGTGTGTTCTGTCTCAAATCTGCTGTGTTCTGCTGTTATATCTTATACTTACAGGGGCAGCTTCCCAGACCTAGATTGACCCCAAGTCTGGACTAAAAGTAATAACCAAAATTGATTCATTTTCAGTCCTTTAATTTAGTCAAGGACTGGGTTTAATCCAGGTCCAGAAACTCGGCCCATGTTGTTGTCTGGTTGCCTGTCACTATAGCCATTAATTGAGTCTTTTCCATTTTATAACAGCAGTTATTAAACAGCTTTTTGTCCAAACAGGGTTTAAGCATCTGAAAAGTTTGAGCATTGCACTGAGAAAAAAGCAAAGGCCTGCTGAAATAGTGTATTTTAATGGTGTGCTGGGGTGGGCAATATAACAATATTTTATTGTTATTTTGATACAAAACATGCTTTTCTGAGCATAACATGGATATAGTCAGTTTTTAAAGATTACTGATCAATGCTTTCTTACCAAGAGGGCAAAATTAGTCCTGTTTAACTGGATTTAGTGCAGTACAGTATGTGAAATGCTAAATAATAATCATTGTATTCATTGTTTTTGATTGTAGGTTTTAAATGTGACACTACTAGTGTATTTCATCTGTGTCAGAACATCGTTATGCATATCGTATATCATGAAAATGTCTTTAAGTATCATGACATACTATTTTTCTATTTTGTTAACCCCTGGTGTGTGCAAAACTTTTACATGAATAATATATATCAAATCTATTAAATCAATCACTTATTGCCAAAAGCAAACAAATGAAAGCCCAAATTGTGTTGATGTCATATATTTTATTCATGTCGAAATTATGTACACAAGCAAACAGGTAGCGTAACTAACCCATAATACCATTCATTGCTTCTCTGCTCTACTTTGTTATGGCTCAAACAAGTTGATTTTCTGGTGCCAGTAGTATCACATTAACCAAAATGTTTACGTTAGACCTCTTATTTAAGATTTTAGAATTATGTATAATGAGTACATCATGTTGTGAAGCTTATCTGGTTGTCAAGAAATTAGATCTTGGGTGTACTGCACCATGGGCTCCAAACAGATTAGACCGCACCCCCAGTAGTTATGCCATCAAGGCAATTCAACGCATTACTTTTTCAATGACTGCTAACATTGCATTGTGTGGTATATCGTTATATAAATAAGGCAGGACTTTCACAAGTATTGCCACGCATGTTTATATAATTGATATTCTCATAATAAATGTAGAAAGTCTTTGTTAAGTTATTGCAAGCAAGGCGAAGATATCGTGCTCACTTGTATTTTGAAAAGCTTAGTTTCCTCAAACTTTTGATGCAGTGCAGCATAGAGGGAAGAGTCAGCGTCTGTTCTACTCACCTGTTCACCTGCAACCCCACCTGGTGGTGTGACGTCACCAGGGCCGTGACAACAAGAGACACAAAATGTACACACACAGCAGAAAGGAGAGACACTAGTGTAAAGGTGGCATTCCTTCAGATGGGGCCTTGTAGAATGAGGAATTAGTTGTTTTGAAATTCATCATGGATCTTGTAGAGGTGGGTGGTAATGAGTTATATGTTGTCAGTATTAATAGTACTTTTTACTTTTACTCAGGTATCTTACAATTGCTAAAAACAAGCTGTGTTTACAGAGATATGTAAGGTCTCTGAACTGTAGTCAGCACTCTTTTTCTGTATGCCCTGCAGATAAATGCAGCAACATTGCTTGGAATAATCTGTTTTTTTCTCAGTACTCCAGTCTTATAAAAGGAGAAAACAACCATCAGACTCATACTTTGGACTTGGAGTGAATAAAACATGATGTAATCTGAGTGTTTTTCAGCCTGCTGCTACTTTTTGTACTCAACCAGTTACTTGTGCCTTGTTCTTCTTTACTGTTCGGTCCAGATTCACATTTAAACCAATGTTATTTGTCAGAATGTTCTTTGTTTATTTGCTCTGCAACTGTGGAAGTAAAAGTATGTCAAGTTTCACTTTTTGCCTGTTTTGTAAGTTACAATTTAGTTCACTAATGTGAATCCACTTGCTGTTCTTTCCCCCTGCTGCTGTTACATATAGTCGCCTGGGTTACATGTTGGGGTTGGTTTGTAGGCAGTGTTGTTAGCTGATTGTTTTATACACTCTACAATCACTAACCATACTGCCAACACAACGGCCTGCAAGCAAGCACAGATCATCGTCTACAGTCCCATACTGTTGTCAGACAGAGTAAAATATTATGTGGTAATGTTGTGGCATTCTGGACGGCTCCTGGAGAACTGATACTGTGTGGTCATTTGGCAGTGTAGTTAGCTGATTACAATGTACAGTAATCACTAACCTCACTACCAGCTGAACAACAGAACTTCTCAGCAGATATAGCTTTACACCTTTTGTTGTTATTGGTTATAAAAATTGTAATAAATTGCATTTTCATAATAAATAAAAAGACAAAACATCTACTTATTTGGGTGTCTGGCTTAAATATCTAAGTAGATAGTCCTTACATGATGACTCAGCCTTCTTTGGTCTAAATGTTCTAGCTAGTAATGTAAACAATGACTGCTCCAGTTGGCCAAATTCCATGAGTAAGTGTGGAAGAAATGGAACAAATTTACCTTTGTTATTAAAATAATGGGCTGTAGTAACAGCATGAGACTGAAGTTGACATAAAATTGACTAAGACATGAAGTTATGGTAGATGATGCAATGGATGAAACTGTAATCACAATAGACATGTTTTGAATGGTTCTTTGAGAAAAAGTCCTGGTGGCTAAAAAATGACATGGGTTTTTCAATGATGGGTAAAAAAAACTGCCTGCGAAAATTATATTGAGATCATTATCTTGGGATTATCTTTAAATAATGATCATGGGATATGTTAATTTGAGAAAAAATCTCAGGTCATTTTGCAGGCAGTTTTTTTTACCCATCACAGAAAAGCTCATGTAAGTTTTTCCCAACACACCTCCCCTCCAAATGTCATTTCAGGGGCTCTGTAAAAAGTAAGCTTCAGTCAAACAATGAGCCTCATTCACCAATATCTTCCTAAGTTTGTTCCTAAATGTGTTCTTGGTAAAGGTCCTAAGAAAAGTTCTATGTCAGATTCATTTGTGTTCTTAAAGTACAGAATTGTTCTCACCTTTGTGTTCTAGAGTGTGTGTATATTCTGATCTTACCTAAGAACAAACCCCAAATAAGAAAACATGAGTGAATGTCAGAATCTTTGTGAAAACTGTGTAAAAGGGTTTTAAGAAGAAATTTCTTTTTAACAGTTGGTGAATGAGGTCCAACGTTTCCTGTCAACATGCAGTATTGGGCAAATGCTTTTGGCACCTGGGTCATTCTACAGAAGCGTCCACTTTTTTATCTATTCATAGGAGTCACTGGTGTTACTGATCGTCCTTGGTGTTACACATAAAAAAGGTAACACCATGTAACCCTAACATGTTTTTTCAAGTGTAATATGTCTGAAAACGCTAGAGACTTTTAAATGGCCGTTTCCATAGAATAACTCACCTGAGAAAATGAGATTTAAAAAAAGGTATTTAATCTGTCAGTAAGCATTTTATTTCTCTGAAGAACTGTAATATTTGAATAAATACAAATAATATTAATAGAAAGAGTACTGATTGTACATATACCAGTGTTTTCATTTAACCATTTCAGAACCTCTCCTCGAGGAAGCCCATTATTTGCAGTTATCATTCAACACTTTGGCTAATCAGTCATTCATCAGGTGTGCTGGTGATGGAAATGAACAAATCTAGGAGAAATTTAAGAAATGTGTTGCTTTTTGCTGTGTTAAAGGGAAATTCTGCTGATTTCTCAAAATTTCAGCATAATTCAGTGGTTGAAATGTAAACAAAGTCATTCAGAGTGGTTTGATGTGAAATGGTGCTTTTGTGGAGAAATAATGCAAATATAGCCATTTTATTGACTGTCTAAAACCATCTTACACATGTCTTCTGAGTTTTCTATATGTAGTGTTGATGTTTGTACACTCTTAAAAACAGATGGTTCTTCAAGGGTTCTTTAGTAGAGCAAATGATTCTATATAGAACCATGAACACTCAAAGAACCCTTTGCACATTTAAAGCGTTCTTTTCATCATGAAATGGTTCTTCAGATTGATGGAGAATGTGCTGTAGGTGGTTCTATATAGAATATTTTTGAAAAGGGATCTATGTAGCACCGAAAATGGTTCTGCTGTTGTTATGATTTCAAACTTGTAACAATAGAAGATCACTTTTCACGTTCTCCTTAAATCTGCAATCGTGCAGAGGGTTCTTTGAGTGTTCATTGTTCTATGTAGTGGCAATTTCTTTACTAAAGAACAGCCGAAGAACCATCTTTTTTAACTGTGATAGTGACAAGTCTGAAAAAAAAAGTTTTCTTTGGGGACAGTTTTGCCTCACAGCACCCTGGATGTATCCCTCCGCCGTGAATGGATTTATATCAATTTATTGAAATATGTTTTAGACCAAAAACATTATCACAAAACTATCATAAAACAATGTCTCAGACATCGAATGTATTCATAAACACTTCGTATAATAACGTTTCCGTGAGGGAGCTGTTAGAGGTGGATGTCTGGTTCCTATCACCGCCACTGTGAACAGTTCTGACTCGGTAAGTTTCTCTAGAACGAAGCATTTCACACAAAACCACTCTGAATGACTTTGTGGACACGTTAACCTTATAATTATGCAGAAATTGTGAAAGATCGGAGGAGTTCACCTTTAATGTTTGCGATTATTCTGATTTTGCTTTTTTAACAGCAAAAACACAGCGTATAATAATAATACGCTCCAGTTTCACTTTGGCGTCTGGATATTTTATCTACAGTGTAGAGCAGAAAGAGTCCCGTCTCTGTGACTACCACGAAAGCATCCAGTTTCCTTGGCAACAGCGTCTAGCAACGCTTCCTTGCCAACCAGCCAGCGCTCTTTCCGGCGGCGGCCTAGAACAAGAGGATCATGAATGACCTGCAGGACTTCAGTGCTCTGGACAACCTCTCAGATTTGGAGAAGTATTTCACCGTGTTTGAAGGCTCGTCGCAGGAAGACGTGGCCTACGCGAAGGTCTTCTGGAATTCGCTGTCTCTGCAGCCACCAGTAGAGTCCAGCCTGGTCTCTGTAGACATCAGGCAGCGGCTGAAGGTGGCCAAGACCCCACAACGTGAGTTATACAGTTCGGTGTACGAGTATTTAACTCTTTGTGGGGACCCAAATTGAATTGAAAACGGTGAAATGCAGTACACACGACATTTCCATACTTTCCATAGTGATAAGATAATATACATGCCAAAATGAAAATAAAGCCTCTATTGCATTGTATTAACGTCGCTTGACCTCTTTGCTGAATGCACGATGATATGCTTTTAAAAACGCTGAATTCATGTCAGAGTTGAATAATCCACTTTACACTGTTATAGGGATGGGCAATATGATGATATTTTATCGTTAAAATGATAAATCACAATATGCTTTTCTGGGTGTATCATGCATAATTAGGCCTGTTTAATTGGATTTAGTGCAGAGCAGTTTGTGAAACGCTGAATAAAATCTTTGTAGTTGTAGTTATTATTATTATTATTATTGTTGTTGTTGTTGTTGTTATATGTGGCACTACAGGTTCTATTTTGTCTGTTACAACTGATTGTGATGCATATCATGCATCATTAAAATGTCTTGTATTGTGATATCGTATTTATGCAATATCGCCCCCTCCTAAAATGTGATGAATGCAGTTATATTGTTTTTCACTGGGCAGTGCTTTAAATTAATTTTCCTTATTGAAATGCAACAGTGAAAATAGCTAAATACAATGCACATATGACATCTTTTCCACAGGGGGCAGGCGGTATGCTTTCACATGTTTTCACATGTCTTGATCTCTTTTTTTTTGTACTTTGTACTTTAAATGTATTTGCCTCATTGAAATGTAACTAAAATGGTCAAATAGATAGATAGATAGATAGATAGATAGATAGATAGATAGATAGATAGATCATTTTAAAATGATTACAATTAGTACAAATAGTAGTGATTTAATGTATATCATTGCACATTATTTAACCATTTCCAAACCTCTCCTTGAGGAAAGCCCAGTATTTGACATTTAACAAATTTATGCAATGGATGGAGGCACAGAGGAAAAATCGATGCCTCCATCCATTGTACAATTATTATTCTAGCTAGCTCACATGATATGTATTTATGTTTATTATATTAATTCTGATTTATATATACATATGCAAGTGACCAATATATTGTGTTTTTATGTGTATCATTGTCTAAGCACCACCATTTCCAAAGCTCTCCTCAAGGAAGGCCAGTATTTATATTCACCATCCAATACCTATTTTATCTAATCAACCCTTTATTATTATTCATAAATTAAATCAGTTGCTGCTGATGGAATTTAACAAATCCATACATTCATAGGTGTGCAGTGAGACATCAAGAACTGAACCTGTTTTCTTCTAACATTTTTTGTTCTTCTAACCTTTTAATACAACAAGTACTGGTATTTATTCTAATGTTATATAGCATTTTACTGGTTATAAAAACTACTCTTACTACCAAGATAAACAGTTTTGCACAGTACTTTCATTATATATAGATATAAGTATGTATGTATATGTACAAAAGAAAAGTCCTAATTGTTTTGTTATGGTTATTTTCCTTGTTAGCCACCAACCATGGTCCCAGGCATTCATCAAACTCCAGTAAGTAACATGCTTTATTCTGCATTTCACTTCTTTCTCTCCCTTTCATTCACCCAATCTGACCCCATGTCCCCCTCCAGAGAATGATGAGATCCTTCAGAGGGCTTATCAGAGACAGATGGAGGACGAGAGGAAGAGATATATGGAAATGGTGAGGAACAATCTGTCTCTAAACTGCAGTGTCCTTGTATGAGCATAAGGCATCGAAAAGTCGGCGTCATAATTGTCATAACGATGACTTGCACAAAAAAACGGGTCATGGTCTTAATGAGAAATCCAAGAGGAAATGCTTCAAACCGGCTTTGCAGGCCAAGTATTGATAGCATCGGGAGATGACTCGTCCTCTCAAATTGAAGACGGTTCGATTCCGTGCTCAAGTGGCCTGTGATGTATGATGGTACTCTGAGATGTGCTGTGCTGGGCCCTCCATCACTTCTCTAAATCTTTATATGATAAAGGGTATGCATAACACCATGCCAGTCTCAACTTGCTGCAATGTAATTACTAAAGCACTTGTGAGAACAGAGATACGCAGATCATGCACAGTAAAATTAAGCCTTTAAGATGAATTTTAGTTTAAGGTGGCTGACAACGACTTAAAGGACTTTAAGATTCACTTGTAATTTGTGTTTGAAGACTAGCAAACCAGCTATAACTGCTTTATGGACAGACTAAGGTGCTGCATTTGGCCTGCAACTGCTTAACTGTGCTTTCAGCACTAATACTTGGCCTAAAGGTGTTAACTGTATGTAGGTTCAAGGTGCAAAAAACACCTCTTGGACCTCCTGAATGCCTCAAAATCAAAATCCTTGTAGGGTCCCAGAAAATAAATGTATGACATTATACTGTCTATTAGGGAAAAATAGATGCTCATCTACAAATTCAGGGAAAGGTCATTGTTTAGCAGCTTCACAAACAATCTGCTACAGTCTTTGATATTCCCACTAGAGATGCAGCGCTGGTCTGCCTCAGGGTGGTGCTGTAGCAAATTGGTTCACCCAGTTCAGAGGTCAGCAACCCAAATGTTAATAAGAGCCATTTTGTCCTTTCAACAAAAATCAAACTGCTTTGGGAGCCACAACATTTTATGTCCATTTTACCATCTGGGCTGTGAATATGACTCAATATGTGCTAATGTACTAATATAGGCTACAAAAATATTATCTAAACGAAAATGCAGATTTACTTTGCTCTGCTTTAAGCTTTAATTCAGCTATAAACACTTTTCTCTCATCTCCAGCAGGAAACTTTTCTGCAAAAGTAGAGTAGTTTCTTGTTAAATTTCAGACAACGTTCAACTTTTTATGAGGCTGAAGTCAGCTTTTCATTCGCAGCTTCTTGGCGCCAGAATGTAACTGCTGCACCATTTAAGGTGGAACGGGTGAATTCAAATGAGAAGCTTTCTCTTTGTCTAAGCGTTAGCTACTAGCTAGACTAGATTGTTGTCTGCATTGCTATAGTGATCAGCAGTCTGTGCGCCAACCTTCAGGATTAAAGGATGGGGAATTAGCAGCATTTATCCACCATTTAAGATAATTAATTAAATTAAAACTGTGTTAGAATGATCCGCAGCTTTATTTTACTGCAAAGAGGTTTATTTTATATATACCTAAAAATCTAATTCTGCTACCGCAACAGGGCAGTAATAGTGCCACATGTTGCCGACCCCTGACCTAGTTGGTCCTTCATAGCCCAGCAACTTGAATTATGCCCAGGATACCTCTGAAAAATTTCACAATATGCTGTTGTACATTTGTTAATCTGAAAACGTGCCTAATTCACCAAGAGTTTGGTGGAAAGAGTGAATTGTTACTTATTTCTCAAACCAAAGACAAAAAAGGAGATATATAAGATCTCAATTGATGTGTGGAAGACTATTACCAAACTGTAAAAAAGAATTTCCAGAAGAACAATTGTTAAACCAAACATTTTGTTGCCATTGAAGCTAACATCAGCAAAGCTATAGCGAGTTAGCAGCCCACCAACGCTGGAGTAGCCAGCCAACATGGTTCCTGCTGAATACCAAGGGGTATTTCGCACGCTGTGTAGGTTTATGCATCACCATCCTGTTCATGCTAATCTCATGCACAGATCTGGTTTAGCTTCACTCTAAATGGACATTGTTCTTAAGACAGGTAAGGCAGTTTCTCTCATTTTCTTCTGCAGATTCCCAGTATGATAAAGATTTCTCAAAACATCTTTTACCAATAGTCTGGCCTACAAGATAGGCACATTACACATGCATGTTATAGATGTGTAATCTTTCTTGTGAAGTGTACGTCTAATTGAGTTTTCTTCTATTCTTTGTAACTGTATACTAGCACTAATGGTGGATTGGGAGCCAGTTTGCAGTGGGCAGTTATAGATCTCTGATGAAAGATGACTTGAGATCAGAGGGGTTTTGCTGGGTGTGGATCTGGCAGGCAGAATCTGCTGGCTTTAAGCAAAAAGGCTCAGCAGACTGCATTAACAAAATGAACCTCCCACCAGCCTCACAGCGCACTTAAGATCACGGCGTAAATTGACCGCCACCACACGCCCCCGCGATTCAGGCTAGATCGCGCTGAAACTGCTGCAGCTGGATTAAATCTCTGTATAATTTTTTGTGAAGAATATGCGTTGGTTACAATAATAATATTCACCTGATTAGCATCGTAGTCTAGGCCACACACTCCAACATGTCCAGAGGAGCATACTTTAAATGGATAGTAGGACGTTTACCAGTATAAAGGTGAATACCAGTATAAAGTTACTACTGGATATGGCTTTAACCCCTTAACAAGCCAATTATTAACATTATTATTATTATTATTATTATTATTATTATCAATAAAAATGCAAAATTTTGTTAAGTATAAGTATACAATTATTGTCCAGGTCATGGAAAATATTGTGATAAGAATTTCAATTTATATCACCCACCCTTAAAGGGCCCATATCATGGAACACCAAAATTTTCCTCTTTTTTTAAACAAAATAGTCTGATGTAGTATGTAAACATTTTTAAATATTTTTAAATATATACTGTTCACTCCCCCAGTCTACACTCCATATATGGAAACTAAATTGCAAAAACAGCCCTGTTTTAAATGGACTGTTTTTGTGATGTCACAAGAAACAAACACATTTACATTTATCCGCCTATTCAGCCTACCACAGTTTAGTCCCACCCATTAATGCTAATGTTATTAGGAGTGTTGCAGCCAGGACTGATTTTTAAAGCCAAACAGAGCAGAGCTTATTTACATATATCAGTCTAAAAGACAGTGATTCTAAGGGAAGAGAGGATGGACAAGGGTCATGCACAAACAAATTATTTTGACTGTTTTTTTGTGCATTGAACCACACAAATGTCATAAGTGGATCTCAGAGAAAGAAATATAAGACCAGAAAAAAATAGGATTTGGGCTCCTTTAACGGATACCATCATTCCTCTAAAACATTTACAGCTCCTGATGTGTTGTGCGTTTCATATTATCAGCTAATAAAACTCTCCTGAGTGATTGTCCATCTTCTGTGTGCACCTGATGCTTTGAATCAGGACTAATGTGATGAAAGCAGTCTGGGGCGCTTTGATTTAGAGCCCTCCAATGCTGTCCAACTTGTGTAAATTCTCCCACTGCAGAACCACCAGGGAGCCAATTCAGTAATGCTATCCCAGAGTCTGGCATCTTTAACGAGCTTCTTAGCCCCACTTAGCCCTGCGCTCCTGTGCTGATGAATGTGCCTGTGGAGCCTCCATCTCTTGCTATGTCCTGCTAACCCCGACCACTAATCGGATTAGCAGGCCAAAGCCTGCAGTGTGTACTCTGCAGATCAATTCATCTGAAGGGGGCTCGGAGACTTCAGGGAAAGTCCATTTATCCCACTATGGGATCTGGAGTGAGGAAATGCCCTGTTTGAGACTGGAAATGGCTTTAAAATGCAGATAGTGTCACTTGTTTAACTCTCCAAGGCCCACAGGATCACACTTGGTGTAATTTATATCTTTTGATCATTTTATGGTTATAAAGTAACTGTAAGAGGAGCCTGAGGTGTGAAGTATCTTGTATAAATTTGTCTCCTTTTCAAAATGGTGTTTTGTGACACGAACAAAATAAAAACGCATGGATTTTTAGCCATGTTAGCTCTTTTTCTTTATACACTGCCTGGCCAAAAAAAAGTTACCATATGGAATTAGATAAGAAAATATATAAGAGCCTTTGACTGTATAATTACTGCAGTGATCAATATGTTTCAGCTGGCAACAATTCTTTTAACCTGAACTGACGCAGTGAGTAGCTTCTTATTTCTTAAGCAACCATGTCGGAAGATGAATCCTGTGGTCATGTGTTTCAGAAGGGTCAGATTATTGGCCTGCATCAAGCAAAGAAAACAACTAAGGAGACTGCCGAAATGACTGGAATTTGGTTAAGAACCGTCCAAATGTATTATTAAAGCCTGGAAGGATGGGCTGAGCCGTCAACTTTGCGGATGAAATGTGTTTGGAAATAAAATGACCATGATCAGACATCACTTAAACACTTGGAGAAGACGTATCGTAAAAAAACGACAATAGAATTCACAGTTATGTTTAATAGTGCAGAGAAGAGCATTTCACACACAATGCAATGAGAACTCACAGGATTGGGACTAAACAGTTGTGTGGCTATAAGAACACCACTTGTTAGTGAGGCTAACTAAAATGAGGTCAGCTGACTCCTTGAATATACTGACCATCAATGGATTTTTTCTTCGCTGATAGCAGTGTATTCAAGGACGACAATGCCAAGATTCATCGGGCTTAAATTGTGAAAGAGTGGTTCGGGGAGCATGAGGAATCATTTACTCACTTGAACTGGCACCACAGTCCTGATGTTCAGACTTTGGTTTGACTCTCCCGTCACCAATACAAGATTACAAGGCAAAAATGAATGCAGTAAAGCCAAAGATTACTGTTATGATGTTGCATAAGGTTGTCAAAACAATGCCACAGTGAGTGTGCACCATAATCAAAGCTAAAGGCAGGCCAACCAAATATTAGTGTGTCATTAAGGGGATAAAATTCACCTTGGCCCAGGATGAAATGAACTCCACAGTGCTGGTTAAATGCTCCAGCCAAAAAAGAGTGTTGAATGGCTACTTTGATTACTGAAATGCAACCTGCAGTCTTGCATTTTCAGTTTCAATGTATTGTTCTTTTATTTAATTATTTTTTTCTAAATTCCACTTCAAATTCAGTTTGCTTTGATGTGATTGCTCCTTCGTCAGCCAGTGTGAGGCCATTCAAAGGTCTGTTTTTGGGACACAGATGAGGCCTAGTCTTAGAAAACATTATAAGAGGTGATTATTAGAAATTCTTTTAAAGCATTTAAAAACCTTAGAACTTAACCCTCTATTGCACGATGTTGCATTAATGCAACAAACTCATTTTGCTCACTTAATAACATTACAATAACATTAATAACATAATAAGATGTACAATAACATTATATATAGTTAAAGACAATAATAGGGTTAACAATAAAGGGAAGAGTTTGAGTCAACGAAAAGCATGTACTTGGTCATACTATCTTTTAGTTGGCACATTTAAACCTCTTTTTTAACATTCAGTATCAATTTTTTCGTTATGAGAATTTGCAGAAATACGTTTGTTGCCTAGAAGCAACACTGTGCGACAGTGGAATGGATTTAGCCAGTCACAAGCCAGGTCTCACCACTTCAGGGAACATGGCTGTATGCCATTTCTTCCCATAGTCTCACAATGTTGCCTCAAGGCAACATACTCCAAAAAGACTCCTGCACGCATTATTTTTTTTTCATGTTTTGGAATTTAATAAACAGGACTGATTATTAATAATCATAATATATAATTTTATAATAATATAATTTAATAATCAAGGACCATTTTATGCAAGAAAAGTGAACGCAAGAAGGTGAGTTTTTTAAATTGCTCTCACAATGTGTGCAGTAGAGGGTTAAAGGATTTATATATTATCAAGAGCTCACCCTGATTGTGAAAAACCCTGTGGACGCATCGTTTCCCAGTGACAGAACTTCATGAACTTGTCCATGTGTTGGTCTCCCGTGACCCATTGTTAAGTTATTCACTTACAGCTTGCATTTAGACTGAAGAAGAGTTCTTCCCATTTCTCCACTGCTCCACTGAGAGCAATCAACATGGAAGCCCCAGGATAGATGGCCCTCTAGAGACCAAATTCATTTCATTCGAGTCCTCTTAACTAATTAACCTTCTTTCCTAGGCCTCCAAAGCAGAGATCTAGAGAGAAATGCTTGGCTTTATTAGGAAAAATTGCCTTTTCCATCAAAGAAACTCACTTAATGCTGGATGCAAAGTCAATTGTGCCATTTTTGCGTCCAGTGTCTTGTGTTACAACACAAAAGAATTAGGATACGAAGGCATGCTCTCATATCGTGGGTAATGTAATTCAGCCATTATACAGTTGGATGGAATTTACAGATGATTCTTTTGTGAGGCAAATTCCTTTAGATTTCACTTTGAGTGCTTTGGGAGCATGTAGCATGAGTAATGTTTATAGCAAACGATAATAATCAAATTCGACACTGCATTACTGTAACTGATTAACCTGCTGTGAAATAATGTCTGCTTGATAAATGGCTACAGAGGCCATATTCGGAATGGAATCAATCAAATGACATTAAACTCCAGCCAGCCATGTAGCCAGAAAGTGGGTGTGTTAAATGAGAGTTATGAGGCTTGTTTAGCAGTTGTAGCGGTTGGCTGCTGCTGCAAACTGCCAGCTGCCTTCTCAGCATCGCAAAGACTATATGCACATATGGGTTTTTGTGGGACCGAAACTCAGGTGGCCATAGACAACATCCTGGCTCGTTTTACCTTTACTATGTATCTCTCTTGACCCCTGTCATGACTTGTAATCAGGAATTCCAGACTGTTTTTGCACTGTAATTCTGTCTTATACATACTAAACTAACTTACACCTAGAATCTTCACACGTTTAGCACTTTGTACATATCTAATACAATTGTGGATCCACCAGATGTTTGTCTGATAGTTTCTGGTAGACTTTTAACATTACCCATCAGCTCATCTGGTGTGGGTGAGAGGAGCATGGGTTCTACTTTTGAGTCTTGGTTCCACTCTGTTTCATCCTTGTGCGTTTAAGGAGTTTTTCCATTTGAATCTTGGTTCCTCTGAGTGGTTCGTCGTCATGCTCTTTGGACGTTTTTCCTTTTGAGTCTTGGTTCCTCTCAGTATTTCTTCCTCATCCTCTTAGGGAGTTTCTCCTTTTGAGTCTTGGCTCCTCTCAGTGGTACTTTTTTATGTTCTTAAGGATTTTCCCCTTTTAAGTCTTGGTTCCTTTCAGTGATTCTTCCTTATGTTCTTAAGGATTTTTTCATTTTGAGTCTTGGTTCCTCTGAGTGGTTCTTCCTTGTACTCTTAGATAGTTTTTCCTTTTGAGGCTTGGTTCCTTGTGTTCTTAAGGAATTTCTCATTTTAAGTCTTGGCTGCTTTCCGTGATTCTGCCTTATGTTCTTAAGGAGTTTTTCCTTTTCAGTCTTGGTTCCTCCAAGTGTTTTTTTTTCATGCTCTCTGAAGTTTTTCCTTTTGAGTCTTGGCTCCCCTAAGTATTTCTTCCTTATACTCTTGGGGAGTTTCTCCTTTTGAGTCTTGGTTCCTCTCAGTGGTTCTTCTTCATACTCTTAGGGAGTTTCCTCTTGTGAGTCCTTGTTCCTCTCAGTGGTTCTTCTTTATGCTTTTAAGAAGTTTCTCCTTTTGAGTCTTGGTTCCTCTCAGTATTTCGTCCTTGTGCTCTTAAGGAGTTTCTCTTTTTGAGTCTTAGTTCCTCTGAGTGGTTCTCCTTCAAGCTCTTTGAACGTTTTTCCTTTCGAGTCTTGGTTCCTCTCAGTGGTTCCTCCTTATGTTCTTAAGGAATTTCTCCTTTTTAGTCTTAGTTCCTCTTGGTGGTTCTTCCTTATGTTCTTAATGAGTTTCTCGTTTTTAGTCTTAGTTCCTCTCAGTGGTTCTTCCTATGTTCTTAACCAGTTTCTCTTTTTAAGTCTTGGTTCCTCTCAGTAGTTCTTCCTTATACACTTAGGGAGTTTCTCCTTTTGAGTCTTGGTTCCTCTCAGTATTTCTTCCTCATGCTTTTAAGGAGTTTTTTCTTTTGAGTCTTGGTTCCTCTGAGTGGTTCTTCCTTTCAGTGATTCTTGGATCTTAGTTTCTCTTATTTACTCAGTATTTCTTCCTCATACTCCTAGGGATTTTCTCCTTTTGAGTCTGGGTTCATCTCAGTGGTTCTTCCTTATGTTCTTAAGGAGTTCTCCTTTTGAATCTTGGTCCCTTTGAGCAGTTCTTCTGCATGCTCTTTGAAAGCTTTTGCTTTTAAGTCTTGGTTCCTCTCAGTATTTCGTCCTTATGTTCTTAATGGCTTTCTCTATTTGAGTCTTGGTTCCTTTCAGTATTTCCTCTTAATGCTCCAAGGGAATTTTCCTTTTTCAGCCTTGGCTCCTCTAATTGTTTCTTTCACATATAATATAATAATGTTGTAAAAAACAAACTTCTACATAAATAAGTTAAACTGAATTGAACTGATCATGTGCTGCATGCCGCTTCACTGCTTGTGTCTTTTCCTTGAAGGCGAAGAAACGAGATGAGATCATGATGCTCTTAAAGAAGCAAAGAGAAGAGCGCATTAAGGTAAGGATTGAGGTACAGGATGAATCCACTTTGCCTCCTTCATAAAACCTTATTGCTGGTTCTCTTCATTTCTGTCTAGTTGCAAATATGACTGTGCATGAATCACCCCAGTTAGAGCCTGTGTGGATTTGGAAAGGGCAGGAGAGGACTCCTCTAGACAGCCAAGTGTTTTATTTCTCTCCTATCCATTAGAGTGCTTTCTCTCGCTGCTTCTCCCTCTCCTCAGCACTTTTTCCTCAAAGCCTCAGCATTTCTGAATCTGGCCACCCCAGAGAAAAGGGGAGTGGAGTGGGCTGGAACTGAGCCCCCACTGGGCCTTCATTTCTCTTTGGGGAAAAGGGTGATGATTAGAGGCTGCTGGGGCTTTATCCTCCCCCCGCAGCATACCCTACCAGTCATGTTTAATCAGACCATCATAGCCAGTGTCTGCTTTTACATGCTTACTTTGCACAAACGTGCGTAAAAGCAATACGCCATTAGAGGCAGTGCGTTTTAGGGATTTTATCTTGATTAATGTGAAGCAGACAAGTTCATATAATAAATCAATTAAATAAACAGTTTCAAACTGAAATTACTAACAAAAAAGGCCCATATTCTACATTTTTCTACATTTTCCCTGAAGTCCACTTACAATATGTGTGGTTTTATGTACCAGAAACATAATTCATTTTTATATTACCTCTCTTTATATTTTAGACTGATGTATGTATGACCTCTGTTCTGATTAGCCACTGTGTATTGCACCTCATTCAAAAAGCAGTATGAGCTGAAAATACTCTTCATAACTTCAGTGTGAATTGGCAGAGCTAAACTGCTGTAGGCTGTATAGGCAGATATATGAATGTGAATGTGTTGGTCTTTGTGACATAAAAGCAGTGAATTCAAAACAGGCTTTTTTGCAGGTTAGCTTCTATAAACTCACTGTATGGACTGGGGAGTACAATGAACTATATTATTTTTAAAAAGTGAGGAGATTTTAATTTTCCATGATATGAGCCCTTTGATAAGAATGTGTTATTAACAATCACAATCACAACATTCTTACACCATACAGTGTAGTTTGCCAACAGTATGGTTGTCAAGCAACATAACTTTTTAAACCAAAAACATAGAGGGACTTTCATATTCCATTCACAAAGATTCACTTATATTCACAATAGATCACTAATTATTTAATGGTTATAACAAAATGACTATAATAAAAAGTTGTTCTCTTATTATTATTGCATTTTTCATTTTTTGTTATTAAATAAGTTGTCTTTATTTTTTGCAAGTGAGCCCATTTCCTATGTAAAGCTGTAAATCTCTCTTCATAGCTGTGAAATGTTAACTGTGTGTTCTTCACAGAAAGAGATGATATCCTTACAGCACAAGCCAAGAAGGTCGGACCCGACTGAGAGGTACCAGAGACAGTTTGAGCTGCTAAACTTCAGATTCCTTCGGGGATGCAGCAGTAGAGAAATGATGCTTTGAATTGCTTACGATAAGAGAGGCAGGGTGATAGAGCCCTGCATTGATCGTGTGGATACAGAGGCAGTAACCCTATCCTGACTGGGAATTTACTGCTGGGGAAAGTGGGAGGGGGAGCTGTTTTGCTGAGGCTGCTGCCATAAATCACATCTAATTAAAATAAAGGAAAACAAATAATTGGCTACCCTCCTTTAATTCTCGGTAGAGGAATTGCTCCAACTTTACAGGTAAGAGGAAAAAGGATGTGTGTATGTGGAGGGGTGTGTGGGGGGAGAGGGGAGGGAGTGTGTGAGCTGGGTTTTGTACATGCATATGACAAAAACAGGAAGAAATGAGCCTGACTTTGTAAAGTGCTTTGTTCTTTAACAAAAGCTCAATTTTTTTTCATTTTTACAATAGAAAGGCTGCATTAATTTACTCAGATTTACAGTCAGTGATGTATGTAGAACTTTCAGAAGACCTAGACTGTTAATCTGACGTGGTAAACCTGAAGACCTGACCAGGGGGAGAGCTCGCTTGCCTGTATCTACCTACATACCACAGAGAAAAAATACTGATTGGACAGTTTTCTGTTTGGTGTTTCAGAAATCCAAATAAAATTTAATGATGAAATATGATTATATATGATTTAATGGTGATATATATATATATATATATATATATATATATATATATATATATATATATATATATATATATAAATGAAGATACAAGGTTTTGTTCTGACAGCATATATATATACACATACATATATATGTGTTGTCAGAACAAAACCTCATTTCTCCATTTTTCAGTTTTTGACATAATTTGAAAATGCCTGTTGTTCTTTACATTGTGTGTAAATTTAATGAAGAATTGACCCAAAATTACTTGGAAAAATGTCTGGTTCCATTGACTTACATTAAAAGTAAAGTATGTTTTTTCCTTCTACTGTAAAGTTACCATTTTGGAGATATGAGGTTTTGTTTCAAAAGTAGCAATATATACATGGTATATATATATATATATATATATATATATATTTATTTATATGTGCGTGTGTGTGTGTGTGTATGTGTGTATACCATGTATATATTGCTGCTTTTGAAACAAAACCTCATATCCTCTCAACCTCATAACCTCACAAGGTATATATATATATATATATATATATATATATATATCTCACTGCTGTGGGAACAAGACCTTGTATCTCCAAAATGACAACTTTACAGGAGAAGAAAAAAACATGCTTTACTTTTCATGTACATCAGTGGAGCCAGACATTTTTCCAAGGAATTTTGGGCCATTTCTTTCGGTTCATTCTTCATTAAATTTACACATACACAACATTAGATGTAAAGAGCAACAGGCACTTTCAAATTATGTCAAAAACTGCAAAACTGCAGATACAAGGTTTTGTTCCAACCTATATATATAATAAGCTACAGTTGAGCCAAGACAGTTCAAATCCATTGATTTACTGTCTTACTATATAAAACAGTTCTTTTGCTGATTAATGTATGATGTGCCTCACTCTGTAACACTTTCCCTAAATCACTAAGGATGGCTACTCTGTGTGTATTAGCTGCCAGCTAAGGTGAGGATGAACAGTGCAGCACTTTCTTTACTGCTGATAAAACATTTCTAGTATGCGCATCTTAAAATGATGGCAAGGTACAGACACGTCAAGGCAGAGGCTCTCAGTGGGACTCCTATAGAGACCACAAGCTCTGCACCTTTTTGTGTGCTGCTGTAGCTTGGTAATTAGCTGAGGGGTTGAAACATTTGTGTTAGATTAGGAACAATATAACTATGTGTAGCACACCCTAGTACAATGTGTTCTATGTAAGCCTGCTTGCTTGAAATAATTCTATTATACTGTGTTTTTACAGCGTTTCTCTAAAGACTCCACCTGAGGTTCTGGATCAGGACATAAAAGAAGTCCAAGCGCTAATATGAAGGGCACCTTCAGCTGTATGCAATAACCAGAGACATTCCTCCTCTCCTACTAAAAACATCTCTGTTTAAGACATTTTAGATTCTGGAGAGTAAGCGTGGATGAAAGTACACGTTATGAGTGAATGGCTGTATGTGACATCGGCTGTCAGAGAAAAAAGTGAGAATTTTTGCAAATATTTGCCTTGTTGAGAAATGTCTCATAGCCATTTGTATCAAAGTAGCCCCCATGAAGCAGTCACCACTGAGGCTGGCTCACCAAACTCCACATTAGTTACCACTTTATATCCCATGACTCCTTGCTACAGAAGATTCAACAGAGCAGTGCAAACAAATTGTACAAAAGACACAGCATTATGTAAATCCCTGTTATTAAAGTGGGATACTTTTACTGTCAAAGTGGGACACTTCATTTCTTTACACTGTGAAAAACAGAGCATGATACTTTAATGAACATATTAGGGTTAATTTTGCTTGTAATGTGCTTTAAAGGTATTTTTGACTGATATTTGTGTGTCTGTTGAAGAAATTTCAAAGTAAGCCTGTCCAGTTGCTTTATGGTTTTTGAAAATCCAAGCAGGTTATTTATTTAAGAAAGAACAAACACAAGCCTCTGAATCTCCAATGTCCAACGGGGTGAGAAACTCTATAGGCCAGTACTTATTACTCATAATTGATAATTGCAATTCGCTGCTGTCGGAACAAAACCTCGTATCTTTATTTTTGTCATTTTTCACTTTTTGAGGTAATTTGAAAATGCCTGTTGTCCTTTACATTGTGTGTAAATTTCATGATGAATGGACCAAAATAAATGTCCCAGAATGACTTAAATTAAAAGTAAAGTAGGTTTTCTCCTTCTCCTGTAAAGTTCTCGTTTTGGAGATACGCGGTTTTGTTCAGACAACAACGAATTGTATCTTGTATCTGACATGGGAATAAATCATGAGCACAACAAAACAGTATTCACCCATTAGCCTCCCAGTAGTGGATTTGTGATAATGGTGGTATCTCTGCATTTCCTGAATTTTAGTGGATATTATGCACTATAAAGGGTAAAATACCTAAAATCCTTGCAATACTGCATTGAGGAATGTTATTTTTACACTGTTGGATGCTGATGCCTTTTTAGCAAAGTGGCCAACCTCAACCCATCCTCAAAAGGAGATTCCTAGTCTTAAATTGCTCCATCCCAACTTTTTTGGAACGCTTTTTTGTATTTTACTTACTGTACCAACTTTTTTGGAATTAGGTTTGTATATGTGTCTTTTTTTGGCCGAAATATGTGAACTGTTTTCAGTAACTGGTGTGACGCCCTGAATGACTTCAACAAAACAGGTCCTGTAACTGTTGATCAGCCCTGCAAATTGATTTGGCCCATTTCTTCTTATCGAGCTGCTTCAATTGGTGGGCTTTCTTGCATCAAAACTATGTCGTAGTTCCTGCCACAACATTAAGAATGGTTTAGGTTCTGGACTTTGACTAAGTCATTCCAAAATGCTAAATTTATTCTGCTTTAACCATTCTTTCTAGACAAGTTTTTGTCAGTTCATGGATAGATACATTTTTCATCAAAATTTTTTCATACTATCTAGATTTTGAGTAGGGGTGCCCAAACTATATAAATACACACACTGTGCTGCTTGAAACTTTGTGAACCCTTTAGTATTATGAGAATTTCTGCATAAGTGTGACATAAAATGTGATCAGATATTCATAGTCAGATCTTCATAGTCATAGTCATAACAGTAGAACCCAAGAAAACAAATAATATAAGGACTTATACAGTTTTTCATTCATTCATTGAACAAAGTGATCTAACGTTATATATTTCGGTTGGCAAAAATGTCGTGGTTGGTGTGAGTGTGGCTCTTAACCAATTTAAAAGACATCAACCTGAGTCTTCACCATCATGTCTAGTCTTTGCCACACACATTTGTTATTGCTTGCCATGCCTCAGTCAAATGAGATTTCTGAGGACCTCGGCTCATAAGGCTGGAAGAGGTTCCAAAAACACTTCTGAAATGACTCCAACAGTAAAGTATATAATATTCTGGGAGATCACAAAAGGACCAAGGGTAACAGCTAATGTTCCACAGGCCTCTCCTACTCTGGCTAATGTCAGTGACCATGAGTCCACCATTAGGCAAACACTGACAAAGAATAATATGCATGGAATGACAGCATAGAGAAAGCCACTACTCTCCAGGAAGAACATTGCTGCCTGTTTAAACTTTCTTCCAAGTGAAGCTGCAGGGCTTGATCAGCATGTACAGGAACCATTTTGTTGAAGTCAGTGCTGATCAACACAAACGTACATGTGTATATATATATATATATATATATATATATATATATATATATATATATATATATATATATATATATAAACATGTTTGGCAAGAGATCTAAGAGATCTGTGAGTGTGAATAACTTTTTAAATATTTAGAGAACCTTCACATAATGTTAAGATCAGGCCAGGGTCCTCCCATGGGTTTTATGGCCTCGTTCCTGTTAAAGGCCCTCGCTACTAAGGGGCCCGGGCGAGCAATTATGACTCTTTTTATGCCTCTTCCAAACACTACTTATTACACAATCATTGAGCTATCCGCCACTACCTTGTCCAAGCGTTAATGCTTCTTTTTCAAGCTAACATTCCAATCAGGGACCCTCCCAACATTTGTGCCCAGGGACAGATAACTCAATGATCCATGCCTGGTAAAGGTTCTATACCATTTTAAGGCTTGTTCCTAGAAATTCTGAATTATGTGGAGGTTCTTCAAACTTTTAAAATATTCTTCAGACTCCCATCCATTGAAAGGTTCCAAAAGTAGAGGCCAACATGGGGTTACTAGCATAGCACAATTGTGGCTAATTAGGATCCATTTGGAGAAACTATGGTGGACTAATGAGCACATTAATGCAAAAAAAAGTCCCTCTAATCTCTAATGAGGGTCAGAAGAATGTCCTAAATCACCCTTTCACTTCTTCTAGAATCAGGTAGTGAAGCTTAACTGGAACACAGAGGGCGGAGCCAGAGGCTTCACCCATGGTCAGTCTTTGACCTGCTGGTGATGGATGACGTGGGTCTGGTGCGCGCCCCAGATGCTCGCCCCCGACGCATCTCTCTCCAGCCTTCAGCGGGAGCGCTCAGAGATGCCAGCGAATGACAGGGGAGAGAAGTGTTCTTCTCAGTTTGCTGTGAACAGAACTCCTCTGTGGATATCCCCGATCTGGATCTTCTAAATACATACAGAGCTGTTAAAATGCTCGCGCTTTAGTCTTATGTATATATATGTACATATATGTATATATAAAAGAAGCATGAGAAGAAACTAGTGCAATGGATTTGATGAGTGCGGTGGGGTTCGCAGCGCTGATGCTCAGTGTCCCTGCGTTAGGATCCAATGTGTTAAGCGGTAAGTTGACGTTTGTTTCTTTATCAAATTAGTTTTTGGTCATATTGTCTTCCTATGCTGCTTAAATGGAAGCCTAAGTGGTTTTTAATGTAGTACGAAAATGAGGCTAAAGTTGGTTTCTTATTTGAATTTTCAGTTCCACCTTAAATGGTGCAGCAGTTACAGTCTGGCGCCTCAGACGCGTGAACGTAACTGCTGCACCATTTAAGGTGGAACGGAAAATTCGAATAAGAATTGAAGCGTTCGTCTTTGTTTCCTTCATCAAATGTGTTTTGGTCATATTATCTTTCTATGCTGCTCAAATGGAAACCTAAGTGCTTTTAATTAAGTGCGTTTTGAATTAAGCACTGAAAACGAGGCTGAAGTTTCTTGTTTGACTTCTAATTCTAATTTTCCACCAATTTGGCGCCTCAGACGCCAGATTGTAACTGCTGCACCATTTAAGGCAGTTAAAGGAAAATGAGCTTTTAGCCTTCTTAGCTTTTAGCTTTTAATGTAGTGCGTTTTGAATAAAGCAATGAAAATGAGGCCGAAGTTGGTTTCTTCTTCGAATATTCCGTTCCACCTTAAATGGTGTAGCAGTTACAGTCTGGCGCCTCAGACGCCTGAATGTAACGGCTGCACCATTTAAGGTGGAACGGAAAATTCGAATAAGAATTCGAAGGTTCAACGTTTGTTTCTTCATCAAATTAGTTTTTGGCCAGATTTTTATAATTTTTTATGCTGCTTAAAAGGAAACCTAAGCGCTTTTTAATGTAGTACGTTTTGATTAAAGCAATTACAATGAGGCTAAAGGTGGTTTCTTATTCGAATTTTCTGTTCCACCTTAAATGGCGCAGCAGTTACAGTCAAGTGCCTCCGACGCCTGAATGTAACTGCTGCACCATTTAAGGTGGAGCGGAAACATTCGAATAGATTTTAAGTGTTCGTCTTTGTTTCTTCATCAAATTTAAGTGCTTTTCTAATGTAACGTGTTTTGAATAAAGCAACGAAACAGGCTGAAGTTGGTTTCTTGCCTCAGGCGCCAGAATGTACGTGCTGCACCTTTTAAGGTGGAACGGAAAATTCGAACAAGAAACCGACTTAAGCTTCATGAAATGAAAACGTTATTAACGGTTGCTCGAAGCGTAGATCGCAACAAGTTGCAACCCCAAGTTTGGCTACATTTCTCTTCATGTAGCTTATGTATTTTTATAGTTTGAGCTAGCTAGGCCATTAGCTCTCTCTGCAGACCCCCCTTAGTGCGGGAGTCGTTTCCTTGTGTGGTTCTTTTGATCGTGATGAAAGCGTTTCTTCTTTCTTTACTGCCTGTAAACCCGGGTTTGGACCGTTTCCCTGCGTCGCAGACATTTACGAGCACAGAGGTATGTCTTACACTGCAGTGTTCACTTAATGAGCCAGTGTTGCCATTTCAGACTGCATTCGTTATACAGGGAGAGAAGTCCTACACGTCATTGTGTTGCGTTGTCATTAATTTATTTAGCTGTTAATGTCCCGTAGAATCATTTTCAGCCTTACATTTGCAAATTATCCAGCCAACACGTCTGTGTGGGAATCCTATAGGTTTAAAACAGGTGGTTCATTTTGGTGTTGTGAGTGTTGTTCCTAAAAGATGCCACAAAGGGTTCCTTGAGCAACGCCATAGAACCGTGTAAGATTGGAACAAAATATGGTACAATATGGTAGGAAAATCCTGAAATAATTATCTAAAATTCAGAAGTGCTGAGTCAGACTCCGCTGGAGTATTTTGGAACTTGTTGTATGTTTTTATGTATTAACATCACATGCACAGGTTTAAAAAGAAAGTCCAGCTCGATGGTCTCAAGATGCAAAATCAGCATCATGCTGATGAAGATACGATGATGACTCACTTACATCCTCAAGTGTTCCCCTTTGAATGCTCTTTCAACGCCCTCACAGTCATCAAATTCATCCGCTAGGAGATGCAACTGCGCAAAAGCACATTGCATGCAGTTACACATTTTCACCAGTGAGGTCTCCAAATCCCCTAAACTGACATAGTGCAGCTTTAAACAGGGTCTTCACACTACACATCTCATTTCCAAAAATGGTTCTTTGAAGAACATTGTGCATTAGCACCTTTTTTGAGCAGAGGTGGGTAGTGTAGCCTAAAAACAGTGAAAGTATTGGTACTTGGTAAAATAATGACACAAGTAAAAGTAAAAGTGCCTTCCCAAAAAAACAACTTGAGCACAAGTACGAACGTAGCAGATCAAAAGACTTATAGAACTAAGTAACTGCAGGAGAACTTCTTAGTAAATCCAGCATCTATCAACGTACTCAACAGTGAAGTAAAGTTTGTTCGAAAATGCTAAAGCTCCAAAATTAGAGATTGAAATTGAAAGCAATACAGAAGTTATCACCATCAAAACAGAAATATATTAACCCTTATGTGGTGTTGATGTTGTTGTTACTCAGTGGTCTAGTGGACCCACCGCATTATTGTTTTTAAATCAATGCAGCCATAACAATGTATGAAAAATACCAGATGTTTAAAATATCACAAGTGGCCAGCGTAGGGTTCTCTTTTAGCAGCTGTAGCCAATCAGCAGCCTGTCCATGTTGTCCACCCTTGCACACACACACACATATACAAACACATACACACACAGACACACACGCACACTAACAGCAGGTCATGTAGGAGGAGAACAGAGTGAAGGGACACAGCATCTCCACACTTCTACTTCGTGGGTTCACCCCAACACCACATGTGTAATATAAATGTGTAGGGGGGTTCATTGTGTAGTCATTGAAACTGTGTTATTTTATATGTTCTGCACAGAAAATGAGCAACGACAAAGGGATCTGAGGTTAATATAAAAATAAATCGCATCATTTTTTCTTTTGGTAATCGTTGAAAATGGGTCCCACAGACCCAAACACCACACAAGGGTTAAATGCAAAAGAAGGGATTAGTAAACATAGGGCTATGGGAATATAGAGTCATTTCCAAGAACATTTCAGTGAGGGAACATAAGGCCCTGGAACCATAGGCCTTGGATGTATAGGGCTGTTTCTTTGAGTAAATAAAGGGATTCCCAGCGTCCTTCCCCATTTGGGCAGCATCACCTTTTCCTGATTATTATGTGAATCCACATAAAGTTGGGTGACCGTAGTTTAGTTTTTAAAAAGGAGAACACTGGGGCAGGATGGTGGCATGGGGCAGACTGTAGAGAGCAAATTTTAGGTCCGAAAAACCTGGAAAAAGAGGATGAATGGTCACCCTAACATCATATGGATGGATACATGCAGTGCTTCTGAGCAGTCTGTACTGGTTTTCTAAGCAGTTACTATATTGCTTATATATTCGCTTTTAACTAGATGAGCTTAAGTGAGTATGACTTTTTCATATATATAGAATATTCAGAGGTTTTGGCACCCTTGTTTATTTGCTAAATTTAACTTATTGGGAAAAAAACATAAAATGAAGCCTTTGCAAAAGTATTGGCACATTTTATGTTTACATTTTATATTTTTTAATATGTTAAACATTTGAGCAGGGGTGTTCACATTTTGCATATGAATATATATACTGAGACATTTTCAGTAAGTGCAGAAATATGCAGAAACCTGAACAACCTCTGAAAGATTACAAATAATGATCAAATAAATTATTATTATTATTATTATTATTATTATTATTATTGTCAAATAATGAAATAATGTTCACTGTCTAAGTCTGTCTGTTAGACCTAACTCACAAGTCTATCTGCTAGACCTAAAATAGACTTTTCTGTGTTACTCTAAATTGCTTTAAACACTAAAACAAATTATACAGAATAATTCAATAAGGAGAAAATAAATTGAAAGCAATGGCTGTGGTGACTTATTATTGAGTCTTTTCTGCTAAGCGGCAGCAAAATACATGAATTATGTGCGCTCATTAGTAATCCTCCCACAGACTGATACAGCAGCCACACAACTTTAATAGAGAGTGAATAGAGAGCTGCTTTTATCCAGCACATCTACAGGAACCGTTCTCTAAAGTGGGCTACACTAATCAGCAGAAGACCAAAAGACAGAACTCTTAACTGATATGCTGAAGGCAAACCAAAGAAAGGCCAAAGATGTGTGGAAATGTAACAGAGAGAAAGTTTTTTTTTATTGAGTTAAGCCTAAGAGAACCTAATATGGGCGAGACCCTCTATCTGTCTTTGGCACGCATCCACTGGGTCTGGGTCGGTTTCTCAAAGCTGAACTGCTCTGTCTTTGGTGCCTGTAATGGGGTATTGGGTGGATGTGCTGCAGTCGGAGTGAGCCTCCACATCCGATATAAGGTGGCATTATGGATGGTTGCCAAAGCTGCCAAATTACTGGAACCAGTGTGCAATGAATCGGAAGCTGAAAGCGGGGGTGGCGGTAAAACACTGTGAATAAATGAAAATGTGTCAACACCAGAGCTCAGATGCTAGGCATGCGCTTTCTTGGACAGAAACCAAGCCTTAGAGAAAAAACCAAACAGCCTTGCTGACAGCAGTGATGCAGTGTGGTTTGATGTGAAGTGCTCCATTCTGGAGAAACTTACAGAGTCAGAACTGTTCACAGTGGTGGTGATAGGAACCAGACGTCTGAAGCCTTTGATGCTCCTAAAAGATTATGTGCAGTGGTTATGAAAACACTACCTGATATTGTTTTATGATAGTTCTGAGAAGGTTTTGGCCTAAAATGAGATTTTTAGAAAACCAGTCGTGGCAGAGAGGTACATGCAGGGTGTTATAAGGTGAAATAGTCCCCAAAGAAAACTTATTCTGTCAAATTCATCACTATTTTACCATCACCAACATTACATATACAAACTCAGAACATACCTGTAGGTTCACTGGTGGTTTTGGATAGTAAATAAAATGGATATTTTTTCGTTGTAGACATCACAACACCTGGTTTCTGTCACCACCACTGTAAAGTAATCTAAGAAGATAACTTTCTCTAAAGCAATCTAAATTACTTTCTCTACATCTCAACAACTGAATTGTGTAGACAATTAATGAAATTCCTGTTTAAGACTGCCCAGTATGGTAGCCATAGCAAAATCAGTGAGGCCTCGGCATGGATATCAGAAAGAAAAAATTGCAAATTGCAAAAGTTGCTAAATTTAGAAAGTAGAGAAAATTTATTAAATATGCATTTTTCTGCAAGTTTTAGTGCAGAAGTTCTATTTGTTTGTCTAACCACTTAAAATCCCTGGCTTATTACACACTAAGGCTTATTATTAAGTAACATCAGGGAGTTCAATGCAAACTAGTGGAGCTATTCTTAGGTTATAGAAGTGTGTTATACAACTCTGTGCCTTTTAATAGGTTAATACATTGGAAAAGTAAAACATTAAATATCAAATGTGCTGTTTTTGCAACGGCCACATTTTGTTTTTTTCTTCCAATATGTTAAATTCCTCAAATAAACAGTAATTGTGCCTTAAAATTCAATAATTGTGTTCTCAGTAGAGGATATGTTAACTTACTTTAACTTAGAAAATCAACAGAACATGTCATTTGAACATGGAGTTTTGCTCAAACTTCTGCATACGACTATATGTGGATTTTCTTTGTTTTCCAGTTGTTAGAACTCAAAAATGACGGCTTACCCAAAATGTGTGCTGATATTTAACCCCTTACATGGCCATGTTTTATTATACACTTCTATAGCCTAAGAATAGTTCAACTAGTTTGCATTGAAGTCCCTGCAGTAAGTAAACAATAGGCCTTAGTATGTAATTAGCCTGGGATTTTAAGGGGTTAAATCATTTGAATAAAATGAAACACAGCTTATCTGGGCAGCATCTGGAACCTTACCAGCCTGCATTCAATCCATCTGGGCTCCACAAAGGCATGTTGGCAACACGTCTATTGTGATAACATTCTCAGTTTAAGAATTTTCCATGTTTTTACAGGCATATGTGAGCGTATGTACACCACAGGCTCAAACCTTAAAGTAGAAGTGAGATTTCATTGTATTTCACAATAGTCTAGACCTCTTCTTAAACCATAACTACCTCTTAACTATCTCTTACTCTTCCCTTTAAAGGCCAGCCGATCTGCAAGCGCGGCACCGAAAAGCCCTGCTATAAAATCGCCTATTTCCAGGATAGTCGGCGCAAAGTGAACTTCGATGAGGCCAACCGAGCATGCAGGAGCGATGGAGGAGAGCTCCTCAGCATCCAGTCAGCTGATGAGCAGAAGCTGATCGAGGGCTATATCCAGGAACTGAAAGCTTCAGATGGAGATTTCTGGATTGGCCTTCGCAGAGAGCCCATCTATGAAGAGAGCAACATAGACTGTGCGTCTCAGTACTACTGGATGGACGGCAGCCATTCAGCTTTCAGGTCTGACATGAGAAATAATCTCTAGAACTGCTATGATCTAATGCATAAGTATAAAAACACTGGCAGAAATGTTCATCTAAAGTAACACAACTGAGATCACTAGTTGCAGTGTAGTGTCAGTGTTCCTGATCTGATAATATTAAATGGTCTATATCATAGAAAACTGAAATGAAGGAGTATGATGTTGCACATAAACACTGTGGTAGGTTTAAATAATGTGTCATTCACTCTATAACATATGCAAAATTTTGGGCACCCTTGCTCAAATGACATTGACTGATAAAACATAAATGTGGCTTGTGCAAAAGTTATGGCACATGTTCTATTTCATGTTTTATTTGTTCCAGTATGTTAAACTTAGTAAATAAATAGAAATTGTGAACTAATATTGGCAGAAAATGCTCTCTGTAGAGGATGCGTTAAGTTATTTTCACTTAGAAAATCAACAAAACATGTAATTAGACCAGGTGCGCCCAAACTTTTGCAAACGACTGAGGAATCTATAGTGAAACTTGTAACCATTCCTACATATGTTGAAAGTATGCCTATTCACATCCTATAGCGGCACTGTTGTAGTCTCTAGTGTAAGATTTTACAGTCTAAAACTGAAAAAATCCCCTGGTGATGTATCTTGAAGGTGGAAAGCACTTTTGAAAAACTGCTTTGGGGTGGATTTTGGGGAGTGCGCTGTTTTAAATGTGTGTTTTTTTAATTTAGCTGGTGAATGCAGAAGGAAAGCAGATAGCTAACACTGCAGATAGAAGGCTGAATATCTTATTGCAGCCATATAACTGTGGTAGCTGCCTAATCTTTAGAATGGAGAGAATGGGCTACTCAAATGACTCATCAGATGACCAGGCTATTTAGATGCCTTACCTCAGTTTGGCTACCTTCCTCTGGCTGAAATGAAGTTTCTGGTGTCAATTTTGTGCTAAATAAAGACAGAGATTCTGTTTTCTTTGCAATTTTATTTGACAACTGAGGTAAGAGTTACACTAATACTAGCGTGGTTGCGTTTATTAACCTGTAGATCATTGGCTAGTCTAGCAGTCACAATTGGGTGGCACCACAGAGATTTCCAATGGTTGTATGACATATTTTTGTAATGCCTGCTGGGTATTGTAGTGACAGAATGTTGAAAGCGATACATGAAAGCGATATAAAAACATAAGTCATGTCTAAGAGATAAAATGCTGTGCTATAAAATATTGCAATATGACAAATAACACTTGTTAAAACTCTTGTTTGAGGCTGGAAAGGCCCTCTAAGCTGCCAGAACAGAATTCACCATGGTTGTGTTGTCACAGCTGTGAACTGAGTGTGGTCATTTTTGTGTGTGGGAGCAGGAACTGGCACTGGGACGAGCCCTCCTGTGGTTATGAGGTGTGTGTAGTGATGTACCACCAGCCGTCAGCTCCTCCAGGCATCGGAGGCCTTTATATGTTCCAGTGGAATGATGACAACTGTGAGACTAAGAACAACTTCATCTGCAAGTATACCAAAGGTGAGGCTCTTTCACATGTGCTTATGGTCACTCAAAGGGGAACTCCACCAAATTTTACAAATTTCTACACAATTCAATCATTAAGATCTAAACAAAGTAATTGAAAGTGGTTTAATGTGAAATGCGCCACTTTGTTGTATATGGTTCTACATAGAGCCTTTTTGAAAAGGATTCTATATAGCACCAAAAAGATTTCCTTATTGTTATGATGTCATGACTGTAACAATGGAAGAACCCTTTTTGGTGCTATGGAGAACTCTTTAAAAAAAGGTTCTATGTAGAACCATACATTCTCCACCAATCTGAAGAACCCTTTCATGATGCAAACAACTCTTTAATCATGCAAAGGGTTCTTTGAATGTTCATGGTTCTATATAGAACCATTTTCTGCACTAAAGAACCACCATTTTTAAGAGTGAATCTTGACATTGTAACAGTAGCGGGACCCTGTTGGTGCTAGATAGAACCATTTTCAAAAACATTTTCACAACACATTCTCTTTCAATCTGAACAACCATTTCACCATGCAAAGAACCAATTAACTATGTAATGGTTTTATACAGAACACATGGTTCTAAATAGAACCATTCCCTTTCTTAAAGAGCGCTTGAAGAGCGATCTTTTTTAAGAGTGTACCCGAATATGTTTTTAAGTAATCCTCCCAGCGCTGGTTCTGAGTGCACTGCTATGTCTTTGAGAAGTGCAGAGTATCTCCAAACCCCCATTCAATCCAGGCTAATCAGAAATTGCTCCATTCTGATTTGGCCTCTATATCTCTGTTATGACTCTCATCTGTATCAATGCACAGAGCACCATTATGCCACCCCCACAAAGAGTGCATTCGGTACCCTGAGGGGGCGGAACAAAAGGAGCACAGATCCTGACCCTATCCATGAAATATGATATTCATAAGAGATTTAACAGAAGTGAAAAGTTCAAGATATGGTTATGCACTAATAATTAATATAATGTTTTTGGGGTTTTTTTTTCTTTCAGATAGAGCACCACACCCCACCACTGCAGGAAACAGAACACGAGCAGGTAATTGGTCGAGAATAGTTTGATTTAACATCTAATATCCAAATACAATAGGGGTGGACGATATGGCAAAATATTATATCATGATACTTCAAGACATCTTCATAATACATGATATGTGTCATGATATTTAGTGTTTCTGAGATTGTTGGAATAGACAAAATAGAACCTGTAGTGCCACATATAAAAAGTATAATAATAATAAACCTACAACAACGATTGTACTCGGTGATTTACAAACTAAATTCAATTAAACAGGCCAATGTATGCTCAATTTGTATAAAACGTAGTTAGTCAGTTTTCTTTAAGTACTGATGACATCCACAATATGCTCAGGAAAGCGTGTTGTGACATAATAAATCACAATAATGATAAAATATCCATGTTAGGTGTTCATTTTTATAGATAACAGTGTGTCATATAGTATTACAAACCACATAAGAAGTCTGTATGAAATTGCTTAACGACTCAGTGTGGTTTTATCCAACTGCATGACGATTTAGCTACGCAGTTTACATGATGCTAATCGGTGGGCTACGAGCTTCTGTTACTTGTTAGCTGCATTCTTGAAAGAGATGTTTCTTCAAGGGCTCTTTAGTAAAAGGAATGGTTCCATTCAGAATCATGAGTTCTTTATAGAGCCATTTCATGCTTATATGGTTCTTTACATGGTGAAATGGTTCTTCAGATTGATGAAGAATGTATTGTTCATGGTTCTATTTAGAACCTTTTTGAAACTTGTTCTAAATAACACCAAAAAGGGTTCTTCTGTTGTTACAATGTCAAGCTTGGTGCTATGTAGAACCATTTTTAGAAAGGTTCTATACCTCATATAACACGTTCTCCATCAATCTGAAGAACCATTTTACCATGTAAAGTACCATTTAAGCATGAAGCAGCTCATAGTTCTAAGTAGAACCATTCCCTTGAGAACCATCTTTTTTAAGAGTGAACATTAGCCTCATAGCTCAACTCAATGACTACATTTGCAGTAAGGGGAAAATTGTGTACATTTATTTATTTATTTATTTATTTATTGCTGATCTATTTTTTAATGAGGCAGTATCAGTGCATTTCAAATAAACTGTATAAAATGAGTTGTGTCATAAAGTAAACAATTTACTGTAACATGAACTAAAGCCAAGTCTGATCAGTACTGACAGACTGTAATAACTCTTCTTGTGCTGTCAAATAAGGACACCTAGTGGTTAAAACTATGAAATTATGTCATGGAAATCTTATTGTCTGCAAGGAACTGTATTTCTAGTCTGTGATTTGTGCAGCGGCAGTTGTATTTCTCTCTTTCTTGTGTTCTGTTTGTTTTTTTCATGAAAAATAATGGTTGATGTTCGTTAATCTATTCCAGCTGTTCTGCCGACAGCAAAAGTACCCAAAAACCCCTCGGTCACAGTTAATGATGACGGAATGAGGGTAGTTGTTTCTGAACCAACAGGTACGAAACGTAGGTGTCCATTTTTTACCACTGTCAAATTTACCATGGTCAAATTACTAGTTATTGTTATTAACTTGCTAAAACTGGGAATACAGTAAAGAATGCAGTACTGTACAGGTGTTTTTTTTTTCAAAATGGCCCTAAAGTACAAGTTATTCAGGAGATCAGATATAAGATAATCCACTAGAACAAGGAAAGGAAATGTCAGAGGAAAAAAAAACATGAGTTTCCAAAACTGGAGTTAAAAAAAACATTAACAGATACAGAGAAAATAAGACCTAGAACAACCGTGCAAGACCTGGTAGACCAACAAAACTGTCCCCATCAGATAAACAGTACTAAAAGCTTTAATGTTTGAGAGAGAGGAGAAAATCAAGCTCCACTCTTACTTCAGATCTGAAAAATCCACAGGTGTTTCTGTCCATCCTTCCACTGTGAGAGGACAACCCAACACTATTAGTCTAAAAGGATGTGTAGCTGTCAAGAAGCCCTTATTTAGAAAAAAGAAATAAATTAAAAAGAAAAACATTTGTAAATCAAAGAAAGAAGCTATTATTGTTGAATGTGTTTGGAATTACTTGGATTGTGACAAGCAGAACTTCTAAGACTGAACTTTGGATTTGTGGGAAAATGTCCCTGCAGATTTCTTTGAAAAGCTGAAAAAAATGAAGTTGTAATAAAAGCATTAATAATAAGGTGAAGAGTGGACACACTAAATACTAGAAAATCTTGATATTACTTTTAGTTGTTTGATGGCCTTTGTGTTAAATGTGTTTTCTGCTATTTTCTGACACTGAAAAAATGAATAACGTGTACTTTATGGAAATGAAATAAACAAGGGATGGTCTCTGACTTTCGCACAGTACTGTATTTTGGATAAATAATTTATCAGATTTGATAATGAATTTTATAGAAGAATGATTTGCTACTCCAGACAGGTTATATATTTGATTCTAGATACTGTTTAATTCTGAACATAATCCTAAATGCTTTGCCTTTCCCATATTTTTCAGATAATGCTCTCAATATCGCTTACATTGTCCTCCCTACAATACCTCTACTTCTGCTCTTGATAGTCGCAACTGCAGTTTTCTGCTTCAAGCTGTTTACAAAAAGGTATGCCATTATACTTCTGCTGAAGCTAGATTTACTGATTACAGCTTTGCCACATAGAATAACTATTTGAATAGGTTGTTTTTTAAATATTCAGTATTTCTTTTACTTATGCAGAATGGCTTAAAAAGAATATCTTTCATAGTAATTACACAGTAATAACAACATAAGGGTGCAGGAAGCTTTAGATAGATTAGATAGCGGTTTTAGATTCCAGCGCAGGCTTATTTTAAAAGATTCGTTCTTAATGAAGAACAAATACACCGATGTGCCAAAAGTCATGAGATGGGAACTAGTACTGTGTAGGACCCCCTCTAGCCCCACAAAGTGCGGCAAACTCAACGAGGCATCAATTCCACAAGTGGACGGAAAAAGTCTGGAGGGACATTAAGCCATGCTGTCTGGATAGCCACCCACAGCACTGTGGTATTTGTACGTGCAGGATCTCAGGTGAGAATGGACCGCTAAACCACATCCCATAATGCTCGATTAGGCTCATGTCAAGCAAACATGCAGGCCAGACTATTCATCTGAACTCATCAGAACAGCAGAAAATACTGCTCGAACCAGTTCTGGACAACTTGAGCCTGATGGCACAGTGCATTATCCTGCTGGAATATGCCATCATTGTACATGAACTACATGAAGTCCATGAAAGGCTGCCAATGGTCACCAAGCAGCGTTGTGGTCGCCGGTCAATGGCTTGTTTAGGCAGACAAGTGGACCCAACCCATGCCATGAGAACACACCCCACACCAGTATGGAACCGCCACCAGCCTTCACAGTGCCTTGTTGACAACTGGGGTCCATGGCTCCATACTGTCTGCGCCACACACAAACCCTACCATCACCCCGAAACAATTGGTACCATGACTTACCAGACCATGTCACCTGTTGCCAGTCCTCTAACCTCACGAGTGCAGGTGAGGCGCTGTGTCTGGTGTCAGAGTCGCTGTGTTCTCACAGACAATTCTACCCAGACACTGCCTGTCACAATCATTAAGCACCCGTGGGCGGCCACTGCGCTGTCCAGTGTGGGTGGTAATGCCTTCTGTGACACGCTCCCGGTATACACCTGACACTGTGGATCGAGAAACATTAAATGCCCGCACAACTTCGGAAATAAAATGTCCCATCTGTCTGTCACCCACTGTCATGCCTCGATTCATGTTGCCTTACCATGAGCACACTGGCCAGTGTTCAGTCTCACTCACAAGATGACACCTCACAACTTATGTTAGGTGTGGGTGTTCCCATGCCGCCCCCTGAGCTAACGCCACTTCATAATCAAAATTTACACACCGCTATCCCATCTCTGGAGTGATAGAGTTCCATCCAGTACCTTTGGGATGAGTTGGAGTGGCGTTTGTGATCCAAATCTAATCATCCAATATCAGTACCTGACCTCGTTCGTACCCTTGTGGCTAGATAAAATATTACAATATTAATGCATAATATCATAAAAAGGTTCAAGGAGTCTGGGGAAAAACCCTGTACATAAAAGGCAAAGCTGACAACCACAGCTGAGTGCCTGCACTACATTCTTTCAACATGACAACACCAAGCCGCATTCTATATGTGTTACAACAGTATGGCCGCGTAATCAGAGTGCAGATGCTAGATTAGTCTGCCTGCAGTCCAAGCCAGTCTTCTTTTGAAAATGTGAGCCACATTTGAGGCACAAAATACAACAGTGAAGGTTGTATATGGTTGCACGGAAGACTTGTGTAACAGAAGAATGGCGAAACTGGATCAACTGGTGTCTTTATTCCCCAAATGATAAAGTGATTATATATATATATATATATATATATATACATGTGCTGTTTTGAATTTAATACAGGCCAAATACAGGCCAAAGAAAATTACTAATCACTCCTTTCTGATTTTATTTGCATTTTACATACTGTCCCAACTGTTTAGGTTTCTAAAAGCCAGTGGGCAGTTGCTTCTGTTCTAAGCAAGTTTTGAGTGCACTACAGATTGAGAAATGTTCAACAAGCAAGCGTCTGGATACTTTTGGACATTTCCTGTATCTATCTTACAAACATGCAAACTTGTCCTTAATGTACAGTACCTTTTTTCATCTTTGCAGGAAAAAGGAACGAACAGAGACTCCACCCAAGGAGCCTGGGTACTGGCCGTCCGGTGACCGCTGCAACAGCCCCAGCCCTGACGTCTACAACGTCATCCGGAGGCAGCATGAGGCGGACCTGGCCGGCACACGGCCCGATATCAAGAACACCTCCTTTCTGGGCTCATCTCCAGACACCCCACCCGAAGACTATGACAACCTGGGAGGCCGGGACACAGAGAGTGGCTTCGTCACGCTGGCCAGCACCGAGAGCGGCTTTGTCACCAACGACATCTACGAGACGACCTGCCACGGCCGGGGAAGTCTGAGATACTACAGAGAGCACGGCTGGCTGGATAATGAATTGTACGGCTACTGAAGGAGAAGCCAGTGCGATCCGGATTGTTTATAGCCCTGTGGTCCAGACAGCTAATGCCTCTGCTTTCCTTTGCCTGTGTCTGGTAATTTGGTCTTTTAGGAACTCGAACAGGCAACCAAATGATGGATTCTGACAAGTTCCAAAGTTATATTAACTTGCTGAGAGTTTATCGAATGGTAGAAGATGTAACCAATGGGGCCCAGGCATTTCAAAGGATTAAGATCAGTGGAAATCAAGGACAAAGTGTGGACTCCTGCATTCGCATGAAATCAAAGACTATGAAAATGTTTAAAAGATGGCATATAAGTGTCATGAAACCTTTAAAGAGTTGATCAAAACGTTTTTGCTAATTTCTCTGAATGACTGCTTGTGCAGATACAGTTTTGTTGCTAAGAATCTATATTTTTACCAGACATTTTATTACTATAAATTACCAATGAAATGTCATGTTCTCTGTTCCCCAAGCTTATCCAAATTGGAATAATCACCGTCTTCTAGTGCATATACTCAAGTGCGCTTAGTCACTTCTCAAAAAGTATAAAGAAGCTTCTTCTGGAAACAGTTCAGTCAGTTTTTCTGCATAATTCAACAGTTGTGATGTAAACAAAGTCAGAGTGGCTTGATGTGAAATTGTTCATTTTAGAGAAGCTTAAAAACTCTTATTTTCTTTATTACAATGGTGGTAGTTGTGAAGAAAAGTTTTCTTTGGGTACTGTTTTTCCTTGTGGCACCCTCTACTGCGCCTGTCCACTTTCCTCTGTGTATTTAAAACTATATATGTTTTAGGCCAAAACCTTCTAGCAAGTTTGTTGTAAAACAATATCTCAGGCATCAGACAACGTATCTGTAAGCATTTCATGTAATCACTTTTCTGTGAAGTAGCTTTTAAGGGCATTAAGCACTTCAGATGTCTAGTCACTATCGTCACCACTGCGAACAATTGTGACATTGTAAGTTGCTGTAGATTGGAGAATTTCACATTAAACCTTTAATTAAATCTTTAATGAAGCAGAAATCAGTGGAATTCCCCTTTAAACAGCCCTTATCATAGAAAATGGATTTGTCCTGACTTTTTAAATAAAAAAATTCAATGTAGTTTGTAAACATTTTTAAACAGTTTCAAGATGTACCGTTCACTCCTGACTGGACACTGTCCATATGAGGTAACTAAGCCACAAAAATAGCCTGTTTTCAATTCATTTCTTTCGTGATGTCACAAAAAGCAAACACATTTACATATATTCACCTGTTCAGCCTACAGCAGTTTAGCCACACCCATTCACGCTAAGGGAGTGTTTCAGGCAGCCCTGCTTTTTTGAATGAGGTACAGTGCAGGACAGCCAATCAGAACAGAACTCTTTTACATATATCACAGTCTTAAATGTACAGTAACACAAATGGTCATGTAAAAATTAGACATCAGTGGGCCTCGGGGGTGGGGGGGAATAAATTACAAGAAAAATACAGGATATGGGCCCTTTAAAATGTAGTGGGGCTGAGATCAGATTAACTTTGTGAATAAGCTAGAGTAAGGTGATTCTGTATGTGCTTGCCTCCTCATTGGTGAGTTTGCATGGCCCTGTTATGCTGCTTTTCTTCCATACTGCAACGGTTGCTGCATTGATCTAAAGAATTAAAATGTGATCTTACAACGATGGCGATGGCTTTGAGACTGTTTGCCTGAGAAATGTCCCGAATCCAAATATTCTGTGCGTTTTCTTTCAGAAACGTGTGAATGTGGTTTGTGCTCATGTTAATAAAAGCCATTAATAAAACAAAGTAATGAAAAGCGTTTTTCCCCATTTAAAACCATAGTAGTACTCATTTTATGTGCATGCAGTTGTGAATGCCAGTGCGGACTGGGAGAGGCAATGCACCGTCGCGGCCAGCAGATGTCGCTATATTACACAATTTCTCTTACACATTTGCATGCGTTAGAAAAGCTTAGGCAGACTCACGTGCATAATATACGAGTGTTATAAAACTGTAATTTTAACGTAGAAGTAAAAGAAAAGTGGGGCAACGGGAATTCTAACTATTTTTCCATTTTTCTTCATAATTAAATGGCTGAAAGGTAAACAAAGTCAGTCAGGGTGGTTTCATTGGAGAGAAAGTCGGGAGTTCTTTACAGTGGTGGTCAGGGAGCAATGTCAACAAATCAAATTGCCACTTTATTTACTTTCAAAGTTATTTATGTAATGTTGATCATGGTAAAACAGTGGTAAATCTGAAAAAAAGGTTATAATAAGTGTTCTATTTTGCCTTATAACTGCTCGCATGTACCCCTCCGCCATGAAGGATTTTTGTTTGTTTTTTTTTAAATTACATTTAAGTTCCAAAGCTTATCTCAAATCTATCGTAAACAATGTCTCGGATATCAGGCAGTGTATTCGGTGCATTTCATGTTAATATTTCTCTGTGAGGGAGCCTAGAGGCGTTAAACTCTTCAGACGTCTGGTTCCTATCACCACCACTGTGAACGATTCTGACTCGGGATGTTTCTGCGGAGTATTTTACTTTTTTTTCTTTGTTTACGTCTTAACCATGTAATTATGCAGAAATTGTGAAAAATGGGTGGAATTCCTCTTTCACTAGGACGTTTAAAGGGGTATGACGACCTCTTCAGACTGCGCCCGGGTGTAATGAGTGCACTTTTGGGTTCATATTTTAGAGAAGAATGAAACAGCCGAGCTTCACAGACAGCTCACAGTCAGCTGCCGACTGACGCATGAGGCGGATAAGGTTGTCTTGGTTACTAACCGCTCGCGAGCTGCGTGGACCCGCCCCCTCCCCGATAAAAAATAATTAAATAAACAAATAAATAAATAAATAATCCCGTTAGCGCTGACGTCAATGCACGTTGAGCGCCAAGCTCGCGCCGGAGCCGTTAGAGGCGGTGATGATGATGATCGTATCTGAGGCGATACTGAAACGGCGAGCAGACAGAAAGCAGGAAAGAAAAGCGGCGATGTGATGAGGGGAGCTAAGGCGGAGCTAGCCAGCTTAGCGCCAGTGTTTTGAACTTTCAGCCGGGGCATGTAAAGCGCGGTTCGGCTGGTAGAGAGTGAGAGAGGCCGCCCCACTCCCCTCCCCTCCCCTCCCTCCCCCTCACAAACCCCCGCCTTTCGGCTCGGGGAGAGCACACAGGTGTATGAGCCCCAAGCACTCGGCTAACTCTCCGACTCTCAGCTGAAAGGGCCACCGGGAGGAGAGCCACGGCCATGGCCGAGCCGGCCGAGCCTAAAGCCGGTCAGCGGGCGCCGGTTCGCGTCGGATTTTATGACATAGAGCGGACTCTGGGCAAAGGCAACTTCGCCGTAGTGAAACTAGCCAAGCACCGTATCACCAAGTCTGAGGTAGGTTAAGTGGACGCTGTTCACGTTTTTCTCACAAAGGCTGAAGGGGGAGTTTACCTCAGAGAAATTGGGAGAAATTACCTGAAACTTCTTAGCTGGTTTTGCGAGCAACAACTAGAGTAACGTTAAACCGAGGACCGCGTAACTTCAGCTGCAGGCTGCGCTGCACTGAATGAGTCCTGTGGTGTAACTGCTGTATTTTTTAGTGGGACCGAATGAAACGCTACAGTGCAGAAGCTCAGTGGCCAAATTGTATGTTTAATGGTTACACCGCTTGCCTGCTGGCGACTTTTGCTCGATGCAAAACCATTTTTCATTTAATCTCAGGCTTATTTTATTGCTTATTTTCAGTAAAATATGTGCACAATGATAGAAAAATCCGTGCACGCAACGTGCATTTTGAAATGGGCGGTTTGCCACGAACAGCAAGAATCACCTTTGCCTTTTGCAAAGTTTCAGATTGGCAGACAACAACAAGACAACACACACGAGGTCAGAGAAAACCGAACAGGTCGTGCAAGCTTCCTAAAGCATGCCACTGTGTGTTGATTTGCCTTTCATGTCAAAGTATGTCAGCTGTAAAGCGCTGGCTGCACTGGAATGTTCCTAATACCTGCTGGCATGTGGCGGCATTGGAGATACTGCTGTGCCGACTGACATGACGTCAGCGTGTTTGTCTTCAGGGGAAACTCTTCATGTTCCTCTGCTGCTCCTGTTTTACAGAGAGCTCGTGCGCTTCTGTGAGCTGCAGAATCCGTACACAGCTTAACATGCGCGCTCCTGGCCAGCCTGTTGCAGAATCATGCATACCTTTGCAATGATGTTATGTAATAACGTATTACATTATATAATGGTTTAATGGATCTGAATGGATGAATCTATAGATCCCCTCTATTTCTCCTGGGCAAGTGCTTTGCACTCCAGTAAACTCATTGAAACGTGTTCACAGTGCTAAAAATTGTAAGTGCTGCTTTCCATCAACATGCAGGTGGCCATAAAGATCATTGACAAGACCCAGCTAGATGCTGCCAACTTGGAGAAGATCTACAGGGAGGTGGAGATTATGAAGCTGCTGGACCATCCTCACATTATCAAGCTCTACCAGGTGCGTCAGGGCTGCCAGTCATCTGTGTCCACCATTCAAATTCTTGTAATTCACTCAGCGTGCAGTCATCAGGCCAGATTACAAATCCGGTTGTACCAGTTTGTCAGAAATTTACTCATTTCCGACACCAAGTGTTATGTCATTGGCAGGGATTAAGTGCATTAGTGGGCTTATTTTGCAGAATTTCACCATACCGACACTGTTGTCTTATAATGAGAGTCGATTTAGCCAATTGGGCCACTGCTTGGTGTGAAATGCCTCCATCAATGTTAACAACTTGATATGCATAACTCTTAGCTCCAGCAATGTTCTTCCAATATGTTGGAATTTAAGGATATTTTACGATACTCATGCCCACTGGAGTTCGAAGATGCTGCTGACGGTACTGAGTGCATTTCCCATGCAAGAATGTAAAGACTTGCACTGGAAAAAAAGTTACTTGTGGAATTAAACCATAGTATTTTTTTTAAGAACAATGCAATAAATCTATTTTTTTTTGCCAAATTTAACAACCGGAGGCACACTGTTAAAAAAAAAAAACAAAGTCACAAGGATGAGTTGAGTGATTTTTTTTTTTAAGTGTAAATCTAAGCCCTAGGTTATAAGCTGAATAAAGGTAGTAATAAAGAAAAGGCAGCAGCAGGCTGAACGAGTGCTGTAGCGTAACTGGTATTTTTTGGCATGACCGAATTAAACACTACAGTGCAGAAGTGCCATGTCATCAGATGTCATGTTTTATGGCCACACAGCTGTTGGCTTTTGTTTGATGCAATATCATTTCACCTCACGCTCCTTTTATTGATTATCTGCAATAAATAAGCGATAAATCTAAGTCTGTGCATAGGTTATGCTAGGCTAGCTGTGCACTCTTGCACCCTGCAAGAGAGACTGTTTTTCCTTCAGCTCAGTTTTCATTCATGCAGCCACTCTGCTTTAGAACACTGACAAAGTAATACCACACTCAGTCTCGCATAAACTCACTATTATCATTGATAATACAGGTTATGTACCTTTTGTGGCAGTTGCCCCAAACATATCTCACATAATTTTAAAAAGGGGGGGAGGGTCCTCTCCACCCCACCGCCTCTTATTTTGCACCAGTGCATGCACACAATTTTTGGCTTCATCATTTGATTAAACATAATTGACTGCAATATTGGGGAACTTTGCTATTTAGCATTTAAAGATGCACTCAGCTAATGTGATTAATTGCCAGCCTTATTTTGATCAGAAGATTTATACATTTTAAGGAATGTCAGCCTATAATGTTCAGTGTAAGAGAAAGTGATTCCATTTTTCAGATCTGAAGCAGGAGCAGAAAAATAAAAATGATTTTCATTTTAACCATTATCGTGCAACCCTAGTGGAAGTACATATGACGTGTATTAAACTGCTGACCATCCCCTTTTAAGAGTTCGTCTCTTCAGCATGAGTCTGATCTTAATACTCGACCTTCTGGCCTCGCTCATATTGCATTTTCTGCCGAGACTTGAATGAAAAGCTACCCTCTTAGACACCAGCTGTACCAGCAGCAGCGTTCTTTGACCTGAGCTCCTTCCGCCATAGAGTCTTTACCATTAGTCATAATCACCTTTCGCGTCCCCCGTGGGAGTTTGTCCGCTTGGATCCCAGGAAGCTGAAGGCCAGAGCGAGGCCTGAATCCAGTTGTTGTGGCTGCGCTCTTATAGGGTTAGCCTCGTTTCGTTACGTAATGTTTTTTAGGTCGCCCAGGGCTGGGATGCTGTGAGTAGCAACAGCAGTCTGCCTCTGTTACACAACAGCAGCAGCAGCAGCAGTGAGTGTGGTGGCAGTCCGGCGCTGACCTTCGCTCAAGCTGTGTTGGGCTGTCATTCAGTGGTTACCCACGCTTTAATCGAACGCTGAGATTTCACAAAATGTTCACTGCCGCTACACTGCAAACTCCACTGCTGTAGAACGGAAATCACCTGTGGCTGTCTAAAGCCTACTAAGAAGCTTATGATGGGTTCAAGGCTTTCATGGACATTTTGTCACAAGAATATAAGGATTCCAGTTCAAGCGACCCTCTCCAGCTGAAGTGAACATAATGAGATTGCAGTGTCAAAGACAATCTGAGACATATTGCAGGACATGTTGCAGTCTATGGTTGTTAATGTTATTTTGCTACACATTACGTAAGAATATATACGTAGTTATATAATTAATACATTTAATATATATACGTTACTATACAAATGTCAGAGACCACCTTTCATTTATTTTATTTCTATTAAAAAACAGCTATTAAATTCAAGTTATTTCATATTTCAGTTAATGTTTCTGAGGAGATTATATATAAGATAATCCACTTGCATAAGGAAGAGGAAAGTCAAAGGAAAATAAGTGAAAAACAGGAGTTTTCAAAACTGGACTTTGAAGTAATAGAGAAAATGGGACTCGAACAACTGTGCAAGACTTGGTAGACCACCAAACCACCCCCCATCAGATAAACAGTGCTTAAAGCTTTTTGAGAGAGAGGAGAAAATCAAGCTCCACTTTTGCTCCAGATCCAAAAAACTCCATATGTGTTTCTGTCCATCCTTCCAAATAAACTCTATTGGTCTGAAAGGATGTGTAGCTGTCAAGACGCCAGTACTGAGAAAAGGACACAGACAAAAAAGAGGAAATATGCAAATCAAGCAAAGAAGCTGCTGGTGTCCAAAGAACAATGGGTTGACCCACTGAGTCCAGACCTCAGAATCACTGAATGTGTTTGCGATTTCTTGAATCGTGAGAAACAGAAAATGCAACCAACTTCTAAGACTGAACTTTGGAGTTGTGAAAGAAAATCCCTGCAGATTTCTTTGAAAAAACTGAAAGCAAGACTCCTGAAAAGAATGAAAGTTGTAATAAAGGCAAAGTGCAGACACACCAAATACTAAGAAATAAAATGATATTCGACTTAGTTGTTGAGGCTTGAGTATAATTTTCTGTTAAATGTATGTTTTCCGCTGTTTTCCTGATGCTGATAAATTAATAACTTTCATTTAATGGCTGTTTCAGCTGGAAATGACATAAAGGAGGGGTGGCCTCTGACTTTTGCACAGTACTGTACAAGTAAACACTTCTGCTTTACTGTATTACGGTGTATTACCAAACTATACTACAACACCGTAAACAAGATGTCTTCAATTCATGCAAAATGTCCTCTTCTATTGCCTTTTGCACTAGTTCTGTCCTCCCTGCTGTGGTATGACCTATGTTTAGTGATAATATTTTTGGCGCACTACACTGAAGTATTACACCCTGTTTCTCAAGCTTCTAAGGCAAAATCTTTGGTGCAACAGAACAACAAGTGGTATTATTATTATCGCTGTTACGGTGGAGATTTGTGCTCTTTTAATCCTGTCATTCTGGGTATTTTTTTATGTGTTTATCATCCACTGAGCTTTCTTCAGTATGTGAAAAGCCAGTTTCCATTAAAGCCAGAACTGCACACTTTTTATCAGACAGCACATGTAATGGTGGGAAAATACTTCAAAACTTCAGTATTTTGTTGCAGAAGACTTTGTTGGTCTTTTGTGGTGCTAAATAGCATCAACGTCTGTATGAAACCTGTTGATATGCTTGCGCTTGTTCTCTTCTAACAGGTCATGGAGACCAAGAACATGCTCTACTTAGTCACAGAGTATGCCAAAAACGGGGAGATCTTCGGTGAGTGTGTGTCTTATTCTCCACAAATTTGCTGAGGTCAGGTTTTTTCATAGTAGAGAGGGGCATTTTAACCTTTTTAATTGTCCACATTTTTACATTATGTTTCCCAATGGAATAATATTTTATATTGTTATCAAATAAAAACAAAAAACACAAAAGAATCATTTATTGCATGCAGCTAGCAAAAGAAGTGATCCATTCCTGGTTGTTTGAGTTACCATGGTAACAACTCTAAATCGGTAACAGTAGTTGTCTAAACTTTGTTTAACATTATTTTGATTTCATGTTTACACATTTGTGCGTATGGTCAGTTCTTGGTGATATGTGTATGAGTTGATTGACGACTTTGATCGAGTAGTGTAGAATTTTCTGTCTTGAGACAAAATAATATGCCGTAAGATAAGATAAAATACCCAATTTAAAATCAGATTTGCTTCTGTAATATGAATTTGTGAAAAATCTTATCTTGACCTTGTCCTGTACTTAGGACAAACTTAATGATTCAAGATTCAAGATGAAAGATAGGGATTGTCAGTGATACGACTCCTGATCTCAGGACAAACACTGTCATGTCTCAGCTCTCATACAACGGCCTTGGAAATGGCCTTGGACAAAAAGCATCAGGCTTAGCGGCCACAGACACCACGACCCAGACTGTAAGGTTCGTGTGACATCTGCAATTTCATTCTTGCTTACTAGATTAATTAGAGGTTTGTGGTCAAATTAAAGATATAATATAACCCCAAAGTTTACTCAGTTGGACTATTAAGTTCTTTAATTTGACAAAGATTATTCTTTGACGCACGCTATTCCTTACTAAGATGGCTTTGGATATATGTACATTTCAATAAACATGTCTGTCCCTTGTTTTTGGGGAAGTTCTTCTGGGACTCCTTCAAGTTGGTGCCTTTAGAATTCCATTGTAGTACTGTACATGCATGCAGTGACCTACAGCGCTTGCCATCTGCATGCACTGAGTGCTGATCCTCCAACAGTCCTCCTCCAATTAATGGACACATTGAACAGATGCCATTTGTTTATCTCTGTTAATTAGCTGTGGCACCTGTAATGGAAAAAAGGTCACCATGTTTGGGAATCTTGCTCCGTGTATGGCGGCTGGCTGGCAATTTTTGTTTATCGCCGCTCAGGCTCGTGCTCTTGTGGCGCTTAAAAGGGCTCATCTAAACTGTACTCTCACCCTTTGTGAAGCTCTATTAAATGGGGACAGTCACTGCATTCACACGTCAATGGATTAGCCAGTTTGATAGCCTCTTTAGGATGAAAGGTTGCTTTCGATTGAGGCCACTGTCATATGATAATGGCTATAATAAAAAAATAAATAAGCACACAAAAGGATTGTTATCCACAGAATGGTGTATTTGATAATGGAGAAAGCAGTTAGTGAAAACAAAAAAAACCTACAGCGGCCAGTCGTTAACCCCTGTAGACCGACTCTAGCTGGTGTCTGGTTTGGATTAGTGCTCCAGGGGTCTAAACGAGTAGCTCTGACGTTTGTAATGTTTTCAGAAGAGGTGGTAACTTCAAAGCGCCTCACGTTCTTGGCAGGCTTCCTGAACGCCAGCACAATAAGCCTGCCCGGGACCAGAGAACAGGGTGTCGTAGAGAGCAGATCGTTATCAAAGCCAGGTTTTGTAATAATGTTTGAGTGGGTGGGAGTAAGAGGGGATAAAAGGTTACCCAAGATTTCAGCTTGTCCATTTGCCTTATGGATATGACACATAGGCTGTTAGGAAGAAAAGCCACTGGGAATTGAAATGACATTTGGGAGACCAGAGGCCAAAAATAAAAAGCTGATAGCAGAGAGTGTCTCTATAATAAGGCCCAGAGCACCCTGGCCCAGTGTTCCCCAACAAACGCCAGCAAACCCAAACACTGGGTTCACACATATGTGGGGTTTTTGGGAGTGTCTAGAATGTTCTTCCACCATTTACACTGTTCTACAATGTTCTACCCATTCACACAAATCTCTGCCCATGTTTGTTGGAGAATGTTGAGTTTCAGGATGCATTGACTGAATCACCCAGTACTGGAGTCAACTGTAACTAAGCACAGCTTAGAATTGACTTGTAACTTTGATCTCTTTCCTGTGGGGTTCCTTCACCACATTTTGAAGGATGAAAGCAGTGAGTCTTGGTCTAGCAGAAGATCTGAGGTCATCAGTTCCTCGTTTGTGTGACCTGAACAGATGTTTGGAGATGTTTTCAAAGTCAAACATGGCTTCTGGCATTTGGAGCACCCTCCTTCTTCATCACAGTGTCGTTATGAGTAGACCATCAGGGTTGGTTATTGTTGGGCCTCATTTACTTCAGCTTGTCCTGCAATTACAGTATGAGGTATGAGGTGATCCTTCACAGAACCACATGTTATCAAATGTCATTGCTTTCATTGGCTGTGTTTACATACAAAGATTTTTGCCAATCTGATTGAATATATTCCGATTACAGATTAGGACTGAGGTGTTTATATGTTCACTCTACTCAACAATCTGATGGAAGATCTCCGTTTACATGCGCACTACAAGTAATTAGATCCAAAATGACACATGTGGGTAGAGTAACACTTAGTGTAGACGTTACCATGACAGCGAGCATCACGTGCCCAGTCAGACTGAGATGAGTTATTAACTGGCGGGCTTGTGTTTTTAAGTGCTTTAAAATGATGTCAGACTCAGGAAAATGTACTTTACATGTACTTATTAAAGAAGGGTAAGAGGAAGACGTCGTGTTCTGAGACACATAAGCTGGACGCCCGTCCCACCGCCGTCTTTTAAAGCTCAAAGCATAAACTTCGTCCCCTCTGCAGACCAGTTTCTGCTCCCGCCATGTTTAACATTCTAAGCTTCCGCTTTGACGTGACGCATATGTGCAGAATGTACTTACACATTCCGATTGGGAATGTAATTGGATATAGGCATTTACACGGCTATTATTCTTCTATTTAACAGATTATTTACAGGATTACCCACCTCATTCAATCAGATAGAAATTGTATTCCGAACGGCTACAATCGGACTAGTCTATTCTGACTGAGGTGTATAAATGGACATATTCTATTCCGATTGAGCTATTAGTCGGATTATTAACAGACTATTAGGCTGTATGTAAACTTGGCTATTATCATTGCTTTCAATGTTATACTTTGATACTTGCAGAATTGTGCTTTTGTGCTGTGGTGGTTTTTCAGATTTTTTGACTTTCAAAAAAGATTTTTTGACTTTTGAGAGCTGTGACTTAGTTGTTTTCTTTTAACATTTTTCAAATATTTTTAATTTTCAGAAAAGGTCGTAGGTTTTGAGGCTTTTCCAGACTTTACTTTTAGATGAGATTTAGACTTTTCCCTGCCTTTTTTTTACTTAGAAAGTAAAATAAATCAGTACTTTTCCCCAGAAAATGTAAGCTTACGACTTCAAGAACAGTACTTTACTTTGCACATGTACCTTTATTTTATAGCTTCTTCTGCACATAGAGAGCCCTCCTACTCTAACATCACTGCTAAATCACCATTTAATCTATATTCCTGCAATTTTGATGTTGCTAGTGTTTTTTTAAGGCTGAACCTGATAAAAACCCGGACCAGATGCTCTGCTCTTGGCTAACGTCACGGTGCGAATGACGCTTTGTTGTCAAATACTTATACCATGTGGATGTGAAGCCATCTGTCAGCTGACCACGATGCCCCGTCCCTTTCTTAAACCAGCGCGGCCCGGGCCTGGCTGTGCGCTCGCATGCGCTCCGTGTCCTCTGAAGTCTTCTATGTGTGTCCTCAACACATGGGCCGAATGACGCACATGAGGCTTGTAGCGCACACTGCCTGCTGTCTCCAGCTTCACACTGACATGATCAAGCTCTGAGAGCTGCTGTTTCATTAGCACCAGAGACACACTGCAGCGCCTGATGCGCACACACTCTCTCTGAAGGCCTGCTCTTCTGTCCTCTCACCTGCCTCAGAAAGAACCAGCAAGAGCTGATAGTTACAGAAGCTTTTGCTGCTTCATGTCATACTAGCTTCTTCATTTCACATGGCATGCTGATGCCTTTGTAGTGTTCCTTTTTGGCTGCATGCAGAGCTCCTGCTTACTGTGTTTTAAAAAGGCATTAGTGAATAATACTAATACCGTACTGTGCAAAAAGACCACAGTGTAGAGACCACCCTTCATTTATCAACTGTATTTTTCCACGCCCCCAAAGTTCAGTCTTAGAAGTTGGTTGCATGTTCTGCTTCTCACAAACTAAGTAATTCTACAGTAGAGGGATGGACAGAAACATTCCGAAGTAAGAGTGGAGCTTAATTTTTCTCTTCTCTCCCAAAGATGAAAGCTTTAAGTGCTGTTTATCTGATGCTGACAGGTTGGTGGTCTGCCAGGTCTCACACAGTTGTTAGAAGTCCCATTTTCTATATATCCTTAAATATTTTTAAGTCCAATTTTGAAAACTTTTTTTTTACTGCAAGACAGTATATAGTGTGAATTGAAGTTTTATATAAGTTTAATAATAATAATACAACAATAATAACAATCATTTTGACAATACTGATATCAAATGAAGGATCACAGTATTCCATAACAAAACTATACTATGACAGAAATAAAGCCTAAAGCCTAAACAACTTGTGTGCAATATATTGTGCCTTGTTCTAAAAGCAGTCCATCCTCAACATTCCTTATAACTACAGAGTGATGGGGCAGAGCTAAACTGCTGTAGGCTGAATGAGCAGATGTGTGTAAATCTGTCTGTTTTGTGATATCACAAGAACAGTGAATTCAAAATGGGTTACTAGTTTCCATATATGGGCTGCATGGACTGGGTTTTCTAAGATCTAGGCTTTAAAAAAGAATTTGTAGATATACAGTATTTGAAGTTAGAGGACTGAATTGTTCACCCTGTTGTAGTATTGAAAACATATTGAATTTTTGACACAACAAGATTTACACGACACGACTAGATTTAAAACTTTATAAACTACACACTTAATGGTATTTTTAGATGTTGTATACAGCATTCCAAGGATTTTGTTATATATATATACTGTAAATGTTGTAAACTCTATACTGTAATTAGCTATTTACATGATTTTGGGTCAGGTTATCTCCACTTTTTAATCTTATCCCCACTTTTAAAGTATGAAGTATATTGATGTTAATTTTGTTATTACTTCATTCTCAATGCTCTGCAACCTTCTCAGTCATTTACTCATCATTCATCTACAGCCCTCATCATCCTGGACACATCTAAAACTTCTAAATGTTTTTTACAGTTTCCTACTAACTATTTGCAAGCTAGTTTGCAAAGGACTAGCACACTGAATTCATTATATACATTTATTTGATTTTTTATACTTTTATATCATTGAAAACATTGATCCCAGACTTACAAACAACAGTTTGCATGTATCTGTTTGCTAAGAAGATTACTTAGTTGTGTTAGTGCTGACAGAAGACATAACTGTGGTCTTGTTTTGGCAATTGAACTTATCACTGACCACAACAAAAAGCAAAACGAATACTGCTATTGCTTCCATTCTGCATCAAAAATGTAATGTAATGTAAGGAGATGCAATAAACCACAAATATCTACGAGATGACATATTGGTATTAATAGGTATCAGTATTGATCTGATATCAGCAGAAAATGCTGGGTTAGATATTGGAGAGAAAACAAAAATGAATCTGATCCAGTTGGGTAACAAATGTATCCTTAAGTACCACTCACACTGTGTGATGTGATGTTAGCTGTGTACGTCGTTCTTTTTTTCGAAGCGCCTTAATTAAAATAGCTTATTTTAAAGTGTAGTAGCTTTCAAAGTGAAAAGTCTTCTTGGTTTCAGTTTTGGGTCAGTTTTGAAAAAGGAAAAAGTGGTATCGTGTTATTTCTAGTCATCTCTCCTACTTGTAACTCTGACTGAATGAACTTTTAAAAAGTTTAAAAAGTAACCTACAATATGCTAATCTTATAATGAATGAACCTTTAAAAAGTAAAAACTTTTATTTTTTGTTACATTAATAGATGTTAAAGTTTTTTTCCTTCCTCTTAAAGTTAATATTTCAGAGACAAAGTTTTCTTGCAACAGCAGTGATACTTGTGCACTTGAGCATGTGGTGCAAAGAGGACGACTTGTCTGAAATCTGTCTTATCCACAAAGTTGAACGTCTTGAGCAGACTCGTTTTAAATACACTCATCTGTTCACTTGGCCTAGTTTTATTAGTTCTGGCAAACATAGCAAAATATTGAACAGATTGAGCATTCTGTGTGCCAGTATTGCTTCAATGATTTACAGATGATCTCAGCATTTTAAGCATTGGCTGTGTTAAATGCTCATTTAGCTTTGATTGTCTGTGCTTTGTAGCGCACAGTGTACTTCTGATAAGAAAGCTGTCATGTCAAGTGGATGTGTGGTAAGGGTGGACAATGCGATGATATGATATAATAACGATATACTCTGTTGAGTATATCATGGACATAGTCAGTACTTCTGGAACACAGAACTGTATGCATCATCCAATAGACAGATTAAAACACATTATACAGACCCTGTAAACAATAACTAGTGTGCAGCAGCTGCATAAACAGCATAGTAATGAGTAGCACATTGAATGTCATTACATTATGCCATTAAGCAATATATATATAAATACTGATTTATTTTTGTCAGTTTTTTTTTGGTAAACTTATTAAAATATTGTTGTCATTGCATCATAAGATCAATATACAACATTTTACCTGTTCCAACTTGTTCGAAAAGCTAAATATTGTGTATCTTTGGGAATGTTAATGTGCAGCAGTAACAGCTGATATATGCTGATCTGCAGACTACCTGGCCAGCCGTGGGCGGCTGAGTGAGGCGGACGCTCGCCGGAAGTTCTGGCAGATTCTCTCGGCCGTGGAGTACTGCCACGAGCGCGGCATCGTCCACCGAGATCTGAAGGCTGAGAACCTGCTGCTGGATGCACATATGAACATCAAGATCGCAGGTAAGTGGATGCAAGTTTACATATCTTTACTATTAATTGGTTATTGGTTTTAATGATATACTCCAGTATAAAGCCCAGTGATAATCATAGTAGTTCAAGTTTTGATAATTCCAACAACCACAGATGTCTTTAAAAAGTCTCAGTGGAAGCAAGACATGCGTCAGGACATCACTTCTTCATAATGAAAACAGCAGTAGTGCTGGTGATAATTTCACATTTGTTCAAGTTGTAGTGTTGTTAAATTGTAGTTGCAGTTGATTGGTGTTATAAAATAATATGAGAGCTGGCTGATGTAGTATCTGTGCTGCATTACTGCTTTTTCGGTATATTTTAACCATACAGTGATAATGCCAGAAATGTTCATACCGTCCCATCCCTAAGACATGTGCACACCCCAGTAAGAAGTCATGCAACACTTCTCCACATGCCCCATAAAAATAGAACACAAAGAGAAAATCTGCCTTTTTTCTTATAGACAACCATTCACTATGCTGAGTTATGCAAAATGCTAAACTTTGCTCAGGTCAGGGTTTTTGGTGTGTAAAAGAAAGGCGTTAATTGAGAAGGGCTGAAGTGTTGATCTAAGTAATCTCTTAAACCCGCAGGAAACCTAAATCCGTGTTTTCTTTCTAATTAGGTTAATCTTGCTCTTTGGGCTCAAACCACACATGTACAAAGTATACCATAGGAAAAAAAACGTTCCAAATGAGTAATAAGTGGCCAGTGTATTTCGCCAAAATTTTCCCCCTTTAATGTAAACTGTGCACTCCTAATAATGGGTAGTGCTTATGTTAGCATTACCCTCACCAATCACAAGGCTGTTGTGAGTTGGCTAACCCAAACAGCTTCACCAAAAGTGGACATCTTGAGGTGGAGTAACGTTTTATGGACTGATTAGTCTAAATTTGTTTCCCTGTGGTCTCTCTGTGTTTGAGTTAGAGAAACTTGCAGCAGCTAACTTAGATTATAGAATATTATGATCACACCCTGACCGTTTTCTTATGTTTCATATGTCTGATCAATGTTTTTTGAGCAGTGTTTTATCACGTCTGTCTTGTTTTCTTTTTCTTTAAACTTTGTCGGTTGTTTGATATAACACTCAATTTTAATATCTTACGAGTATATTTAATATTTTACTGTTTTCCTTGGGTTTTGAAGATGTAGGCTTGTTGTTCTAACTACAGTAAATTATTTAGTAACTGCAAGAGATACATGCTAGCCTTATTAGATAATTTTTTGAGATTCTTCGAGATACTTTGAGATTCTTTGAGAGTATAATTTGCAGGCAAAAGTTCCACCTCTCTGGTGGAAATGTGTAACTGCATGCAACATACCGAAGAAAATTTTGTAACTCTGGTTGTGTTTCTGACCCCTTCCCCAAGCGGATGAATCTGATGATTGCATGTGTGTTGTGTTCAAAACTTGGTGAAAGACTCCTGTCTTCCGAGTATATGAGTGAATTATCTACTGTTGTCGTCATATCTTTATAAGTATAATGTTAATTTTGCATTTGAGACTCAAGCATCGAGCCGGATCTTCTTTTTGAGCCTGTACATGTGACGTTGATCTGTAAAGATGTATTAATACTTAAAGACATATGACATGGTCCAAAAAAACCCGCAAATTCTAACCAGACACGTTTGACCTGTGTGGATCAGTAATGCTACTTATTTCAGTTTAAACCAAATGTCTTGCAAAGTGCAGCTTTAACTCTTAAGAAGCTGGTTTGTAAGTTCTGTAGTTAACAGGTTAACATACCTGTTTTTTATTCCCAAATGTAGTTCCTATACAGCAAATGTATGTTCATTTTAATCTGGTTCACTAAAAATGGGTTAATTATTCAGTTTTTATTGTAATTTAGTTGCATTGTGCACTTTTTGCTGTGACGGTTCTGCCTGCAGTATGTGTTAAAGCCACAAATCCAAAAAGCCCAGCCTTCACTTTCCTTCAGGCACACCACATTTCAAACCAGATAACACACATACACGCATGCATACCAACAGCAGTCAGTCTCTCAGCCACTCCGGGATCGCATATTTACCCAGTGACGTCAAGTGGAAGTCAGGCCAGTAGCACTGAGGAATGAACTAATATGCTCTGAGATCAAACACGCACACATTCACAGAGCTGTAAAACCGGCTGAGCATGGTGAATCACCAGGCCTCCCACAGTTTATTTGTAAGAATCCAAAGATTTGAGGAAATGAATTATTACAAACATGCTAGGGCAACATGACAGAAGATGTATTATGATTATATTAATAACTTTTTTTCGCAGCACGCTTGTTGCTTGGCTTGGTTAAAGATAGAACTGAACAGTTTGGTTTATATTTGTCAGTGTGGATCCCTGTTGTTCTCACAGAACACAAAAATCTTCTGTGAGCTGTTAGCACGTCCTTTGCGATGTAACAGCAAATTTTAGTGCATTCACACTGGGAAATGAATCGGCATGTAGTGCACTCTAAGTACCTGAATTATGTTCTAGAACCACTCAAAAGTAAGCGTAGAACAATGCAAACGACAACCACAGGCTGTCGTACATAGCAGAAGTGGAGGAACCAGCACAGGAAGCTGCAGTTTGTAATTTCAAACAAGAATTGGATATAATGCAGTACCTGCATTTTTGTATGTTGTTTGCATTTTGCATTATGCAGCCAAGTATTGCAGAATGTTATAAAGGTATCTGTGCATCTTATATAGGTTACTTTAGTTCACTAGCGTAAGCTGACTGTGAACCGAGGTGCGATTCAGTCATGTGAGGTACCACACAGTAATTTGTCATTTCCATTTAGTGCTAATCGTTAGTGTTTGATTTGAGACAGTGCTACCCTACAAAAGTTAAAGTGCTAGAGAGAGAAGTACACAGTATATAGTGTAAGAATATAGTGCACAGCAGCTGAATTGAGTCTGACTGTTGTAGCTGTCGACAGTATAGCTAACCATTAGAGCTAACACTGCTTCATTTAGATATACTTCTGAATTGAATAGTTTACAGTGACTTTCTTGCTGATGCATTGCAGAGACCAGTATCGCAATTAGGGCCAAGATTACGTGATTAAACTTGGATTTACTTGATTCAAAAGAAAGAAGTGATAAGACAGTGGGAATTGAGTGAAACATGGTAGCAAGGAAGGTCTCTGAGCAACCTGAGTGTTTTTGGTGGTGGTGGTGGTGATTGTGAGGGGCGTAAAACATAATATTGGTATTAATATTAATTAATTAATATTATTTTTCCTTGCCTGCTAGTGCACAGTGATGTAATTAAAAATGAGAACATTTTACATTTACATTTTTTTTGAAAAACAAGAATTTTGTCTTTGAAATGATAAACTGGTGACTAATATGATCAGGGACTTGAACTGAGCAGATAAAAAATGTCAGTTTTGATTTCAAGTTGATTCCTCATAATAATCAGTAGATTACTTATAAGATTAGCATATTGTAGATACCACAGCACTTAAAGAACACTGACTACGTGTTTCATAACATACTGAGCATAATTAGGCCTGTTTAATTGGATTTTGTGCATTATTTTATTATTATTATTATTATTATTATTATTATACTTGTGGTAGTGCAGGTTCTATTTTGTCTGTTCCAACTTATTAAATCTCAGTAAATAGAAATACCAGTCTGCATATCATGTATCATGAAAATGCCTTGAAGTTTTGTGATCTTTTTGCCACATCGTCCAGCTTTATGTACAAAATATTTCACATGCAATAATACTTTTGTCAAACCACACCAGAAACTGTAGAAGTGTCACAAACTTTAGCATTTTCATCTAATTCAGCTTTCTGAATAGACAAATACAGACATATAATGGTTTCAGAAAAGCATTCACACATCAGCTGTAATGCCCTCTCGGCATGAAAAAAGTGTGAATATGAAAAAGTGTGAAATCTTCACCTTTGCATAATTTTTACATTTGCACTCCCCATCCCCCACTAACCTGGCAAAAGGCTTGTGATCGCAAACATCAATCACTGCATCTGACCTACATTCTCAACTCCGAGACATTTTTGTGTGTGTGCGCGTATGTGTGTGAGTTGTAGGCTCACTTTATCTAGATCCGTAGCTTGTTGTTTTCCAAGTAAATGATTGCTGCAGTGTGACAATGGAGGCTGGCTCAGACTGAAGTGATAGAGTGAGGGGCCAGCCGGGTGTTCCATAGGTGCCAGTCTCCAGCTGCTGAAAGACGCATTGTAGAGAAACGACTGTGTCTGCATTTACGTCACAACAACGTGGGCGAGGGAGGGGTCAAAAGACTGAAACTGCATTATAAGGCATTCCTAGTTTCTAGAGCGTCTTGTATATACAGTGAGTTTTACTTTATTATTGCTGATGCTTTTATTGCACTCATTACTTAAGATGACGTTCGATATGGAAATGTTTATGGAGGTTTATTAGCTCATATACTCATAAACTCCAAACCAGTTTTATCAAATGGTCTTTGTCATCATTTTAGATGCAGAACACCTCATGGATATAGATTGTAACTCACTTAGTCACGCAAACACACACTCAAGGATGTTTATCAGGCTGAAAATTCTCCACATAGGGGCAGTGTTTGCAGTTTTTGGTGCTTCTGTTTTAGTCCAGACCCAGACCACAAATGCATGGTGTCCAGCCAATAATTACAACTGATAAATTTGCGGTAATTACTGGTTATTACTAGTGTTGTGCAATTCCTCAAATGGATAGCATAGTGTATAACATCATAGAGTTCATAGTCAGTAGTTATCATGGCTATGCAAAATGAATAATCATCCATTTTTAGAGTTTTTTCACGTGAGCTTCTTTTAAAATGCACAAAAATAACGATCAGTATCAGCCGCTACAAGGTCTTCATCATCGCTCTGAAATCCCATATCAGTGCTTTAACCTTTTACACCTCTGATTCATTCCATTGGTTTTTCATTCCTCCAGTTTGGTAGTGAAAGAGTTAACCTCCACTGAAACACTCCCATTCACCCCTACGTGTCAGTAAAGCCTTCGACCTGAACACTTCAGATACCATGACCTCTTTCATGGCCTCAGCTATAATATTCCCCCACTGACTTTCAGTTTGCTGCCCTTTCCCTTTCCCACATGCTTGCCTGTTATATAACAAGGGCAAGGCAATAGATTGCGTTCAAGATTCCATCATAACAGCATAACGCCAGCAGTATGTCAGCAAGCAGTCACTGTCAATTCATCCGGGCGGCCCCCATGAGTAGAGGAGCAGGGTTTTTTGCCCATTGTCCAGGCCTGTTTCCCCCGCGTCAGTCATTTGACAAATACATAATCCTGTAATCTCCTCTTATTAACATGTTCCCAAGTACATTTGTCCAGTTTTATTGATACAGAGTCAGAAACTACATAAGCAAATCTATGCAGGTCTAAACAAACCTATATTACTTCTTAGCTACGATAGCCACAAAGCTCCAGTGCAATACTAACAAAGCAAACTTCAGACACCAAACATGTCTTGGCTGATCGATTACATCTGGTGAAAACTGTAAATTTTTATCTTTTTGGCAAACTCTTCCTTTAAGTTTATAAAAATATGAACATACAAATATATTGTGTTACACAATTTTCAGTAGTCATTATCACTCTATCCCACTGAGTATAGAAGACGAGAGTAGTATGTCACGGCTTTGCACTGCTGTCGAGGTGAGCTTTTTACAAGTTGGGGGTACTGCTGCGGTGGCCCTTTTCACTAGGAATGCTTCATATTTGACAACATTTGCTAAACTGAATGTTGACATTCATGTTTTGTGACCTTACCTTTTGTTCTAGACTTCGGCTTTGGAAACTTTTTCCGCCCCGGAGAGCCTCTGACCACGTGGTGCGGCAGCCCCCCGTACGCCGCCCCGGAAGTGTTTGAGGGCCAACAGTATGAAGGTCCACAGCTGGATATCTGGGTAAGAGGATCCACAGTACACTTCAACCACACAAGCATGTGCAGCACTGTTTAAAAGTTTCTAATCACTATTCAAAAGTTTGGAATCAGTGTTTTCAGTATTATAAAACAAATGTGATTGCAGATAGATGTATATAGTGATTCTAATTCCCATGCAGCATTTTCAAGCAATTAGTAGAAAGCTATAAAGCCTAAAATAATTGGTGAATCTGAATTTTTAGATTTTGAGTTTACCTTAGGGCATAATTGTCAAGTATGAAGGAAATAAGTATAATTATTTTTTTGTTTTGTGTATTTGCTTTATATTAATGCCAGGATTCCATAATTTATAACAAATAAAATTATAGTATATAATATTTAGGTCTGTATTATATTAATTATCAAATAAACAAAAAAAGAAATACAAACTTATGAAAGCAACTGACGTCAAACCTTTTGATCAGTACAGCCAAAAAGAGGCCATCATCCATCGTCCACTGCTGTGGAGATACAAAGATCAAAATTGTGAAATACAAGCATCCCCAAGTCCAAAGCTCTTAAATTGCTAAAGGGCTTGCTGTCTGCTGTATTCGTGGCCTCTTGTCTCACTGGGACAAGCACAGTGGGTTGCGTCACCGGCTAATGGTCATTTTGATTGATTCTCCACTCCAAGAGCACATGCTTGTTATTTCCTGTTTGTTGTTGAAGTGGTCCTCTATGAGTAATGCTGGTGTGTGTGCTGTTATGTAGAGCATGGGGGTGGTCTTGTACGTGCTGGTGTGCGGAGCTCTGCCGTTCGATGGGCCCAGCCTGCCTGTTCTGAGACAGAGGGTCCTTGAGGGCCGTTTCCGCATCCCCTACTTTATGACCGAGGGTAAGGCTATAGTTTCCTCTTATTTGAAAACAAGATGTTCACCACAAGTGCTCTATTGAAGAGCCTGGCAGAGCCTGACTTCATTACTGGGATTTGCCTTCAGATTTGTTACATGTTGCATTATGTTTGTCTGCTTACCAGGAAAAGAAAGTCTGAGCGTATAACTCCAGTCTTATTCAGTTTATACTGGCTTCCTGTTAAATTTCATATTGACTACAGGGTCATGATTGACATATACAGCTCTTAATGGCCTAGCTCTGGCATATCTTAGTAAACAGTTGAAGTGTTACAGTCCGTCCAGACCGCTTCACCCAGCTGAGACAGGTTTAGTGTACAATTCTATGATCTCGTACAGCTTATTTGGTGGAAAGTCTTCTTCCTATATGTCTCCTAAACTCTGCAACAGCATTCCAGAGAGCAGTAGGAATGCAAACTCAATAGGTGTTTTTAAATCAAGATCAAACATATACAGTATTGTGCAAAAGTCTAAGCACCTTGTTTAGTAGTTGAGCTGTTGTGAGCTGGTTAGAAGAATGCAGGTTCCAGATTCCTCCTCATTGTCCCCAGCTACTGCGTATATTTGTTCAATTTCACCTTCAACACACCTGATTTAATTGAATGAAGTACTGATCAGTTAAACCAAGTATGGGATGATAATACTGCCCTGCCAAGAGCAGAAGTTTGGAAATGGTTAAACAAACACACAGAATTGCATGAAATCATTACATATTGTATTATTTGTACTTTGTATTTATTGTATTTTGCACAGTACTGTACAGGCTAGCATATGCCTAGAGTACTTTTTACTTGTCTTGTAACTAAAATGAAAAAATGAAAAGTGCTATGTTATTATTATTATTATTATTATTATTATTATTAATTAACTGGCCTAATACTCTTCCATTACGCTAACAGCCTGAAAGTTAAGAATGTTCTTACACTTACCTGCTAGCTGATTAGCCTCAAGGTGGGAAAATATAGCTAAAATTTAGACAAAAACTGGTAAACATTGTCTTTAAAAGAATAGTTTGGCAAAAAATCTAATTCATACAGTTTTACCCTTATACCAAATATAGTCAGTCACCTGAGGCATGTTTGGTGTCTGAAGTTTGCTTTTTTAGTTTTGTACTGAAGTTACAATAGTAAACAAAAGTGTAAACAAACCCGGTCAAATTTTTGAAAATGAAATGAAAATAAGTTAATATATCCTTGACAGGGAACAAACTTAAATAAAAAAAAAACAAAAACATAAAATACTAAATGTGCCGTAACGTATGCACAGGTCACGTTGTATGTTTCGTTGCTTTTCCCCAATATATTAAACTCAAACGTGTCTTGGCTGAATAACTACATTTGGGGTAAGGCGGGAATTGTATGAATTAGATTTTTTGCCAAACTGTTTCTTTACAGTACAGGTCTTTAAACCTGACGACTGCAAATGTTTGTTGTTCTCTCCTCAGACTGCGAGCACCTAATCCGGAGGATGCTGGTGCTGGACCCGGCCAAGCGTTTGTCCCTGAGCCAGATCCGTGAGCACCGCTGGATGGTGCAGGAAGTGCCGTCTCAGAGGCCTGTACTGTATCGGCAGGGCGTGGCCGCAGACGGCAAGGTGGGCTTGGGAGAGCATAGCGAACAAGTGCTCCGTCTCATGCACAGTCTGGGCATCGACCAGCACAAGACTATAGAGGTGAGGCTGGCTTTTAGCAGGTTAGAGAAGCAGCATTTAGAGATACATATGCATTGCACTGTGATTGTAGATGGTCGGGATATAATATAATGGGGTCTGATGAACGATTCGGCAAGTGCTGTGGTCCATACTTGCAGGTTTTTAGGCTATTGATCTAGTTTTGGCCATGTATTTCTGTATTATTATATCCTTTATGATATAAGAGGCAACCCAGCTCAGCATATCTAAGAGCTTTTACAGTTTTTTTGCCTTAAAATGTAGTTGATCAAAAAATGATTGGTGTCTGAAGTTTGCTTCTTTAGTTTTGCAAGGCTATTTTAAGTAACAAGTAAGGGAATTTTATAGTTGCTTCTTACTTGTATGGTGTCTGACACTGTATGGCTCACTAATGCTAATTATAATCCTATAAAAATGGACAAAAGTATGTTGCATGGCCAAAAAACGGTAGAAGCAACCATCTTGAAGTCTGGATTTTGTCCATGCTTCTGTCCATTTTTATGTATAATGTTATATCATTCAGAAATCACATAAGCATTTAAATCTCTAAAAGAATGTGTCAGTTTTCCATCTCCTTTTCTCCCATGCAGTCTCTCCAGAACAAAAGCTACAACCATTTTGCTGCTATCTATTACTTGCTGGTGGAAAGGCTGAAGGCCCACCGAAGCAGCTTCCCCGTAGAGCAGCGGCTCAACGCCACCCAGCGCCGCCCTAGCACCGTCGCTGAGCAGACAGTTGTCAAGGTAACGCTCTCCTGCCAAGGTGCCCCAGCTATGTTCCAATGGCAACATTCTAAGAGCGCAAATAAAAGTCACACGGAGCAAAAGCACCACATTCCTGTGATCTTGCTGCTCAAGGCAAACCTCTGATGCAGCAATTGGAGAACACAGGAGTTTATGGTTCACCATTTGGTTAAAAAAAAAAAAAACATGGTACTGTGCAATTGTGTGTAGGAATTTGATAGGGAGTACATTTTAAAGCAAGAGTTTAGCAACAAATCTAATCTACACAATTTTCTCCTTACCCCAAAGTTTGTCAGTCAGCCAAAATACATTTGGTGTCCAAAGTTTGCTTTAGTTTTGCACTGGAGCCTTAAGGCTGATGTAGCTAACAAGTAACAGAAGTAAATTAGCATTGTGCAAATCATATGCCGAAATCATTGCGCACTTGCCTCAATCCTTGTCAGGTTATGTAATCTCAAATAGACTTGTATTTGTAGTATATTACTGTATGATAAACTATTGTCTATAAAAACGGATACAGATACAGTCACCTCTGAAAGTACTGGCATGGCAAGGCCAATTTTTTTTGTTTTTGCTATGCACTGAAGGCATTTGAACTAAAGATCAGAAGATGAATATGAGAAAGTAGATCAGAATTTCAGCTTTAATTTCCTTATACGACACCAAGACGTGTTAAATAACTTAGTACATGGCACCTTTTGTTTGAACCCACCCACTTTTCAAATGAGCAGGAATATTGCACAAGTGTTTCTTGTTGCCCAGGTACGTCCTGTCAGATTGATTGTTTAAATAATTAGTAGTTTTCAATGTCTAACTTTTGGAGTATCTAGCCTTTGGGTTTCTGCTCATGACTCAAAACATAAAAGCTTATTGTTCAAGCCAGTGGAGGTAGTGTCACAGCTGCTTCTGGAATGGGCTCACTAATCTTTATTGATGAGGCAGCTCATGATGGTTGCAACAGAATAAATTCAGAAGTCTACAGATTCCATCTGCCAATTTACAGAGAAATGCATCCAACCTCATCAGGAGGAACGTCATCATGCAGCAAGACATTGACCCAAAACACACTACCAAAATAACAAAGGGGAAAAATGAGTGGAAGGTTTTAGATTGGCCAAGTCAGTGAATAGATCTTTACCCAATTGAGCATGCATTTTTACCCCTGAAGAGGAGACTGAAGGGAGAAACCCCAGGACAAACAGCAACTGAAAGAAAAAACTGGAAAAGCATCACAAAAGAAAAATGCAGCAGTTTAGTGATGTCAGTGGGTGGCTGGCTTGATGGCAAATATTAAGCATTATTTACTTTAATTTAAGACCATCTGTTTCTGTACTTTTCCTACCCAGAAAATTGGGTGGTCTGTCACCGAAGGTTTAACACATGTAGATGTAAATATCAGGGGAAAAAAGCTGAAATTGATCTGTTGTCCCATATTCATTCTTTGATCTCAATCCAAAAGTCTTCATTTGGCCTTGCAGTTCCAGTACTTTCAGAGGGGACTGTATGTTGCCTAGAGTTTGTCTGTGTTTTAGCCTCGTGGTTCCAGTGCAACACCAAAAAAAGCAAACCTCAGACGGTAAACTGGTCTTATAATGTAAATTAAAACTTCTACTCAACTACTGTTTCAAAGGAAAATCACCTCAAAAACGTATAGATCTCACCATATGTTAACATGGCATTGGCATTCCTTTTTTTTTTTCTTCTTACTTACAGGCTTCTGTCCCGGCCCAGGTGGGTCTCACCCCTCAGTCTGCACGCCACCTGCGCTCACCGGTTCTCCTGCAGACCTCCACTGAGACATTTAGCTTCCCACAATGCCCTGCTTCCCCAGAGCAGGCCCTCATGGAGGAGGAGGTGGCTACTCCCAAGGTTAGTGAGAAGTTTCCGGATGGGAATATGGTGTTTGAGTTGTCCTCGTTATCAAATTGTAACAACCGGTAAATTGAGTTTGGTATCACATGAACCATACATACATTCGCTGGGCAAGACAGATTTGCCACATTTTTCTACTGTGCATTCACATGATATCCAGGAAGGTACTGGCCAGAGATACATTGTAAACTCGGGTAGGTCTTAAACTTGGGATACTTGTGACTTCTGAATTCTAATGGATAAGAGAACCTGCTAATATACATGGCCATGTGCTGTGTTGTTATTGTTATTGAGTCTCACTCCGGTCACATAATGCTGACATGTGAATGTCTGGCCTGTGACCTTTTAAATCAGTACTTTATCCTGTACAAATCCATCACAAATTACAGAACCTCCTCTGGTAAAACTAATCCAGCTACAAAAGTACTTTGGTCAGACACTCGAGTGCTGTGAACTCAGAAATTCACAAGTTTAAGAATGCACCAGTAGAAACAAACGTGGCATTCTTTAGCAAGGCAGCAAGTCCCACCGGCGGCTTGTGCAGGGAGAGCGAGCGGAGTCAGAATCCATGCGCTTTAGCCGGAGGCTATATTTGTGCGCTAGTCGGGTTTTTTAAAATAGCAGCGTTACTCATTGGGCGCCGCTGGATGACGCCAGCGAGGGCTTCTTTTGTCTGCGCCGTGTGAAGTTCCTCCGCCACCGTGCCACCTTCCACTCTTCCTCATGACTCATCATCATCATCGGCGGAGAATCGGCCTCTGCTCTTGAATCCTAAAATAACACCAGTGCAGAGATGGCAACTAATGAAACCCCTCCCCGTTTCTTTCTACTTAGCTTTATGTCTCGACGTAGCTGGCTAGGGATGCGTATGGATTTGAGTAAGAGTGTAGGGTGTATGCTCTACAGCTTAAGTGAATTGTGAGTGGAAAATCACTGTGAGTTAGGATTTTTGAGCTATGTGGCCCCTTTGTTTGGGCTCAGTTGCTTAAGTCCCACTGCTGAGCCAGGCCAGCTGCCGGCAGTTACACAACACACCGGGCCATCGGGCGTCTGCCAGCCCTCATCTGACCAGCGCTGGGCCGCCCGCTAGCCATGCTTCTCCCTCCCTCTCTCTCTCTCTCTCTCTCTCTCTCTCTCTCTCTCTCTCTCTCTCTCTCTCTCTCTCTCTCTCTCTCTCTCTCTCTCTCTCTCTCTCTCTCTGCCAGCCATCAGGAGGTGTGACTACGTACCACCTTTTTCAGCTAAATCAGGACCCTGGCTGTCGCTAGGCGGTCGCCATAGTTACCGTATATTTAATTCCTAGCACTGTGGCTCAGCCTTTTCGTGGTTCTTATGAGCATCAGCCCATTTGCCCTTAAAGGAATACTTCCCCAAAATGCTAACATTACTAACACTGCATCAGAATCAGAAGTATGTGCGCACACACAAGGAATTCAGTCACATAACGCAGAAGCTCACAACAGATATTTTTCACTTAATGCGGTCACATAGACATTTATTCCCTGAATACACGTTAAGATGCCTTCAGATACTCATTTCTGTAAACATTTGCACAGACATAGATTCATAAAAGCAAGAGTTATGCACAGATTCAGCAACCAGATAATAGGTAACAGATGGAAATTAAACTCAGTGGTGCAGTGTTGTATTACCACATTTATGTCTGTTCATTGTATATGAGTCTATTGCCTCTCCTCCCTTTTAACAAACCTCCAGACGAGAATTCAGGTTTACAGATACTTACAATTAGTAATAAAACAACTATTTTTCACCCTCTGGAACCTGTTTGGAGTGATGCGGAACTAATTACATCAAATCACAATTTGGTAACATTACCACTACGATAGCTAAAGTGATGGCAAGTGACATCTTTCTAGAATTCCAAGCATTTCTTCAGAGCATGCCGTGACTGAGTTATTAAAATGTGGCTTTACTGTCAGTGGCAGAGCTCACAATAAAAAGAACCGGATAAAGGCCTATTCACACCGAGTCCGATTTTACAGCCGGAAAAAACGCACGTCCACTTTTGACCAGACGTATGTTAATGCTGTCTTTCACATAGAGTCCAAAACAGATTACGCACTGTGCAATTTTTTAATTAGAGCCTGCTCGTTCTTCTGCATTGTACAGATATATAAAAAATCGGGCTGGCCAATCAGCACTGTCATGGTTGCCGCCCAGATAAATATGCATCAGGATGCCGGTGTGGCTTGTAGCAGAGCACAAAAGCTTTTTCGACAAGCAACATGGTGACTATAAAAACGCGGAGGTTAAAGAAAGTAGCTATATGGTGGATCATGGCTGAAAGGGCTGGTGAATGAGAATGAATACATTAGAGCAACAGTATAAAGGTTTTTTTAGATTATGTAGGGTGGATCCTGCTTTGCCCACAAGGAACTGCAAACTATTAGATTTCCTCACTAATGAAGGCCCCTTTTTAATTTGAGGAGCAACAAGCTCATTATACAGCTTCAGCTCTTGTATAAGGCAGTGGAACTCCCCATGCTGGTGTCTTTTCTGTAGGATGGGGTGAATTCAGTGTGTGTGTTTTGTTTAGTTGCAGTGTTTAAAAGATAATTGATTAATTCACCAGAACTGCTAGTCAGAGAATCTATTTCTTCTTCCTCTTCTGTCTTCTTTACGCGTTTGTTTAGACAAAAAAACGCTCTGGCTTGTTGCAAAGGTCCCACTACTTTTTTTATTTTTTTGTTTTTTATTTATTTATTTATTTATTTTAATTTTTGCATGCTTGTTAATTGTAAATATGATGTATACACTAGAGGTCTGCACGGGCTTGATTATTAATGCCTGCCCCCACCTACTTCAACCAGCAATCACGTCCACACCCGCCTGGTGTAGGACACATCCATGCAGAAGGATACGCTTTAAGAATTTTTTTCACAAAGCTGGCCACAAGATTCACTGGTATAGTGCAGATTTTTATTTCCATCCTACCCCTTTTCATGAGTATAAAGACATGAGGAAAGGAACTTTTATGCAGTTTTGTTGTTTTAACCCTTACAGTCACTGTCGGCTTATCTCATAAAAAGTATCTTTACAGGAGAAGGAAAAAAAATTATTAACTTTCAGTTTTCAGTTGGAAGATTTTATTCTAAGTCATTTTCTGCCTTTTCTATAGTTCCGTTCGTCATGACATTCTGACTAACGGCAGCTGACATTTTCAAATGATGTAAAATATGTGGTAGGGGTGGGCGATATGGCAAAAATAAAATACTGTGATACTTGAAGACATTTTATCAATACACAATATTTAATTTTTCTGAGGTTTGACAAGTTGGAACAGACAGAATGCACCTGAAGTACCAAGTTAAAAGTACTATTAAACTTCTGTGTTTAACATTTCCCACACTGCTCCAAATCCAATAAAAGTCATGAATTATAAAAATGTAGATTTAGTCCAATTATTGAAAGCATGTAAAAATCAATCAGTGCATAGTAATTGCATAAACTGCATAGTAATAGTAGCTGATTGGATGTGAGCATTTACAGGTGAAGTATACTTTTAAACAGGTCCTATTTTGTACATCTTGCAAAGATCACACCAGGGCGCCTCGAAGGATCCAGATGTTTTCAGATGCTCTGTTGCCCAGAAAAGCTGAAAGGACAGCAGAGTAGAGAGAATGCTGTCGGATTCCCAGCCCTGACAAACGGATCACCAGCGGGCTTATCCTGATTTACGCATCTGCTAGAAGCCAGCAGGCATTTGATAGCATGAAGTAGTGTTACATAATTCAGATAAATAAAATGGACCAGGGGCACGTAATCGGAACCCTGCGCACAAAAGATGATTAACCGGCCGAGGATGTGAGGAGGCGGAATGGTTAATAGAATTTTTGCTCTGCTTGTTGGGATTCTCAGAAGCAGGCACCGGTTCCCCAACGGCTCAGGCATCAAGGCCCCGTTTTTTTCTGCTGTTTCGTTTTCTTGCTCTGCGTGTGATGCTATTGTGATGCAGATGGTGTATGTGTTTCTGTGTTTCATCTGCCTATTCATAACATAAAACTCTCTTCCTTCTTTACCTAATTTGCATACTGTGCAAGAATAGCAAGCAGCATCTCTTTTTGAATCCATAGTGTGTATGTGCTGATTCTAACGCTTCAGCTTTGTCTGAATCTAAGGCAGCCAGTCTCTGACCTGAAAACATTTTAGTTTGATTGCAATTCTTTAGAAAAAGGTTAATCAAATCTCAGTTTTCATGATTCCAGGAGATTCAAAATTCTTTTTAAAAATATGCAGAGATGACTGAGGTATTTACACAGTGGTGAAATATGGACAATAAAAGCAATTCATCAAGCTTGAGATTTCCATTTTGTTTGAAAAAAAAAATTATTATAACATATTTGAACTTTGATTGTGTTACCGCCTTACAATTTATGCATCATGATACATCAGTGCATAAACCTCTCAAGGCTACAGCTTGTTGTTTGTAGATAGTTTCTTGTGAGCAGTGTGCATTTCATAAATGCCTTCCCTTCAGGTGGACGGCTGTCTGTTGGACCCTCTGCCCCCAGTTGTGGTCCGCAAGGCCAGTGGCTCGCTGCCAGGAAACGTCCTGGAGACGTCCATTGACGAAGGAATTGAGGCTGAGGAGGAACAGACTACGCCTCCTGCCGCCTTCCAGACCACTCGCTTCAGCCAGCGCAGGCACACACTGTCTGAGGTCACCAACCAGCCGGGAGCTCTGCCCACCACAGGTCTGTGTGTGCGTGTGGTGTTGGTGCATGTACAGCTAGTAGTTTTTGAATCACAACTTCTATAGATGCAATGCATACTGCACTACATGTTTGTTTATATATAAACACTCGGTACTATGCATTTAAATAAATAGGTAAAAAAAAAGGTTACGAATTTTTCAGCGCCAGCAGAAATCACATATTAACTGAATATTACACAGAAGCCTCAATGACTAAATCTTAATTTTTTCAGTATTAGTTTATTCACTCTTTGCCTTTTATTACAGTTTTCTTTCTTTCAAAGAGACTTGCTTTCAGTTTTTCACAGAACTCTGCATTGAAATTAATCTGTGTATCTAGACAGGGACTCGGATAGATGGATAGACGTAATAGAATGACAAGCAGATAGGTAGATGGATGGCTAGATAGGTGTATAAAATAGATACATGGGTGGATAGATAGATAGATGTATAAATGGATGGATCGATGGACAAATAGATACAGACCTAGATGTCCTGAAACTGTAAAATGTTCATACTGGGGTAGTAGTTATAAGCAGTACTGCTGTAGGGTAAATGAGTTTTGCCTGCATGTTGTCTTCACAGGGAAGCTACTTTCCATGGGCCTGAACCCGTCTCTGGGCAGCATGGACTCCGAATATGATATGGGCTCAACACACAGTGACCTCAGCCTACCTGAAGAGACTCCGACTCTTACAAGCATGCTGGCTGCAACACCCGTCAGTCAAGGAGGCCCCTCCTTCATTTCCATGAAGCCTGCTAACCCAACCCTGCAGGCCCTGAGCTCAGAGGGGCGGGACACTCACAATCATTCACCAGTCAACTTCCGAGAAGGCCGCCGAGCGTCCGACACTTCTCTCACACAAGGTGGGTTTTATTCCCTTCTATTGGATAAATAGGGAAGATAGGTAGATGGATAGATTAATGAATAGATAAATTAATGGATAGAAAGCAGGATGAATAGACATGTATAAATGGAGGAATGTGTAGATGGATAAATTGATAAATGAATAAACCAGTGTATAGATAGCAGAATAAATAGGTAGAGATGGATAGACAGATGGATGAACAGATAACAGGATGGATTGATAAACGGATAAATGGATGCATGAATTGATAAATGGATGGATTGATGTACAGATTGACGGATGGTTGGATTTATGCATAGATAGACTGATGGATCGATGGATGGTTGGGTGATGACTAAATAGCAGGATAAATAGGTAGAAGGACGGATGGATAGATTGACAAATGAATAAAGAGATAAATTTATGCATGGATTGATGCATAGACTATTTGATGGATGACCATATTATCTATACTGTTCCTGTTAGTTTTTGGTCTCTTACAGGTTCTTCATCACTAATCTTTTCTGTCTCGCTCCTCTCTCCCTGTCACTCAGTTGCTATAAAAACCCCATTTGCGTCAGTCTGTCCAAATCCATTTCCAGCCCATTCTCGGTTCATTTGAAGAACCCTGTAGTGCCTCCTTTCCCAGCCCACACCAAATGACACTCACTCTGATTGACTCCTGACCTCCCATTAATGATGATTACGTCTGATTCCTAAAAAAAAACCTCTTGATGATTCAATTCAGCAGCGATCAAGGCAGCAGTCAAAACTATGAAACAGCTTATCTCTCGCAACAACTGCAGAGCTACAGTATTTGTCTGCCATTTAGTTTTTGCGTTCTGTTCCATTATGCCTTGTGTTCTACATGCTTTCTAGGTCTGGTGGCTTTCCGGCAGCACCTCCAGAACCTGGCCAGGACCAAGGGCATCCTGGAGCTGAACAAGGCCCAAATGGTGCTAGGATCTGGGGCTGGAGATGCCAACTTCCAACCTAAACCCCTGGAGCTCTCAGAGCTCTTAGAGCCTCAGCACCAGGTAAGGATTTTCAACATGCCCTGCATTTTGATTCTAGAAAAAGAATGGCACTTCTAAACTTCCCAATTTTGAAGGGCATTCTGAGTCTCAGGTCAGCAGCCCCTCGAACCCTGAAACTGATTCAAGGTGGACTTGTACACTTAAAAATGTACACTTAAACCGTATCCCTGAAATTCATTATGATTTGATTTGATTATGATGATGATGACATTTACCAAGCAATATATTTGCCAGCACTTCCGCAAATTAATTATATTGTATGGGTCTGCAGGGAGACGGACATCAGTCTCACAGCGGAAAGGACATGGCCACGTTCTCTACAAAAATGCATCCTTATCTGCTGTCCAGAAGACAGTCTCTGGAAACCCAGTATCTTGCTCAAAGGCTGCAGGTATTCTCACTTTGCATTCAACTGTTAACAATTGCCGTTCATTGTGCAGAATGTTGACCCACTTTTGCATTCTAATTTTGAAGATGTAGGGGCTCGAATCGTGTGTTAAAATAGCAGTGGGCCAATCGTATCCTTAAATAGCACTTAAGAGTCACTAACCAACATTAGTCACCACAGGTCTCGTGGTTTCTAAAGCACGTTTTTGAAAGATCTCCTTCTCTGTATAAAAGTTGTGAAAGTAAAAGAAAAAGACGGAGGGCGACTGCAATGAATCAGAATCTGGTTTTGGTGGCCTGAATAAGTATTAATCTAAAGCAGGTTTGGACGGTCCAAATTAAACTGCAGATTAGACCAAAGAGATTAATTGGAGAGCACAGTGGGTTGGGTTAATGAGGATCTGTGTGTTTTGCCAGAGGGCCAGTCTGCTGGCCAGCGGTCCTGGCAGTGGGCAGATGTTCTGTAAGGAGCCTTTACCTCGTACACTGGAGCAGCAACTGCAAGAACACAGGTCAGGACTTTCATAGTCAACATTATATACATTTATCTTTTTCCCTAAACTCATAAGAAACATGGACATTGCTAATTATTAAAGTGCGAGTTTAGAGCAAAATGTAATTTACACAATTTTCTTTATCCATCAAAATGTGCCATAAACGTGCCAAGACAAGTTTGATGTCTGAAGTTTGTTTCTTTACTTTTGTGCTAGAGCTACAATACCATGGTAGCCAATACAGATTTATGAGGGGTTACATCGTAATGATCAGTAACATTTTTATAAGTTATAACAACTGGAGAGACATTTCCACAAACCACATACTATGCAAAGTCTATAATTTTTGTAGAAAAGACGTAAATGCAGTTATATCACCAATCACAAGGAACAACATGGCATTGCTGGCCATTAATAAACTTAAATCTATTTTGCCTGATTTTTCTGACCAGTGCATTGCATTGAAAGCACATTAAAAATTTTGGCTGGCTTCATGCTTTTTTGCTTCACTCTGTTTTAGCACACTATGACAACACAATATCATTGGTTTTATGAAAAAGTCACATGTTATCCAGAATAGGGCTTTATTTTTTTCTGAAAATCTCTTGACCACCAATATTTAATTTGAGTCCCCCCCCTACCCAGCATTTACTCACAAGCTGCAGATCAAGCATAACTTGGGCATCTTACTGTCCACAAGCATTTTGTCCAGTTGTATTTAGCCCATTTTGATCCAATTTTTTTTTAGAAGGGGGTAAATAGACACTTTATTTATAAAGTATGTTGTGAATGGTTACCCTGCAACTAAATGCATTCGCAGTATTAAGGCAGCTAAACTACATATTGCTTGAAAGCACCTTGGGAAATGACAGGCTGAGGGGGCACAGTGGGTGTCCAGGGCAGGTCCTAATGCCCGCATGTGCCGTACTTATGTACACCAGTTAGCAAAGTGCACACCTAAATCATCACACACTTTCCTCAAACTAGGTGAGGTTATTAAAGATCTCAAATAGACTTTTGTGGTTTTGGAGACTGTATGACATACAGTTGATTATAAACACAGACAAAAGGACAGTGGCTGATTTTAGCTTTAATCTTTTTACAGATAATATCTTGTTATAAACAAGTCACATGCCTCGGCTAATCGATTATATATTTGGGATAAGGGGAAAAGTCTGTCACCAAACTATCGCTTTAACAGATCACTTCTATGGAAAAGTAATTACAGGATGGTCCAATTTTTTTATATGCAAGCTGTTGCGTGCATCAAAACGTGCAATAAATGCTTGTGACCCCATCACCAGGCTCCAGCAGAAGAGGCTCCACCTCCAGAAGCAGTCACAGTTGCAGGCCTACTTCCACCAGATGCAGCTGGCTGAGGACCAGTACCCACCGGCACAAGAGTGCTTGGACCCCCAGCACAGCACGCCACTTTCCAGTCCGCCGTTCTCCCGGACCCAGCCCCTCACTCCGCTCCTAGAGCCTGGCACCCCGACATTCCCCTACAGCCCAGACCTGCTCTTCCCCTCTGCTGCATCTCCCCCAGACTGCCTCACGTTCAGCCGCTCCGCATACACCCCATCCACCCCCACCGAGCCCCTGTACGCCTGGAGTCCAGCTCAGCCATCCCCACTGCCCCCCAGCCAAGGAGAGACCAAAGCGGCCCAGCCCGCCCCGGAGCCTTCCTACATGGACTGTGAAATGATGGAGACGGTGGAGGCCCAGCAGGGTTGTGTGCTGGTGAACTGAAGCTCTACTGCAGTGGTCACCAATCCCCCTCCTCGACATCTACTGTCCTGCTAGGTTTGATCTCCAACCCAAAAGACCTAATGTAGCTAATCAAAGCATCCTGAACGCAACTGCTAACATACTACACACAAGGTGGGAGAGAATTTGGTAGCACTGGTATAAAAAAGCACCTCATCAGGGCTCACTCACACTCATTTGAGATGGTCTGAGCAGGTACTAACACGTCACGGCTTACTGAAATACACAACGTGAGGCGTTATTAATGAAAATAAATTATGATTATTATTAATAAAAATAAATTTTACATTTTATTACACTCTGTCGTACACTACTCAGCCGTTTCTGCCATTTTTCCAAATTAAGGTCTTGAAGGTTACACAACGAAGCATGCTTTTCTTGGCCGCATCCAAAGGATGCTACAAAACAGGACAGTTTTCTTTGAAACAACAGCCAAGAAATGCATCCTTGCATTTGACACACGGCTAAACGATCTAGCATGCATGGGTGGATTCTTGAGTACGGTGTTGATGGACACCATTGTCCAACAGTGCACACCATGCAGAAAGGGAGGAGCAACTCATGGCTGGTAAATAAACTTACATACAGGTTAGTAATTAAAGCTTTACTCCTCTGCAGGAGGGTCTTTACCATCTCAAAGAAGTAGAATTAATGAAAACCAAAAACACATAAGCAAGTCCGTGACACCTTTAGGGTTGGAGTCAAACTCTGCAGGATCGTACATCTTCAAGAGCAAGATTGGTGACCACTTCTCTACTGGTTCAAATGGGGTCACACTGGGGCTGGATCTCAGGATAACTCACAAGGAGGGGCCACTTGGGGTTGGAGAGCCCTCAGGGACAAACAAGATGCCGTTGTTGTTAATAATGTCCAACTGTATTGACCCTGTAAACCTTCCCCTTTTGGATCCCAGGGTTCAGATGATTTACGTTGTCAGTCGTTTGTAAGACCTGTAGTCTTTAAAAGAATTAGCTCAACAAGCACAAAGGGAATCAGAAAGCACATCACAGTTACAGTAGATTCATCAGTATTAAAGCAATATGTTCTCTGTAGAATGCCCTGTAAATTTGATAGGGTCCCTCCTCTCTCTCTCTCTCTTTTAAACCTTTTTTATATCCCTAAATTGTTGTCATTGAGTCAACTTTCAGTGTTGGTGTCATTTATTTTGTCTGGATTTGGAAAGAAAAACTGTAAATACTGAGACCTCTCTGCGAAAAGAGGGTAAAGGAAGTTTTACACATCCAAACGGTTCCACTAAGGTACTTTAAAATGGAGAAAAATGGTAAAAGTGGTAAATGGTAATGACCAAGAATGAGCACAGTGTAAAGCTACAGTAAATGGTAGATCTGACCATGCAGTTCCTTCTTAGGCACAACTCCGTACGCTGCGGTTCTGCCGTTCTAGTTTCTAGGCTCGGCTATTTTATGAATGGACAAAGCAAACCACTGATTTTACTGCTGCTCCTAGTGAGCAATAAGGAGCTGTAAAATGTCCTCGCACAAAAGGCTGCTAGATGAACTCTTCTAAAGATTTCTCCAGAAACCTTTTCTAGTGTTATAGTGACGTGCCTTTCTATTCCTTTTTTCTTTTCTTTTCAAGAATGTATGTTTTAATGGAATCCTGCGAAATTTCCTGTCAGGGAATAGTGTTAAGTGACCTCTTTACAGAACCAAAGCCCCTCCGAGGTCCTCCTTCCAACTCCACTGTGTGGCTTTTAGGGGGATCAGATGAAGCTACGTGACATGGTTACGGTCCAACAATGTTATACGCCGTCCAGAAGTATAATAGCAATATCTGAAGCTACAGTAATAGTCCTGATGCCTAGAATAGGTGTCGGTAGTGAATGTGTTTACTTTGTCTGTGCCATTTCACGCCTTTCAAGAAAAAAAACTTCATCAATTGTTAGAGTTTGTAGTCAAGCTTTTGTTGGCTATACTTTGTTGGTATTAAACCTGAGAGATTGCAGTTAAAGAGGGCTGTTTGTTGGGGTTTTTTTTTCTGTTATGACTGAAAAGTTATTCCAGATAGCCTGAACATACAGTACACCATGCTTTACATAGACAGATATGCCTTGTTGATCCCTGGGGAAAATGTGGGATTGTTCAACAAAGCGGCTGTTGAAAAGATGAATGATACGCTGAAAGGTCCTCTGGCTCTGTCCACCTCTCAGATTTCAGTTTAAACAGAGAGAAGTTTATACAGCACTTCTTGAGGATTTCATATTTAAAGGTACACCAACCAATTGTTTTGCCAGTTTTTAAGTCTCTTTTTTATTTCAAATAATTTTGGTAATTTCTTTGTGAAATGTGTGCTTTTCAAGTAAGATATGGTATTAAAGTTATCTCCAATAGGCCAGCTTGGGCTATAGAGCAGCAAGTTTTACGTTCAAACTACTCTTCCAAAACCATAAAAAACAGGTCTGCAACTTAATATCCTTCAATTATTGTACGAATTATGAATGAGTATTTCAACATTTACCAAAAACGTTTAGCATTACATTTTACCTATTAGCCTGTCAGTGTTCTCACTATACTAGTGGACTCGTTCCTTTATGGAGGAAAACAGTACCAGTACTGCTTTGCCACATGAGAAATTCTGTGGTCCTTAGTAGTGCTGGGTATCATTACCTTATATCATATCTTGCCTTTTACACCTTTTCAAATACAACAAAAAAGTTACATATAAAACATTTCTATCTGCAGTTTGTAAAAAGAGAAAATGTATATAGAGATAATGTTTTTTTGGGGGCGCTATTATTTTTCCCAAATAAGTTACCAAAAATAAAATTCCAGGCACAGCATTATAGACAGTGGTCTCAGACTTTGAAGGTATTGATGGGTTCTGTGGAAGCTCATTACTGCCAGGTAGAGGAGTATTTCTTATAAGTGGTGGCAATGGGCTTCTGTATTTGTTCAACAGACATCTGATGTTAGCAACATTATGATATTATTCAGAAAGCTAAACATGAGTTTAGATGTTGGAACAATTAATGCTTATTGGCTCTCAGACAGTGCCAAGACTTACTGCTTAGGTACTGAAATTCGGTATTGAATGACATGGAATTTGTCTGATACTCTGTAGTACTGAAGTAATTTGGTTGATGCCACAAAAGTACTGCATTTTATCACTCACTGCTAGTCCCTATGCCCCATTGAAAACTATGGGAAGTAATTTCTACCTCATATTTTTGGAATATTAAACAAAAATTTAAAAGTATTTTAAAAGACTTGGAAAATTTAACAAAAACATTGGACTACTACTTTTACCCCAAGCCTCAACAGGCTAACTGTAACTCAACTGGCTGTAGGTGTACCAAGAACTTGCTGGACCATGTCCTTAAGGCCAGGCTGAGCCACCAGAACCAGTCAGGCAGCCAGACAGCTCTTATCCGTAAATCAGATTACACTATAACGCCCTCTCCTTGGCTTATAGCTCACTGTATGGTACACTGATGGAGGGCAATCTGCCACAAACCAGCTCACTAGCCTTAACCTCAAACCAGATCCTACCCCTCTAGTGTCCGTGTCAAACACTCAGAAAATAAACATTTTAAAGCCCTTGAGAGGGAAAAACAAGAATCATAATGGTCAAACGAGCAGTCAGATCCAGCAGAGTTTTCCTTAAATAGCTGTTGTGGCAGGAGGGAGCTTAATTCCCCTGCTGATTGAGCCTCATGATGAGTAAAGCGCCGTCGACACTCACAAGGTGAGTCGTGATGCCGCAGCGGCGAGCCGTTCATCGGCGCGCACGACAGCAGCTGTCACACAAACCACACCAGACGTACAGCGGCCTTGTCAGAACAAAAGCTCTGCCTGTAATCATGAAGCTCTCACCAGGGCTCTGCTAGACCTACTGCGGTCCAGAAGAAAAAACACAAAACAGCAGCAGCAATTGATCTCTAAAAATAACAAATCGTCCAAGCCTACAAAACTCGGGAAAACTTCTTTTCAAATTCACAATAAAACAAGACAATTGAGGAAAGTTCTACAGGAGAAACAAGTGCCAAAAGTGGAGACTGACACAGCTGTGCCTAATTGTATATACACAACAAAGCCGCATGAGGCGTCATTCTGACTGAGAAAGAACCTCTGAACTCCATCACTTATTTGCTTTTCAGCACAGCTCTTGACAGCTTGAATGAACTGTTCTGATATGGGGGGAAAATGACTAAAACAAGGTAAACACAATAACCCATCCTCGCTCACGACAGTCAATATTTTCCAAAGGTTTCAGGCCGCAGACAATGTGATGCCTTCAAAAAAGCTCAGAGAGAAAAGGAAAGACAGTGTTTGTCAGGTTCTTTATTGATTCTCCCCTCCATCTGAGGGTAGTGTGGGTTCACGTTCATATAAAACCAAAGAAAGCACATTCCGACAACAACCACAACAACAAAAAGGGGGGGTGGTGGCTCTGCTTTCTGAAGCTGAGGACAAGTAGGCATCACTGGCAAAGCAAATGTGTTAATAAGGGAAACATGTTGCCTGGGAGTGGACACACTGATCCCTAACTGTCCCAGGCTCTACCTACAGCAGTGGAGTTCATGCAGAAGCTTAAGAGTAAAGGACAAAAGCGTTACACAGATCTGTTCAGTATAAACAAAAACAAACACAAAGAGGCGGGGGGGGGGTCTATGTTGGTTAATGGCAGATGGCGGAGAACGTCCAGAAAGAAAGGAGCTGTAGACGCTTCCTCTGGGTTATGACTGTTACTAGAGTCAGATCTGATTCGCGGTGGTCCCTTTTAGAACATAACCATTCGATTTCGAGTTCTAATGGAGAGCTAGACTATGACAGCAAAACAGCATGGTGTGGAAATACTGCAGCCAATGTTTTGAAGAACCTGGGCTTGAATGTATTCACAGCCATTTAAGACAGATGGAATGCACAGGCTAAACGCTATGAACTAACAGCAGTTCTATGCAGTCTGGACATCCACATGCATGGTGGGGAGGCGAGACTCAAAGCAAGCCATGCAAGCTCTGAATCAGTATCAATAGCCCATAAGCTTCTGTTCATAGCACACAGAAACTAGATATACAGAGTTATATCTGGGGCCTCTAGATCATCATCATCACCACGTCCCCCTAAAACGTTCATAGTTTGAAAAATTACTTATTTATCTTCACAACAGTTTATTAAATAGTATGTCTACATCTAAAAGTGCTGCCCATGAGGGGGGATTAGCAAGTGAAGAGATGTGAGATACTACAATGTAAAGATATTGTGTAGGGTGGGAGGGAAGCTGTTTGTGTGGGACAAGCTGATGTTAGCTCCCCAAACTCTTAGAATAAAGGGTGAGATGTTCAGGATCATTCAAGGCTGAGAGAGAGAGAGAGAGAGAGAGAGAGAGAGAGAGAGAGAGAGAGAGAGAGAGAGAGAGAGAGAGAGAGTGTGAGAGAGAGAGAGAGAGAGAGAGAGAGAGAGAGAGAGAGAGAGAGAGAGAGAGACTCTCGAACCAAATACTGAGGACAACTGAGATGTTCTCCAACGCTTGTATATACGAGAGAGACAAACTGAAGGAATTTCCTCTCTAATAACAGTCTAATGAATGATCCTGGAGGACAATCAGTATGGTGCAGGTCAGCTTGACATGGGAAAGGATTCAGCAGTGGCTCTATTAGGCCAGGGCAAGAACTACGGAAGAAGAAAGAAGAAATCATGATTGGTGACATTAAAAACATCAAACAGCTGTGCAGCTGTATCACATCCTCATTGTGGCAGCTTACCACTTATGGCCTCCTGCGCAAAGTATTTGACGTCTATGTCTTGGTCTGCAGCTAGCTTCTCCAGTACTGGTTTCACCTCAGTCTGCAGACAGCTGTGAGAAAGAAGCGCTAATGAGACAACTGGGTTTTAACTTCTGAAAACACTGAAAAATAATCCACATTTCTAATATTAAATCCTAAAACAGGTGTCAGGTCTCATGTCCTCAAGGGCTGCAAATAAGGGTGGCCAATGTGACAAAAGTACGATATCTGAATGCATTTCCACGATACAAAGTATGCATCACAATAGTTCGTTTTCCAGATGTTTGGAATGGACAAAACACACCAGCAAAACAGGAGAGGAAGATTTCAAAAAGGCAGATGCTACAGTTTGGATATTGACTCCTTCAGATAAGTTTTGTACTCAAAGCCTGTCTGATAATTATCAGAGCCTGTCAGCTAATCAGTATGTCCAGCTTAGTGTAGTGAGGACAGATTATGATCCAATTAGGCCCCACAAAGCCTGTTAATTCCAATGGAAAAAAGACTGCTGAATAAGAGATGTCTATGTGAAATGGCCGCTGAGATGGCACAAGTCTGAAGGCTGGCCGAGTAGGAGCAGTGATTCGCGTGCAGGAATATGCAGTTTGTTTACTATGTCTCTTTTAATAAAATTAGATAATGGCACAGTGGGCTGACATCCACTCTGCTATTTGTGGCTATACACTGGCTGTTGTTTACAGCCTCCCTATAATTGGTGTAAACCGTTTTTATACATGCGACTGTTCTGTGACCTAAAAGTACTGATGACACCACGACTCAGAAAGAGTCCTGTGATAATTTACCACAATAACACACTTGTCCACCCACAGATTAGAGCTTTCTCTCTTCTAACACTCTGAACTCAATTCATGAAGGCTTTGCTAATTAGCTAAAAAGTTTAATCAGGCGTTATAAACAAGTAAGAATGCAAAGCCCTGCAGTGATGCGGCACTCCAGCACTGGAGTCTGATACTTGTGTCCTAAAAGGGTACTGCAAGACATACTTGCTGTCCAGAACAGGGCCGATCTTCTGAAGAGACTTGGCTACATTGAAGCGCACGTTGGCCACCTGGTCATTGGACATCTTCAGGACGACGGGGAGCATGTGTTTGGTGGTGATCTCCTGGCCACACGCTTCTGACAAGGCCTGAAAGACACGTGCATACATGAGTGCTTACGTAAACCAGCTGTGTCTGCTCATGTGAAGGGTTAGTCACTGGGCGCATGGTGGTGGTGGTGGTGACTACACACATCACTGAATCACTGACAGAATGCAGGAAATGGAGGCTTATTCGCTTTAAACAGCACTTCCGTTCTTTAGTCAAGCACATGGATTCATAGCCCAGTTCCTAACTTCTTACTCCCCAAAGGTGCTTAAGCCCTAGGTCTTGCATTGTTGCCATAGCAACCGCACTCCTTTCCTGCCGCTGTGAGGGTGAGTCAGCGCACACTCGTGTGTCAGCATAGGAGCAGCATACTCACATTGATGCAGAAGAGAGTGGTCATCCGGTGCAGGTAGTTCGGGTCGTTGGCCATGCCCAGCACTTTGGGCACGATGGTGTTCTGAGCCCATTCAGCTCCAAACTTCTCCACCAGCTTTGTCAGGTTACACGTGGCCGCCTCTCTTATGGCGTATACTGTCAAAACACGGGTGAGAAAACAGACAATTTTACATATAAAGCAAAGGAATCTGGAAAGTGAATGTTCTGGTAGTGTTTTAAGGAAAAATTAGCCGGCAAAATGTAATTTTTTAAATTAAAACTCCACAAACCCCCAATAGTCACCAGCATTATGAATATTGGGGTTAACGTACCATGGTCGACGAGCCATGCCATGCACAGGGAATTCAGTTTCTCATCAAAGAACTCCACTCCCTGAAGAGAACAAGAAAAAACAATCAAAAATCAAACGCAGCAGTCTCATGAGCACAAACACCACAATCAGCCCTGGAAGGAGGTCAGGCCAGTTCAATTGCCTCTCTACAGGCAAAACAGACAACACATCAACTAAAGAGGTCAGGCCGAGTGCATACACAGGCCGTGACATCTATTTCACTGACAGATGTGGTTTACTTACCTAGAAATTAACATAAATTACCATTAAATAAGCCATCCAAGGTAAAGGTATATGACAAAACATTTTCCTTTTCAGCAAATCAGTTAGAGTGACAACAAATTAAATCCCATCAAAGAGACCAAAGAGCAGAATGGACCAATACTGACCAGTTGGCCAGCAAGAAGCGGCATGTACTCTATGATGGCTAGCCGCACCCTCCACTTGGCATCTTCTGCCAGCTCCACGATAGCAGGGAGAAGAGACTGGGAGAGCTGCCGGATCCCGATTACTTCGTTCACACAGTCTAGATTAGAGATTATGTTCAGACGCACCTCTGGACACTGGAAGGGAGTAAAAAGAGTGGGCATTAGAATGTTTGTGCACCCATTAAGGAAAACAGCAAAGGGGGGTGGGGCTGAAAATGCAGGCTTACTGTTCAGTTACTGATCTAAACATTTATTACTCAGCAATTACTAAAAATTACTTATCAATTATGAAACTATAAGCAAGTTATGTAGTTATGAGATTAAGGGCCGAAGTGTTGGTTGCACATCCAAGCCCTTGCAGTTCATACGGTAAAAAGACCAACCAACCAAATTAAATGAGATTTCCACCGACTTTCCTTTTTTTTGGATTATGCAATCACTGAGATCTGAACAAAGCGATTTAGAATGTTTTATGACACAAGAAACTTAAAGACTCCAATTTTTTTACAAGTTGGTGATATGAAACAAGCTATAACACCATTACAGCCATTTTATTCACTACACAAATCAACTAGTGAACCTGCACAGCTTCCTTTTTATATGTAACATCAGTAAGGATGAAATGGTAGTACCATTTTACCTTGGCCCGCCTGTACCTCTTTGCCATGAACGGGTTTCATGGCAGAGAGGGACAAAAAGATACGTTTTAGGCCAAAAGCTCATCTTAAAACTGTAAAAACTTTCTGCGAAGTTGCCTTTGGAGTCATGGTGTCTGGTTTCCATCACCACCACTTAGTTTTTGCATAGACACATACTTAGAGCAGCGATGACAGAACATATAGAATTACTTCATATACACAGCGCCAGAGAGATGTCATTACATTGCCTGCACAAACCATTAGAAGTCGAATGAGTGGTTCGCTGTGCCGGGATTGAACCATGCTCTCCCATGCAGGAGACAAGTAACTTAACGGTGAGGCAAAATGGCCAAAACACATCACACATTAAGATTGTTCTCACATCCAGAATTGTATTTTGGGTGTGAGAGGCAGTGATTTCTACTGTCACAACAAACATATTCAATAACTAAGTATGAATGAATTAATGAATGGTATTAATTTGTGTGTGCCTATATGCAAATAAAAAAAGCTGTTGATGTAACGCTGACTGTTTCTCAGCCTTTCAGAGCACAAAAAAAAAAATGTGTTTGCAATTCTGATGTTGGTCGCTGTTGGTGTTTCGTTTTCATTCTGCTTAGTGAACGATGCTTTTATAATTTTGTATTTCGCTATTTGCTTAAAAGAGAGGTTAGTTAGATTTCTGTTTACACATCAAAAAGTCTACATGTGCATCACATCCAGTCAGATGCATAACCATTTTAATAGTAAATTATCACTTCTCTTACCATTGTGATATCCAGCAGCTTTACTAAACATTGCATTTTATATCTATTGTACAACCCTATCTAAGACTCTTTCTTGTTTCACATCAAACAACTCAAAAGACTTTATTTAAAACTTAATGGTTTAAATTTGTTTTAATGTAATTTAATTTAAAAGAAATCACTGGAATTCTCCTTTAAAATGTAGCTCTCACAGTATCACCACATCAGTAAACACTACTATAGTCCCAGTAACCTTTATTCTATTTGTCTATTCAGTGAGGGGGAGACGAGACACGTTCAAAGACCCAGCTAAGAAGGAAGGGAACAATGCAGACCCACGGGCCTGCAGGGAGCAATAAAGAGAGCCATGCAAAGATGAAACGGGAGAAAACTGCACAGCACTTGTCCATTCATCCCTCACTTCAAGGCTTCCCGCTGGCCTGCGGGATCAAAGTGACCAGTAGCACAGAACGCTCATCTGTGGCTAGAAGATGACGCAGATCATCTCACTGAAGTCTGGTTTAGGTCAAACACATACATGCAAAACACATGCACAAACCACAAACATGGTCCACAGCGGTGTGATCTGAAGGTCTTACCTCATCCTTGAGCTGGGCCAGGAAGAGAGGCAGCAAGTGCTCGATGGTGTTGTCCTTGCCCAGGATGGTCGACAAACCCATAATCACTGAGGCTAGTGCCGATTTGACATGCTGATTTGTGTCTGAAACCAGTTCCTATGGACACAAGCATACAAAACAAGACTCTGGAGCATTAATGAGATATTTGACAGCTGTAAAATCCAATGTTAACAGCCCCCACAACTCAAACTGCATGAGTCATTAGGACTAAATGAAATATTACCCCTGCACTAAACCCTGTAATTACAGGCATTATACAGTTTAATTGTAATTATGAATCACACTGCAGCACAGCACACATCAGAGGGGACGAGGGACCATATGAATCAGCAGGGAAGCTGCTCTCCTGTGGTGGGTTCAGTGAAACTTTATTTGGGCTATATACTGTTTTTGGTTTTCCTTTACTGGTTTATGCACCCTAAGACTGTTTTGGTTATTGTGCCTTTAAGACTGATAAGTAAATGATCTCTGTTCTGACTGGCTGCTGTGTGTCTCATTCAAAGAGCACTCTAGACTGAAACACTCCTGTCACTTCAGCACAAATGAGCAGAGCTACACTGCTGTTGGCTGAATAGGCAGATATATGTAAATGGTTTGGTTTTTGTTACATCACAAAACCAGGGATTACAAAATGCCGTTTTTGCAGCCGACTGTATGGGCTGAATATTGAAAGGACTGGGTAGTGGACCGTACCTATCATGCCTTTAACAGTGTTTACATACAAAAAAAAATAAAGAAAATTCAGTTTTACATGATATGGGCCCTTTAACAGTGAATAACACGTTTCGCCCAACCCCTTCAATGAATTCCACAAAAGATTCTTCTATTATTATTATTATACTATGAGTCAGCGCAGGGTATGAGCCATCCAACGGTGGACGTCATTACCTACATACTAGTTAAGACAAATGAGGCGACAGCAGTTGCCCTGTTGTCAAAGTAAAAACGTGCCAACTCCATTCAAACCACCACTCTTGTCTTACTTCTGTTAAAAGAAGGTCAGAGCTGAGACACAGTGGGTCATGCTAATTTGATCTTGTTTAAGCCTTAGCTGCTTACACCAGGGACAGATGCTGAGTCAGAGAGTTAGCTGCCAGTCAGAACACTAAGAGAGCTTCAACTTCTTGGGCAAATTACATGAAATCTGCCACTTTTAGACCACTGCACAAGCTCTGAGGGGGGAAGAATCTGTCATAGGGCATAAAGGCTACAGAACAGCCGAAAGCTAGAGAAAACAGAACAATCAGATAGATGAATCTGATAGCATATAGTCAACAGAAGCTGTTTAAAGTCTAGAGATCCAGTTGGCTAGTGACTGCATGAGTAATGTACCTTGACGCAGGGCAGAATGTGAGTCATGATGATTGTCTCTCGGCTGTCTTCCGGTAAATTCTCACAGAATTCTGATGAGTAAGATAAAATGCATTAAATCAATGCATAAACACATTAGTGGTTCAAAGGATTCATGCATATGGCAAATAAACTTGATTCTGAAACGATTCTACACGCCTGAACTGGTACTAATATTAACATCCTGATTTATCAATGTTAATAATGTTAATTAACTGATGAGTTGAGGCATGCATTTACCTTTGACTTTATTAGCAGCTGCAGCCCGCACCTCGGCCTCACAGTCTTTGAGCAGGTTCTGGAAGGCTGGCACGAGGTCATTCTTAGTAATTTCTGGGCCAACTGCTTTTTGTAACTGCAAAGTCACAAGAAACAACAGCAATTCAAACAAACTGTGCATCAGAAAATAGCTTGCCCAAAGACAACAATTACACTGGTCTTGCACCGGTCCAATAAATGAATGCAGTATAACTTGGTAAATGGGGTGAATAAAAAGACTTATGAAACATTAAAGCTGCCACAGCATTTGTCTGGTACACCTCCATGTTCTTAACTACTGGTGGTACTAAAACCCACTGTTAGCAAATGTGGCACATGGTCCGACAAACTATTTCATTATTTTAGAACACTAAATAGTAATTCTTTAATAAGTGGTAAGTGATAAGTGATTCCCTGTGTGCTGTGTTGGCACACAGAAAAAATAACATTGAGAATATAATCTCATATTGAGAACACACATCTGGAGACAACTTGTCCCACAGGCTTTGCTGACAACCCGTACCCAACTTCCTCCAGTTTGTGCACTTTTAACCTCGAGAACATAATCAACAGCACAGCAACATCTGACTAGCTAGTGAAACACTGTCTGCCAAAGTAGCAGCCAAATCTTTCCACATCACTTTTACTCCAGCTGTGTTGTTTGAACTATTAAGAGTGGAGAACACAAACAGCCACCGGTAATTTGATGGTAATGTTTGCCACCTGTCCAGTTAAGTCTAAGGCTAAAACCCACTCCAGTTTAACAGAACAGTTTTCTCTTTCAATAGGTAAAGTATTTTTAAAACACATGTAATGTCTTCTCTGTGTATGGTTAATTGGAGCCTATATAGGGACGTTTGAGCCGTGCTAGCTTTACAACCATGGCTTGTTCTCAGGTGGACAATATTGACAAGCACACCACCCTTGAAATCCACTCTCATGAAGCATAAGATGGGCTTAGAAATTTCAAACTCAGTTCTCACCATAATAAGTTTTTGTTCCCCACCCACTTTTAAGCTAATCATGGTCATGGCTAACCCTGCAAGACCATAGGGCTCTTTATCTGGAATGCAAAACTGTGCATGTCTTATCTATAACCTAAAGTAAGTACCGTTGCTACTGAACAGGATGCGCATGCATGCCAGCAGGTGGACTTTAACTGAAGTCAGCATTATGTCAACAGTGTGGGATTATTTCACGTTTGAGACAAGCAGAAGCAAAAATGCTCATTGGAAAATCTGTAACGGTAGTATTTCAAGGGGAGGTACCAGACGTGGGCAATATACCCACGATATATTCAGCCTAAGGTATCAGCCACAAATAAGCCTATAATGCTACGTGCAAGTAGTGCAAAACACAGTAGCCCTTTATCGGAATGGCTGACTCAAAGATCTTTCAGCAGTCTCTCATCCCCTGTTTAGTCAGTTACAGTCTGATTTAAACATTAGTCAAGGTTGTTATCAAGGGAGCGACCATTAGAGAGACATTTGGAAGGAACCTCCAGCCTTATGGAGAAGTGAGAGCCCTTAGTATAGTAGCCTGCTAGTCATGCTAGGATTTTCTCTAATACTGCCTATGGTGCACCTCCATCAGTGAGCTGCATCAGATAACAGCATGGTCTGTGGCCTGGCCTCATATCTGCTTTTCAACAGCTGCTGCTGAGTGCATACATGACTAATATTTACCAAATCCAGCAGAGTCTGACTGTTGTAAATGTATGCACAAGTGTAGGGGAAACATGTATGAGACAAATAACCTATTATTTAGTCTTTACTTTTGGGACAGAGAAGCTGCTGAGTGAATATGCCTTCGCACCACAGGCTTATCTACATATTTTTCAGTTCTGTTTTTACTATTCTGAGCAATTTAAAAACATTTTTTTAGAACAGAACTAAAGATTGTCTTCCACGGTTTCTTACTAGCATAAAATTTTGCAGATGCAAGAGAGAATCCTCACACCACATCTTATTTATTAGCCCTTATCCTGTCATAATCAGAGTATATGCTTTCTTCTTACCTCAGAGAACTTGTCAGCCACCATGTACCGCACCCTCCAGGACTTATCTTCAGCTGCCTGGCGCAGGGTTGGCATGACCAGAGTCTCCAGGTCCTCCTGAGGCAGCAGTGTGGCAATGCTCACACACGCCTCCACAGCCAAGAGACGCACAGAGTCCTGCAATAAACACCACATGTGGTCAGCTACTTAACCATGTCAAACTCATACTTAGAACCTTGCTAGCATTAAAATCAGGCTTATTTTCAGCCTCACTGTGCTGCCGTAAATACAACAGAAGGGAAAGTGCCAGTTAGAAGTGCCTATGCTTGAGGGATGTGTGAATTACACGCATGCAAAGGTGTAAATTCATGTACATGTTCAAATTTACGTCATGGCGTCTTGCTAATTTTAAGATGCGTGCCTGGGAAGGCATGAGGAACTGACCTGTTCGTCAGAGGCCAGTGCAGTAAATAGAGAGATAATGTCACTTTTGACGTATTCCAACTCCAAGACTTTGGCAAACTCGCCCAGCTTGGAAGCAGCAGCACGGCGCACCATAGGCGTGTCATCAGAGCACAGGTTACGGAAATGCCTGAGAAAGAGAACATTTGATTTTATCTTAGTATTTGAGTGACAGCTTTAAAGACACTCAACTATTTAAAAACAGTAGTTACAAATATTACACGTCAATGTGCATTCTTTGAGGGTCACAGCACTGCATGCTTTACTGTCCTCCCCATTTAACAGACCTAATTAATCTGGTCACCTAATTATCAAATCATATATATATATAATAAATCAGCCATGTTGGAGCAGGAAGAATTCTCAACTCTGCAGTGCTTCGACCCTCCAAGAATGCAGGCTGACGTCACAGCTACAGTGTGGAAGGCTATCATTTATGGTCACTATGTTTGGGTTTCCTAGACAGGAATTAAGCCTAGTGCTGAACTACATTTTCCTCTCAACAGAAAATCTCCATTCAGAATGCTGCGTAGTTTAGGACTAGGCTTAATCCCTACTGAGAAACTGAGCCTGTGTTTAAATAGCACCTTTGGGAAGAAGCTCAGCCTGCAATTTAATACTGGTCATCAAAAACAGCACCAAATTAAAGCAATGGTTTGGACAAAAATCTAATTTACACAATTTTCCCATATTCCTAATGAAGTCAATCAGGCATACACTGGTCTCAAAAAGTATTTGGACATCTTAACTATTGGTAATTTTTTTTTTGTTACTTCATAAAATGTTTGTGACATTTATTTCATTAACATTACCTGATGGTAGACTGTTTGTGTGGGGAAAGCCTGGAAAAGAATTCCAGCCAGATGGCACTAAAACTACTCTAATGCATAGAGGTGGAAAAGTCAAAGTCTGGGACTGTTTTTCTTACAATAGTGTTGATGAGCTTGTGTGTACTGAAGGGACGGTTGCCCCTTGGTTTGACATTTCCTGACACAATGAACCAACTACGTTTTTAAATATGGCACAAGTGTTCAAATATCATTTGGGGCCACTGTATTTGGTGTTCTTCAGTGTTTCAACAAGACTAATAAAGCTAACAAATAATAGAAGCTTACAGGTTAGAACCAAGCATATTTTGAACCCTATTGTACTTTTTATATGTCTATGTTTTTTGATTAAACCATTGCTTCAAGAAAAATATTAATCATTAGGAGACGAAAGGGCAACTGACTGGCGAATCTCAGCTTTGACAGTGCTGGAGACACGTGGATAGCAGACACTGAAGAGACCACAAGCTGAGGTACGGGAGGTGAACCAGTCGCCGCTGGCCAGACGCTTCACCAGCGGCTCAAAGTGCACCTCTAGGTCCACGGGTGAGTGCTCGTGGGAGATCTTGCGCAAGGACTCCACTGCCTTGTCCCGCACCACTGTCTCCTCCACTGTGGCCAAGCTCTCCAAGGGAGGCTGAGGACAGAAATGTATGAGAATAATGAGTAACAGCATGAAAAAAACGCTTAATTATGTAAAGTTTCAGAACCGTCCTGATAAAAGACGACATTTGGCACTTACAAGGAGACAGTGCACATATTCTGGTCCTCCAACCAGCATGGTGAAGTTACCCAGCTGTTCAGCAAGGGCGAGAAGCACTTCATCTTCATCATAGATGGTATCTAGATGCACAAGAAACAAGCCACATTAAAACTTTTAATAATGCAAGGCTGACGTCAGTGTAATGAAAATGCAGCATCTGTAAAAACTTGCACAATGCAGGTAAACTGTGAAGTTTAGTCATCAATTCCCTCCTTGGTGGATACTTTTTTTGCATTACTGTCACAAATAGTATCTAGAGAGATACACAGGTACAAGCAGCCGGTTAACTGTTCGAGGTGCTAGTATCTGAATACTGAAATCACTTTTCAGGTACTTCTTGTGTTTCATCAGAGGAAGATACACAGAAAATACACAGACCAACAACTCAGTGAAACACCAATTTAATGTTTTAACAGGACTGTCAAATCTGAAATTTTGTCTCGTATTTAGGAGCACGTGTGCTCAGACTTTGCTACTCCAAAACGTGAGCACCTTAATGTGAGTGCACTGTTAAGAATGTGAAGGGAGAGACAGCACAGCTTTTACCGCAAAATAGGCTAGGCTAATGTCAGGTCCAGAAACAGTCCAAATATACTTCTCAAACAAACTAACATGCTGGCAAACCATCCACTGATTAAGGAAAGAAAACAATTCTAACCATTATGTTACTTATCCAACACAAAAATCTACTAATTTCCTTCCGCTATTTTTGAATAATAAAAATGTTTGTTGAGTTGAATGTTGAAATGTATTTGTCTGTGTGATGCTAAATTTTTGTGTAACACCAGCGCTGTCCTAAAAAAAGCAAGCTAAAGCTCCACATTATGTTTTTCCTTTTTTTCTACTCTTCTTTCACTGCAGTGAACCGTATCTCCATTCATGAACTTTTGCAGACATTTGAATATCAAAATTAGTCAGAATGCACAGGCCTAATATAGTCTGTGCGATACAGTTGAAATTTGAATGCTGCCAAGTGCTTCCATGAATTGTAAGTATTGTCCTGCTCTTCAACTTCGACTGACAGTCTAGAACAACAATCTCTGTGCCATACAACATAGTGGTATATGTTTATTGATTGATAGTGATTTTTTTTAAAAACTAGCCACATCTGACAAACCGTTGCATCTAACCAATAGTTTTAAATGTGCAGTGATGTCATAAGACTTTGCGTGTTAAGACTATTTTTTTCCATACAGATTTCAGAAGTGGCAGATAAAAATGTCATAACTGCCAATGTGGCATTCTGGTAACATGTCCGTGCAAAACTTTCACAAGTGCCTACCTGTTAGGAAAGGGAGAAGCTCGGTGCGTGTCCTCTCCACTCCCAATGCCAGGGCAATAGTGGAAAGTTTCTTGATGCTGTTCAGTCGCAACTGTTTCAGAAACAAAACAAGAGTTTATGCAAAAACCAAAAAAATTAGACTATGCCAGAGTTAACCTACAGTCACTGCAAGCATTAAACCTAATATGCCTACACAAAATGTTAGAATAGCAAAGCCACACTATGAACAAAGTGTAAAATGACAGAGTGCTACATTTGCTGCAGCTTTTCTCTACGTGTAACAAAATTAAAAGATAATTTATTCATGGTTAAGTTCAGAGTAGAGTTTGAAATATCTGTCCAAACCATAGTGCTTACGTCAGGTTGGGAAGTCATTTTCTCAAGTGTTGTCCTATTCAAGTCAGGTTCAAATTCACACTGGGTTCTCACAGCCTGCCTCTCATTTCCCTTGCTTTAGTTTTCTTATTACTTTATTCTTATTTTCCATTTCCATGCTAGAGTCAGCTCTTTGTGTTGCTTTGACAAAATTTTACGTAGAAATCCATAAGATCCGAGCGTGCATGTGTGGGAAATTTAAAAATGAATCGATATATAGGCAGGGCAGTTTAGTGCAGTCAAAAAGACTTTTACATTTAATTCTTTTGGCCAAAAATGTATTTGTTACAACCCCGGTCCCAAAAAAGTTAGAGCGCTGTGCAAAATGTAGATAAAAACACAATGCAATGATGTGCAAAACATTTAAACCCTGTGTTTAACTGAAAATAGTACAAAGACAACATATCAAATGTTTAAAAACTTTTTTTGTTTTTTTGAAAAATATATGCCCTTTTTGAATTATAAGCCAGCAAAATGTTTCCAAAAAAAAGTGGAACAGGAGCAACAAAGACTGGTAAAGTTGTGTAATGCTAAAAACAAAAACACCTGGTGGAACTTCTCTTACCTAATTAGGTTAATGGCAACAGGTCAGTTACATGATTGGGTATAAAAAGACCATCTCAGAGAGACTTTCAGTCTTTCAGAAGTAAAGATGGGGAGGGGTTCACCACTCTGTGAAGGTCTGCACAGGCAAATAGTGCAAAAATTCAAGAATAATATTTCTCAACATATCATTAAAAGATTCAGAGAATCCAGAGAAATCTGCAAGGGACAAGGCCAATAAACAATACTGGCTGGCCGTGATCCCAAAGATGGCACTGCAATTACCGCTGCATCCACAAATGCAAGTTAAAACTCTGCATGTATGTCACATGGACCTGCACATCTGTGAAGGCACTATTAATGCTGAACAATATAACACAAACTGCCATTCAGACAATGTCTTTTTCTGGGAAGGCCTTGTTTATTTCAGCAAGACCACTTCTACATGTATTACAACGGCATGGCTCAGTAGTAAAAGAGTCTGGGTGCTAAACTGGCCTGCCTACAGTCCAGACCTGTCACCCACTAAAAACATTTGGCTCATTATGAAACAAAAAATATGACAAAAAGTGACTCCAAACTGTTGAGCAGCTGAAATCCTATATCAGGCAAGCATGGGAAAACAGTTCATATTCACAACAATAGCAAGTGGGTCTCCTGAGTTTCCAAACGCTTAGAGTGTTAAAAACCTCTTTGAAACGTTATGCTGGCATTAAATTAAAAATGGGAAGCATTTTAAAAAAAAATGATTCGTACAGCATTGCATTCTGTTTATGCATTTTGCGCTGCATCCCAACTTAATGTTGCACGGTCAACATGTTTTATCAAGGGAGTAAATGCTAACATCAGTACCACACAGCATCAACAATGCATTACGGATAGAATGTATATGCACTTTTAGTGCAGATTAAAGACATTAGGATGCTGTCTGAAAACACTGCTTGATCAACAAATTTGTTACGGCATAATGTAAACTTTACACAGCTGACAGGTTTTTTTTGCCCTCTCCTGTAAAATTACCATTCTGGTGATACAAGAGTTTATTCCAATAGTGACAATATATTGCTGCTGTCGGAAAAACCTCATATCTCCAAAATGATAACTTTACAGGACAAGCAAAAAACACACTTTACTTTTAATATAAGTGAATGGAACCAGATTTTTTTCCAAGTCATTTTGGGCCATTTATTGTGACATTTACACACAGTGTAAAGGGCAACAGACATTTTCAAACTAAATCAAAAACTAAAAAATGACAAAAATAGATACAAAAGATTTTGTTTCAATGCCCCACCCTGATGCCCCTCCCCAGGGTTATTTTAGATCTGTGAGAAATATGATATGTTTTATCTATGCACTAACGACAGCTAATATTGTCACTGCAAGCTAAAATAGCCAGCATGATAATTTAAAATGCACGTTAGCACGTTGAGTGATTGTAGGCTGGTCCAGGTCAGTTTCAGACAGAATTTTGTTGGGCTGGAGTCAGTTTCAGACTGAAAACTGTACCTGAGAGTCAGGCTAGTAAGCTACTTTGCATTCAAATAAATTGCTGTGAGTCAGGTTGGGTTGGGCAGCATTGTGTTCAGACAGAAAGCCCTTGGTCGGTAATCAGGTTTAAAACAAAATTTATAGTCTGGAGTTTCAGAGTTTCATGGTAAAGTCTGGTTGACAACAAGGATTGATGTGATCATGGGGACAACACTAAGACCAACAAGACCAAAGCTGTGTCCAAAACTGTGCCCTATTCACTATATAGTGCACTATTTTGGGGTGTCGCCATTTTGTAGTCTGAAAACATAGTGCAGAGTATCCAGTGCACTCAAAACAATTCCACAATGCACAGCAATAAGGAGTGTACAACTGATGTACCCTAACAGGGTCAGGGATACCTGCAATGCACTGTGGTGTTTGGTTTAAAGATTCACATGCAACGTCTCTTTGGAGAATTACAGAGCCCAGCTACAACAGTAACCACAGACCTCTCTACAGGCCTGTTACAGATGTAAAGAGGCTCTTCTCTTGTGTGCAGTCAGACTCAGCTGTTATATTGATCTAGTGGCAGGACATTTCTAGTGTTTACGTGACAGAATCTGCTGTCGCACAGTAATGAGCAAACCCATATGATGTAATGTCCAAAATAATTTACTACCATCACAAATTTTATTCCCTATAATTGTGGTCTACATAGTGATTATGGGACTATTTCAGACACAGCAACAATGTTTAATGACATGACAGCTAACTAGAGTACGCTTATCAAAAATCAGTATGCGACAAGCTGTCATGATGCCGGTTTATTACATTTTTAATGACAGGTATTGATAATGGCAACATGACACTATCATACTGCAGAACTAATAACAGCATAAGACATCTGCCATTACGTGTTTATGGCATGGTCATAGCAATGTTATGTCGCAGGGTTCAAATATAGTGCTTTCCTCATACATCTCTCATTTTGCCTCTAGGTTGTCTGAAAATGGCTCAAATCATTCGTCTAGTGAACACTGGCATCTACAGAAGTGGGACATCTAATGCAGAGAGGATGTACACTCCCACATCACAACTGAAGTGCTCAGTGCTTGTGTTAGCTTTCGTAACAGACACAGATGATTTATATATAGCTCTTAACAGGATGACGCATTTACTTACACTGATACACCGGCGAGCTCATTATTGATAGCTCAGATTGCGAAATCAAACCCTGAGGGTGATTCAATAAGTTAACCGCAGATGGCCGGTTAGCACATTTTGGGTGCTGCTTCAATGAGCCAGCTGTTCTCTCTACATAAAACGTGTGCGCTTTACGGTTTTCAACAGCTGTCTGTTTATACAAACATTAAGTTATATTATTAAAAACAACTCGTTCGTGAGGGTTAGCTTTAGCTTAGCGAAATATTGGCCTACCCTGTACACTAGCATGCCGGTTTATGTTGGCAAACACAACAGCTTGACCTGAATTCTTATTTCAAGCGTTCAGGACAAAAAAACAGCACGGCGCTATTAACGAAATGAGTGAAGACCAAGCTTTGTTTCTTGTTATTGTAACGTTATTAAACATGTGTGTTAAACAGCTGGGTTACGTTAGGTGTCCTGTGATGTATGTTAGCTAGCTTAGTTATCCATTGAAACGCATCACTCTAAATGGCACCGGTGGCTAGCTAACGTTAGCTTGTTAGTCGGCTTTTCCGTTCCACCTTAAATGGCGTAGCCGTTACTATGCGGTGCGTGTACAGGCCCCAGAATGCAACTGCTGTATCATTTTAAGGTGGACCGGGGCGTTCAAATAAGACGCTAACCTCAGCTCTAGCTAGCTTAGCGGTTAGCTCGCCGCCTGAAATCCACACCAGAGGTTAGCGATGCTAAAGCAGGGGAGCTAGGCTAAGCTAAGCTAATACAGGCCCGAGTTTCCTTCTCGCTAGAATACTTGGTCACGGCTTACAGCGTTCATTCACTTCAATATTTAAGCTACGCTGTATTTAAACACACAGAACACGCAGCTACCTGAACGTCTTCATTCCTCAATTCGTCGATAAGCACCGCAATAGGGTAGAGAGAATCATCACCGTCGGCTCCCGCCATCTTGTCTCAGGCTGTTGGCTGCTGCGGGGTTTCCGCAGAGGGGCAGTTCAGTACTTCAGCCCGGAGACGAGCGGCGGAGCGCAGCGATTGGTCTCCGTCACAGCGGCGCTCCAGATGAACTAACAGCATAACAGCTACCGGTGCTGAGGGCGGTACGGTAGCATAATCCCAGTCAAGTAAAGGTTATTACGGTACGGAGCCCCTGAAGGGACGTGGTGTATTTTTTTAGGTAAAAATCTGGTGCACACCAGATACTATCAGGTGAGCACCCAATACTATGTGGTGAGCACCCGATACTATGTGGGGAGCACGCAATGCTATGTGGTAAGCACCAGATACTATGTGGGGAGCACCCAATGCTATGTGGTGAGCACCAGATACCATATATATATATATATATATATATATATATACATACACATTTGTGTATGTGTGTGTGTGTGTGTGTGTGCATCTGTATATGTATAAACAGTGTCAGTGTTGACTGGCAACAGGTGGCACAAGAACAAATGAAGCAATGTAAAGATGATAAGGTAAGTTTGTTCAGGCAGCCATAAAAACCTTAATAATTTACCAATTTGTCCCTTTCAAAGATATATAGCTAAATGTAGTCTGCCTTTGCTAGATATAGTTAGCTATAAATTATGTGAAAAGTCCCAGCTGCTGAATGAGGTGGCAAAACTGTCTGTTCTCCTTTCACATTTCCAAAATGGAAAGTAACCCACCCAATGGAATCGTTTACCCGTTTTGCGATGAGCAAAAGTTATCTTTGTCACTTGAACCTGAAGACATTTTGCCCACTTGCTCATTTTTGTCGCAGGTGTGTATAGTTTTAATGCAAAAACATGTATTGCATAGAGAACGACGTAAGCCTGACTGTATCTACAGTCTAAACTGTATCTAGCAAAGATATCTCTTTGAAAGGGACAAATTGGTGAATTATTAAGGTTTCTATAGCTGTCTGAACATATAAATTTACCTTATCATCTTTAAGTCGCTTTATTTGTTCTTGTGCCACCTGTCGTGACTCTATAAAGTCATAAATGTCTTCTTCCATGACGAAGGATAACAAGCACAGCCGGTGCACAGAGCAGTGGCCTGTGAAGTCATGATACTATGGAGCCCAATGAACACAGACACTGTTCATGGATATACAGATGCACACACACACACACACACACACACACACTTCTTTTTTTGTCACCACATAGTATCGGGTGCTCACCACATAGTATCGGGTGCTCACCACATAGCATCTGGTGCTCATTTGATAATATCAGGTGCTCACCGTATAGTATCCTGTGCTCACCTGATAGTATCGCGTGCTCACCACATAGTATCTGGTGCTCATTTGATAATATCGGGTGCTCACCACATAGTATGTGGTGCTCACCTGATAGTATCAGGTGCTCATCACAGAGTATCTGGTGCTCACCTGATAGTATTAGGTGCCCATCATAGAGTATCTGGTGCTCCCCAGATTTCTACCAAAAAAAAATACACCACGTCCCATCAGGGGCTCATTAAGTTAATTGTGTGAAATAATAGCCCAGGTAAAAGAGTCGAGGAGCACAGAAATACCAGGCCATAAACTGCCAAAAGGGCAACTGCAAAATGTCCATAATTAAGTGGTTAACCTGCAAACCCTGTTGGAAAAAACAACATAGACCAACATATGTTGTGTTTTGATGCTGGTATACTGGTTGACCAGCATTAACCGTTTTAGACCAACATAGGATGCATGCTGGTCTGTGCTGTTTTTCTCAGCAGGGAACCAAGTCATTAAGAGTGGTTTGATGCAAAATAGTTTAGTGTAAAAAAATCTATTAAATCAGATTTATTTACAGTGGTGGTGAAAGGAACCCGGGTGGCATAGTCTAAAAAGTGAATATATTTTATTTACTATCCCAAACCAACAGAACATACGCATATCTTCTGAGTACTTACATATAATGCTGATAATGACAAAATAGTGGTTAATCTAATGGTAAATAGTCGTTTTCTTTAGGGATTAATTTGTCTCACAGCATTCAGCATGTACCTTTCGTTTTAGGCCAACATGGAAACACTCTCAAGACATAAAACTAGTGATGCATTGATGCTATTTTTTCCAGACTAAGTATGAGTACATGTTTTTTAGTACTCGTCAACACCAAGTCTGATACCATAATGAATTACTACCACTTAGAATTAAGTAGTTGTTATTGTAAAGGAGTAAGGTTTACCTGAACAGTTAAATCATTAAAGTCTTACTGATTTTAAATGATGTGCATTAGTTACTCTGCTAAAAAAGACTATTAGAACCATCAGGGTTGAAACCTGATGGTTTTGCTTTCTGGGAATGGGAATTGGCTGATTGGTTACCACTAGAGACCAATAGTTTTCTGTAGAACACCTTTAAATCCCATGACGAAACCATCAGATGCATCTGGAATCAGTCCCAGAACATCTGTTAAACCATAGAATCCTTTACACTGTGATATCAACCCATCAGGACAACACAAAATACCATTTCTGACTAGTGGACACCACCAGGAACCTATAGAAACTTTTAATGGTTTTCAGCAGGGTAGTTCTGCTACATTAGTTACCTTGGATCAGTGTTACAGTAGAGGAGAGACAGTTTTATTCCATGTCAAAAAAGCACTTCCAGCTGTAGTAAAGTATGTTTCATAGTTTTGATCGTCATCTGTCTCTTTCAACAACAGTCTCTGTGGCATAGTGACTGCAGAAATCACATCCGAGGCTAATCTGAGGAGCTCACATTTTGTGTTGTTGAAGTCTGGTTGTCTGGTTGAGCTGTAGTTGAATGTCCTCGAAAGCCAGATACACACTGTGTGATTTTAGAAACATTGTTAGCATTGTTATCACTTGGTATCAAGAACAAATTTCTTCTTAAAACCCCCTTATGCAATTTTTGTCGAAGATTCTGACATTCACCAGTGTTTTCTTATTTGGGATTTGTTCTTAGGTAAGAACAGAATCTACAAACACTGAAGAGCACAAAGGTGTGAACAATTCTGCAGTTTAAGAACACGTCAAGTGTTCTACTGATGTAGACGTTTTCTTAGGACGTTTCTCAAGAACCAATTTAAGAAAAAACCAAGGAAGGTATTGGTGAATGAGGCCCAGTGTTCTTTGGTGATTCACACTGTACAGAAATGCTCCGTCCATGCTACATGAAATGTAGCCATAGCCTGTTTATGAGGAGCCTGGCCACTTCCTATTTCTCCACGTTATATCAAAAACAGGACTGCAAAACAGCAGAGGGCACCCACACGTCCTCAATGAATGGGGCTAAATGGAGCTCAACGGCTAAAAATGAAAGCTTAACATAGTTTCTAATCACTCGCCCAGAGCTTTCCTTTAATTTTAGGTTTTTGGGCAGCAGAATGCTGGCATTACTGCTAGTGAGTGCAGATTGGTTGGCGAGCGGAGCAGCTCATTGGCTGTTCACGCTCAGACGTTATGGACGTACATGAGGCACTGTTTTAAACTGCTATAACTTGTGTTTAAAAGCTCTTAAAAATATAACAAACATAAACATATTAATGTATATACCTTGCTATTCCATTCAGCCATCAGAGTAAAGTCGGCATATATAGACTTTGGTACCAAAGGTCAAGTTTTTCACCTTTGTTTTGTTAGCCTACGTGTCTCCACCCGTATTGGGGAAGCAGTTATGGTTGTATGTGTTTCAAAGCGGTCTAAAATCACACATTGTATTCCTGGAGGGAATACGCCAAGGCAGAATGTTTAAAGTGACCAACAGCTTTGTGTCCAACCACCATGGAGTAGGTAACTCTGTGTGAGCTGTGAGCACACCCTCCTTCACTGCCAGCTTGAGTCGTTCATTAGCGTGGCAGCATTCACTAGGCTTATGTCACACTGTATCAGATGTTGGTATTGTTTTTTTTTTTTAAGAGGTCAAGTATGAGTGCGGCATCGGGCTGAAATCTGATACTAGTATCGGTATCGATGCGTCCCTACATAAAACGATGTTTTGGGTATCAGTGTATTCATAACAGTTTCAAATATGATGTAATGTAACAATGAAATTACATTAAATAATTAGCAATTATGTGATAATTAATAAAATGTACCTGAATAAAAAGTAAATTCCTTTCGTCAGTACTACATTTGAGTAAGTAGAGGTATTAGCATTCAAAATTACTCAGGAAAGCACAAATCCATTAGTCTAAATTTCACTTTAGTACATGTAACTAAGTAACAATGTATTCATTCTACTGCTACTGAAGAAATACTTCAATACAGTTCATTTATGGAAATTAAGTTGCAAAAGCAGCCCTACTTCAAAAGAACTGTTCATGAAAACCAAGTAATTTACATATCCTCGCATATTCAGCGTACAGCAGGTTAGCCCCACCCTGCAGCAGATGGATTCTACACCCTGCAGATTGTTTTAGGTGTATTTTTGCTAGTGATACCAGGCCTGTACGCCCCCGCTGTTGTGGTTGGATCTGAGATGTGACAATGCGTTTTCACAGAAGAAGCAACCTGCTTTGAGTTTTGGTTCAATTTCAAGGGTAAATCTCTGTTCCATCCACCCAGACTGAACAGACTGAGATAACATCTCTGCTCATAGTCGAGTTTCTGATCTGAGAGAAACATTGCTCTTTTCCCTTCACACTGAAAGGATTCTTCAGTTGTTCACTTCTTTTCAGTTTCATCTGAGATGCACAGCTGGTTTTGGCACGCCTGCTTGGCCTATTTTGCTTGTTTCTGATTCTTTCTCCTCTTGCCTACATCGTAAGGGTCTACGTTCCTTGTACTGGCATATTATTCCATGATATTTAATGTCAGGACAAAAAAAAAATCTCTTTTTTGCCTACAATTTTTTTCTACATGATTGAAAACACCAGCTGTTCTTTACAATCTGAACATTTCATGATCCATAGAAATGGTCCAAAGTTACTTGGAATAAAATACTGAGTTTTTTTTTACTTCTCCTTTGCTGTGTGGTTCAAGGAAAAACTGTTACAGAGCGATTACACTGTGTGGAGGTTCTTCACACTCATACATGTCATTACAAAAATGGT